AAGTAATAACTTACTGCAAAAAAGAAATAAATTCTATGTAAATGATATTTCCATTCGAAATTGATTAAATTGTATAGTTGAAGATAGTTGGCCATCAGTTCCCTCATAATTACAGGTATACCTTGCTGACGAGTGTCAAGCAACACGAAACCTAGATCCAGGGTTTCCTGTTGACTACCTCTAACCACCATCTTATCTTAACATAGTGTACACAATGTTAAATCACATAGACTGGTGGCTACATTGCAATATAATCGATAGGATTCGATCTACACTAAGAAGGATCTGACATATATGACATTGATCACCATCTAGTGATCAATCACTTGTACATTTGTGCATTTTCTGTTACAGACAATAAAGTATGTCTGTAAGTTTAGCTGAAAATATGATAGTTCATTAATTCATATTCACTTTATTGTCTGTTTGAAGTATAAATACTTGTAGTAAACAATATAATCCGTAATCTTAATACTACATAAACCAGTTTAAGATCATCAATCTCGTTCAATTTATAAACATTTTGTATTGGAAGGTATTACGAAACATGGAAACTAAACTTCTTTTCTTTTTTAAATCACTGACTCGAATTTATTTTCAAAGTTTGCAAACTGCTATTTATACGATTCACAGAATTGATCATTAACAAAAGTTAATATGATGTTTATATACGCTAGAATTTACCTGATTCAACTTAATCTGTTTCAGTAAATTTTTTTATGCTTATCAGTATATGGTTGTTAAGACTGTTGATTTTTTTGACTGATATCACTGTCAGACTAACATTGAAAACCTGTAAGCATTGGACGGCCGTTCCGTCTTAGTATAAGATTCCTTAGCGGTAAGCACCCGCAATTCCACAAGTGAGATTCAAATCCACTCAAACACTTAACATCTGGATCGTCGAGCCGGCATCCAATGATAAGAGTGTCTAATTTCAACCAATCCACGATAATTTATGAACATCTTCCGTTGTTTTCGGTGATTAATTATCTCACACCCTACATGGATTAGCTTCATTGGTCACGGTTTCTTACTAGAGAGCAAATGATAATTATCAGTATATGGTTGTGAAGAATGTTGAGTCGTTTTTTGAATTGAGATCATGGATCGATCAATGTTAACATGTTTAGTAACAAAAATAAAATCATAAACACAGAAATATTCAATGAGTTTCTAAGATTATTTTATATATATATATATTGATATTGCAATAAACGAAAGTTAGGCATTAACGCCGTTGTATATCGGCCGGCTCAGTGGTCTAATGGTTGAGCGCTCGAGCGCGAGGCTGACAGGTCCTGTGTTCCAATCTTGTGGGTGGCGGGATCGTGCATGCGCACTGCTGAGGAGTCCTATACTAAGACGAAACGGCCATCCAGTGCTTAGAGGTTTTCCTTGATGCTCTAGCCTCAATTGACTCATAATTTCAACTACCGAAATTAATCTAATATCCACAAAACCCCTTCGAAAAGAATATACGTTTACACAAAAGCATTAAATTAATTCTTATTTAAATGACAATATAATTAATTGAACAAGTGTATCATTATTAAATGTTCAAATTAAAGATTCCAATTAACAAAGATAAGAAAGGTTTAGTTCAAATTGAGATTTCATAAGAATTTGTAAATTACACAATGTAGTACATTTCATGACTGCATGATTACATAATAACGAGAAAAAAAACAAAATTATAAAGCGAAATGAGACAAGAAACAAACAAAGTAATAACAATAATAATAATGAATTCACAACACTTTAACAAATATTATCTCTTTAAAATAAAAGGTAAACATTGATATTCACATGGGTTACATAATACATTTCATAATACAAATTGTAAATTGTAAAATACATGTTTACTTTATAAGTTCCAATAAAATAACTCAAACTATAGACAGTGAACCATTTTTTCATAAATCAAAAACTTTTTTGTTCTTATTTAAAATTGATTAAATGTTTATACGACGAAGAAATGCATATTTGTTTTGTTTTTCTTGTGTGCGTGTGTGTGCGCGCGGGGGGGGAGGGCAGGGGGCGTAGGGGTGTGGTTGTTATGGGAGATAAATATATTTGAAATTAAATGAAATGAAACAATACGAAAAGATAAGAATAAACATTTAGGACTATTGAAAAAATAGAATAGCTTTTTGTTAATAATCACTTCGTTGCAATGCTGATAGTTTATTAACCATATAAATGAATAAATAATTAAATATATCGAATGTAGTTGATCAGAGTGGGGGGGGGAGGAAAGAAAAAAACACTTTTGATGTAATCTGTAAAATAAATTAAAATGTTAGACTATGATTATAATTACTTTAACAGTTATGTAAGATATTATTTTTTTTTGTAAAAAAGAAAATATAAATTCACTTGGTATTGTTTGGCTTGTATTTTCCCATTGAGGTTTTAAGACTGCAATTGATCAGTCTGTTATTGGCATATGTGCATATTGTGCGCACGCCTCGATATTACCTTATAATCGCTCACCAGAACAATTAATGTTATGATATTTAACCTATTATATTAATAGTGAAAATATTTTTCTGTTTCTTTTAAGTATCATAGTAATTAATACGTGAATATGATCATCAATCTTGATCATTTTAAATTAATATTAGAGTTTCGTTAATACCTAGAAAATATATATGATGAAATATCGTACTAGGTCTATGAGCAGTGCGGAATATTCAATTATAGTTTGTTATATAAATAGAAAGTTTCATTTTTTCATAAACTTATAATATCAGTATACTGATATTGAAATAACCCATAGTTTCATGGAATACAATTAAAGAGAATTCAAAGAAGAAAATTGTCGTTTCAACAAAATCATTTGCTTAAGCTATACATTTGTACGTATAGTTATATCTATATGTAAAAACTGACCTGGAATAGGTAGTACACAAATTTATATAGCTGCATCCTGTTGATTAGAAAGAGGAACTTAATTCACTCTTCATCCTCAAGGATCAGATGAATATGTTCTACTGACACAATAGATGAGGAACTACTTCAACTTTAACAGAAACTTCGTCGGAAATGTTATACATCTAGATTCGTTGATAGGAACTTAGCACTTAATCACCATCCGAAAAAAGGCATCAACAGTACAAAAGAAAACTTTTTATGAATATGGAATTTAAAGGAGATATGGCTGCTGAAATCTTGAATAAACGGATTTCAAAATTACTGAATAAAACGTTCTACTCAGCTAAGCTTCGAATTGTTTTATCAAATCGATCTACCATTCATGGATAGGTTAGGGATAAATTCCTACTTTGGGTCACATCAGTGTGCATCTCTAAGCTCACTTACCGATTTGAGGCAGGTTACATTGACAGCGCAAAATAATCACTTCCAAATGCATCTCAAAATACTACCCGACATGGCTTTCGAAAGGAGAATGCAAAACAATTACTGTTTCAATACAAGAGCATTTAATCGACTGTGAGCACATAGCTCCATAGGAGTCTTCTTTTAAAATAATATATACAGTCAAAGGAATTGGATCGAAGAAAGGTCGAATCCAAATCTTATGCCTTTCTGAGGCATTGACAATCCAATAAGTCAGGCCCGAACTTTGTGTGCAAAAACGATCCATCCAACCTCTCATCTTTGTTTGGCGCTGATTCTCTTTTGTGGTTTATTTCACTTTTTATTTTTATCATTGTTATTGATTTTTTTAAAGTAGTATTTTGTAATCAGTTGTTATTATTAGCCTTAAACGAGTTTTCTTGTTTATTGTTATTCAGTTTTTATTATGACCATTATGTTTGTCGTTGTTCTTCATATCTGTCAACTGGATAATAATCTTTCATAATTCTGACCCGCAAATTATTTTCATCCCTATATTCTCCTTTTATCCATTGATTATTGCATAACCTCATTTAATAATGAGAGTCTAGAATTAATTCATTGTGCAATCTTTTCTATCCTTCTATAAATATATATTTTCTATATAACTATAAATACGAATGTATAGCTTAAGTAAGATAATGATATTGATTAATGCTCGAGCACAGAAGATACAATATACACTTGAGAAAAACTATATGATTTGTTCTCTGCGAGAAAACGAAAACGTTCCGCTCAATCGAAAAACAAGCAACAACAACCTTTAACGAGGATGACTGTTTAGATTTTGCACTTTCATGAAGCATTTTAATAATTCATATTAGAAGGGTTTCGTGCATACTATAGTAAGTTTAATTGTTAAGATCATGATTCAACTGAAGCTACACCACCATAGAAAACCTGGAAGTATTGGACGGCCATTTCGTCCTATTGTGAGACGCCTCAGCAGTGCGCATGCACGATCCCGCCACCCACAAGATTCGAACACAGGACCTATCAGCCTCGCGCGCGAGCCCCTAACCATTAGACCATTGAGCCGGCCAGCATCCAACGGTGTTAATGTCTAACTTCGACCAATCCACGAAATCGAGCGACACATCTACCATTGTTTTCAGTGAGTGACTATCTCACGATAGACCCGGTTAAACTCCACTGGTCACTGCTTCACACTAGAACTCCATGAAATACCTCTTGAAGTCAGCCACTAGTGAGCATATGTTGATTCATATCAGAAGGGTTTTGTGGATATTATAATGGGTGCGCACTGCTGATGAGTCCCACAATAGGTCGATACGGCCATCCAGTGCTTCCAGACTTTCCATGGTAGTTTAGTTACAATTGACTCATGATCTCAACCATTGAAATCTTAATAATTATTTAAAATGTATTAGTTACCTGAAGATTTGTGAAATGTCTTTATTCAGCCATTTCAGAATATTGATAAGAAGTCAAAAATAGAATAAAAGATGCATTTTAACTTGTTCAGTTAGTTAAATAGCGAAAGATTGTATTGCTTAAACAGGTTTTTTTTCTTAATGGCTTTTCTCTACATATCTCATCAGTTTTATTAATCAAGTATATTTGTTAGTATATGTGTGTGTGTGTATTTATATATATGACAATGATTGTTTGTCTTTTTATTTACTATAATGTTCCAATTTATCTAATTTCCTTGTTCTCCTTTTTCTTCCTAAACGAGAACTGTGAAGATAAAACAAAAATTACGAAAAATTTACATTTATACTTCAATTGTCATTGAGTTATTCTATGAATTATTCATTAATCATTATGAATGAAAATAGAACAAATCATGTATAGAATTAAATGAAGTGAATAATGACTTATATGTATATGCCTATGTAGTGATCAAACTAAAAGTAACTGTAGAAACAAAACAAAACAAATTTCATTTAGATGAGCCGTTTGATTGGTTATCTGATTTATGTAAGTAATGGTGAGTAGTCTACAGTTACTTATATATTTATGCATATAACTTCCTGAGGATTATACTATTCATTGTGATTTCAAATTACCATATTAAAATCAATTCTTTGCAAAGAAACATTGGTGTGTACGTCTCTTCATTAAAAATAGATTATAATAGTACAAGAGAAAAAGAACATTGATTACACATATGATGCGATAAGTACTTAGTTCTAATCTTTGAGTTAACATCAACAGTTGTGATATAGGTGTAATTGATAAGTCTCATATAAGGTGAAATGTGATATTAAAGTTTTATTATTATTATTATTATCTGATATCGAAAACTGTTATAGATGAATTACGTCAATCCACCTAGCCAAACAATATATCTCTCAAGAGATTGATCACCACCAGTCCTGGAAATATATATTACAAAATATTCGAATTCATAGAAAATATTTATTTAGGTTTTTGCATTGTTTAACATAATAAACAACATTTCAAGGATGTGGATAAGTATTTGTTTTTGATTTGCTTTTGTTCAACAGTATTGGCCAATTTTCAGTTCAATTTATTACAATACATTGGATGAATAATGCTCTACATGAAGCGTATGTCTTTAATGATTTTACACGGAATACATATATTGTAGCTAAGAGTGAAATCTAGGACGAATGTTTAATCCTTATTTTAAAAAAAAAACAATTCACATGCATGTACCTTCATCCTCGTGTTTATATTCTCTCTCTAGAACTCTAACTCAATACCATTCACCTTTCTAATGAAACAGTTGAACCACTTTCTAGCAATAATGATATAACTAGCTTTTTTGTTACGTTTTCTTAACATATTAATCCATCTAACTTCATTACTACTTATTTCTAAAAAAAGGAAGAATATTCACGTTGATAGGTCATTTAGCTTCATAAAGTACTCTATAGAGTTGGAAAGATATATATATCAACATAATTAAATGGTATATGATCAATGCATAGTACTGTATCAATTATAATTTTTGCTCAAACAAATAATAATGAATTAGTAATGTAAACATTGGAAAATAAAGACAAAACTACTTATTTATTGGAGTAGGTCATTACTATTGATATAATTAATAAATAGTTTCAACAGTTGAGATCATGAGTCAATTGAAGCTAGACCACCATGGAAAACCTGGAAGCATTGAACGGCCGTTTCATCCTATTGTGGGACTCCTCAGCAGTGCGCATCCACGACCTCGACCTCGTCCCACAATAGGACGAAATGGCCATCTAGTGCTTCCAGGCTTTCCATGATGGTCTAGCTTTAATTGACTCATGGTCTCAACTGTTGAAATTACTATAATTTCCACAAAACCCTTCTTATATTTATTATTTTTTAAAAATAGGTTCTTCATTTTTATTCTTACCGAATTTCCCCTGCTTTCAAAGGATTAAGTGCATACAGCCAATCATGAATATCTGAACCATCTTCTGTTATTGTTTGTATTAATAAAGTTCGCGTGTTCGTTATCAAAGTGAACATATTCACTTTACTTGGAAATAATGATGTTGGCGACATAATTGATTCATTTTTAGAAATCAAATGGACAGAATTTGTTTTCGCATCATCTAATAAATCGTCTTTTGTAATATACGCCATATTCATACTTAAAAAACAAAAGGAAGTATAAATCGGATAAGCAAAAAAATTGAATCATAGGAAATTACTAGGTTAAAATATAAGTAATTCATCAAATGATGTGTAAATGGTGCCATTGTTTAGGCAATCACTAATAATTATCTATTTCATACTGTGAAAATGTTTAAGAATCGTATTATTGAATGAAAGTTTCTTTACAGATTATATGTTTTTAATAGTTGAATTGATGAGCCAATTAAAGCTGGACAACTATGGAAAACCCGGAAACACTAGAGAGCCGTTTCGTCCTAGTATGGAACTCTTTAGCAGTGCGGATCCACGATCTCTCTTAGCGAGATGCAAACCCAGCACCTAACTGTCTTGAGCGTGAGCGCTTAACCTTTAAACCACTGAGTTGGCATCCAACGGTGTTAATTTATAACTTCAATCAATTCATAAACTTGCACTACCGTCCATCATTGTCATCAGTGAGTTTACATTTTATTCATTTGGAACATATTTTAAAGTATATTAATAATCTGAATATGTTGTATCAGTTATATTAAGAATAAATCAATGAATCAATGAAATAATTTATATGGTATTAGATCATTCATTATACATCTTTTAAATAATTGAATGGAAAAAAGAAAAAATGGGACATTCCAATAGTTACAAAAGCATTGGGAATGCGATACAAAACATTTTGGAACATCAAGCAATGTTGATTAAGATTTAAAACCAAATGTAACCTTACAGATGTATAAATATAAAAAATTGTATCTACTATTATTTTGATTATGCATTCCTGAAGTCTTATGTAACAGTTATGCTATCGTATTCAAATATTTTGCATTACATTTAACATTTATTTCTTTGATTGTTGATACATAATCGACGTAATAATCCTTTATGAAGGGCATCTTCATATGCAAAATATATTTTAGACAAGAAAAATGATGAGAAATAAAAACAATTTTTGTCCTTACAAGCATGGACGAATGGTAGCTAGCAGTGAAATCCAAAATGAGCTTATCATCCTATTTGTGCTTCGTCAGCTAGATGTACTTGCATCTGAGTTGATGTTCACTCTAGGGCTCGAACCCACTACCGTTCGCTTCAAACGTCATTTAAGTATTCAATGCTTCAGTAATTCAAAACTAGAATATAAAATAATAATACTAAGTTTAGATAGTCATTAGAGATGGCGTTCGAAGCAAATAGTATTGGGTTCGAGTCTCCGAGTGAACATCAACTCTGGGATGAAGATACATGCAGCTGGTGAGTTTCAAATAGAACGCAATACACATCCTGGATTCTACTGCTAGCCACCATCTATCTTTTCTTATAATGCTTGTGACTTAAGGCAATATGCACATAATGCATAAATTTCAATCACAGTACTAAACATCAATGGGAAGATTCAAACAACCAATATAAAAATGAGTTTTTTGTCCTTGTTTTGTTCTATGATGTTTACTGGATTTATTGATTAGCTTAGATTCACTGAAATATATTGAATTATCATTTTATAGTCCATTAGTTCATCATAGAAACTTACGTCATGTTATAAATTCCCCGTTAATTCGAATACCGACATTTCTTTCCCAAAAAACAACTACCAAATATGCTTACATCTGATTTGAATATGACCTTACACATCATTAATTAATCATTATGATCTTTGAAATACTTCTGTTAATGAACATATATTTCTTGTTTAAGTAAATGGATAACTTGTAAGGATAGTTTTGTAACTATTATTATTATTATTATTAAGGTATCCGACACGTTGAATTCATAATACATTGTCTATTGTCTGGTTACATTTCCATTATGGTTACGTTTTTCCTAGGCGGTAAAAGCACATGAACTCTTACACATAGTGATATGGTGATTAACGTTTGTCTGTATATATATATATATATATATATATATATATATATATATATATATATATATATTCCACAGCGCCAGTTCTGCTTACCAAAAATGGCCTACTTGGCACTCACATTCAATGCAAAACTCCAATTAAGCGAGTTAAGCTTCTCACCCATTTAAAGTTTGAGAATAGGTTGAGGATGATTTATCCCCAATGCCTCTAATCATTCGCTTTACCGGATAAAACTTTTTATTTCTCAGAATGCCAGCTATTTTGAGGGAAGCTTCGGAGGGAACCAGCTACTAGATAGTTCGATTAGTCTTTCGCCCCTACACTCACGTTATACGATCGATTAGCACGTCAGAATCGCTACGGTTCTCCACCAGAGTTTCCTCTGGCTTCAGCCTTCACAAGCATAGTTCACCATCTTTCGGGTCTCAACGTGTACGCTCTTGCTCCGCCCCGACTGTGCACATAACACGAGGTCACATGTCTACGTCATGGGACGGGCCGGTGATGCGCCCGCTGCTAGCAACTTGGAAAGTATGAGCAAGACAACAGGATCTCACCTCAGTCCGGACAAGCCGAACCTTTACCTTCACTTCGCCTTTGGGTTTCGTAACACCCAATGACTCGCGCACATGTTAATTATTTAAAAACTAAAAAAATATGAGACATGGAATAAATCTACGTCTAGTAATAAATAATGAATATACCTTAAACTATTTCATTATATCAACACTACTAATATTATTCTGGTAGCACTGAGCAACAATGCCAGGATGTTTGGAATGCGCTTCTCTCCCTCTAAATGCAAGTTGTTGCTTCAGGACTGGTCTGCGTTAACACCTGAACTAAGGATAGGGAGTGAAGTAATCGGACGCGTTGACAACTTCACTTATCTTGGAAGTCTGATCAGCCTTAATGGACGAAATCTCAGCACGGATTCGAAAAGCTCGCTTGGCTTTTGCCAACTTACGTCACCTATGGCGAAGGCGAGATATCCGTCTATCAATAAAAGGACGAGTATACTGCGCGGCAGTCCGTTCTGTTTTAATTTACGGCAGTGAAACATGGCCATTAAGAGTAGAAGGCACTCGTAAGCTACTAGTATTTGACCACAGATGCCTTAGAAATATTGCTGGCGTCTTCTGGGATCACTGGGTAAGTAATAGTGACGTTAGACGCAGGGTATTAGGGAATGATGGTAAATCAGTTGATGAAGTTATGAATCTTCATCGACTGAGATGGTTGGGCCACGTGTTACGTATGCCTGAACACCGATTACCACGACGTGCAATGCTATCCGGTATTGGAAATGGTTGGAAGAAAGTTAGGGTCCGCGTGACTATCGTAACCAATGGTTGGAGACTCTTGGTGACATGGCTCAGAATCGATCACAATGGCGTCGGTGTATACACTCCCTGTCTTCCCTTAAACTAAGAGATTAAAATCACTTCATATCTTTCTTTCTGCGAACCAATTCTTTCTTCTTGTACTATATCTCTATATGCAATCTTTCTCTTATATATTACTACCTTTGACCTAACCACTGCTATGAATCCGGTGTTCATCTTGTTGTGCTGGTGCGGTATGGCAACCTGGACCGATGCACATATGTGCCTGGTCCTACGTTATAGCTGACTGACTGACTGACTAATATTATGGTTGATGAAAGATTGAATAACTCTCCATCTAAACTATTGCCAAGTCTATTTGAAAGCAGTTCACACAAGTTACTGCTTCCTATAGCTTATTAGTTATTGAACTGATATTCCAATATGTTTTCCAGTAAACAATGAAATTTTATTTCAAACAAAAGCTATTTTATTTTAAAGATAGATTGAATTTTTACTTTTATTTGAAAAAAGGCCCTGGCTGACTACATAAGATACAAAATGTTATATTGAATTTGTCTAGTTTACGATGAAAAGTGACAAAGTATTTAACTAGAGACTATTCAGCAATACGTATCCACGATCCTGCCCCCCGTTATACTCGAACGCAGGACCTATCAGTCTCGCGAGCGAACCCTTAACCTCTAGACCACTGAGCCGGCATTCAACGGTGTTAATGTCTAACTCCAACCAATCCACGAAATTGCGCCACCGTCCATCATTGTCTTCAGTGAGCTGATATCTCACAACAAACCTGGTTGAACTCCACTGATTATGGCTACTGACTAGAACTCCAGTAAATGCATCTTGAATTCAGTCACTAATGAGTAGATGATTATTATCCTATTGTGGGACTCCTCAGCAGTGCGCATCCACGATCCCGTCCCATGCTAAGAAGAAACGGCCGTCCAGTGCTTTCAGGTTTTCCATGGTGGTTTAGCTTCAATTGACACATAATTTCAACTGTTGAAATTACTAACATCTCCAAAAAACTCCTTCTGATAGAAACTATTCATTTAAAATTTTAATATTTTAATTAGATTTTCAAATGGTTGATAAGTATACAGCTACTAAATTTATGTTGGTTTTCATTGTTTAAGAATGTGATTCGATTCGACAAGTTACGAAGCTGAAGTAATAAGATATTTGTCGATCTTTTCCGATCATTCCACATCATGAATTAGAAAAGATTGGTTGGTTTCCAGGTATCTTTGAGAATCCCTCAACCTTTAATTTCTGTCGATTAGAGTAAATGTTACATAAAAGCTATTTTATAATATATGACTTACTCATATTCTATCTGTGAGGTAGTCAAATTTATAAGACCCCTTTCAATAAAGTCCCTTTCATGATTATAGAGATACAGGAAAGGTCTACGGACAACAGCCCATCTACGTAACCAGCCAGCTGTTCTTTCCTCTAGCACTAATAGATATCCTTTACGACTAATCACTGGGCTAACGCGAACCTAAAACAAATATGGAAAACTTTGATATACAAACCTATACAATGTTGCATATTCAGTTAAAAATTGAATAGGGCTTGACTTAAAAAAACAGTGTTATGCATATATACTTGATTGATATTCGTTGCACTGATCTTACCCTATGATTTCTCAAAACAATCTATCTTTACTCTTTTTAAATTCATCAAACCTTCTTTGTGGCTTACAATTTTCATCTCTTCATCTTATAAAAAAGCTTCTCAATGAGCTTTAGTTCAAAATTTGTTGAATTGAGTTAAGTAAATATATTTCAAGAACACGACATACGATGAGTAAATATGCGATTTAGAATAGTCAAATGAACTGACATCTACATAGATATTCTAAACTCAGTTTATATGTTTTTTAATGTATCCGGTTAATGAATTGCAATCGATCTAGTTATCTTAAGTGGTATAAAGCATAAGTATCATTTAACTACCAAATTCTTGTCATGATCTCCATACCTGATCTATATTGCTGATATTAAATATCTACCACCAAATAAAATCTGCCATAACTATCTTATTCACCACGTGAATCCATTCCACATTGAGTAGCTTGAGGCTAGAATTTCAGAAAATCCACTTTCAAGTTAGTAACTAATGACTGTATCTCACAATGAACCATCAAAATGAACCGTCATAATAAAAGATTGAGAGTTAATAAAGCATTTTTGTAAAGGGAAGAATACGTAAGGATGCAAAATGGTGAATGCCAAATTTTGGAACAATTAATCTTTAATCTGTAGCAAATAATAATTTCCATAATCTACAAGTGTTCACAAAGTTTAAAAGCATTTATTTGATTTATAAACTATTGTCATGTCTACTTCTGTTCCCAACTTATTGTCATTTAATCACAAGCCTAGTAACTGGTTTCGTACCTTAATTGCATATTTTAGCATTCGTTGTAATTTCTTACTTATTATTCATTGTGGATTAATTTATCATGTATTTATTCATATACCAGCTTGTTAAATCATAAAATGTCCAGGTTTCCCCTACAATCTTATCGTATTTCTTCATTGGTTCACAGAAAACGAGGCATCTGTAGCAGTCAACTAGCATCTGTAGGGGGTCATTAATTAATCACGCTATTAGATAACCTTTTCACAAAGTCGTCACGAAAAGTTGAACTTACAAACGCTATCACAAGGTTATTTTTAATGACCTAATGTATCAAGGACAATATCCAACTTCAGGACCAGTGGCTATCCAAAGTCATTAGTTCATTGAAAGATGAATCGTTATTGATTTTATCACGAGGGTAGTTTTAAAATTGAATAGATTAGTCTTTCATATTTAGAAGACACAAGTGATGAACATAATACAAATGTGATATAATATTAACAACTTATCTTGTAAACGAATAGAAAACAAATAGGTATAATGAATATTTTGGAAAATGTAGAAAAAAATCTCCAATTTATAAAGTATGTTTAAATAAATTATGCCTAAACATTTGACTAACCTCATCACATTCACCAACTAAATAACTTGATGAAAAGTAACTTTCTCCGGTAAGTATATTTTGAATTGAATCAGTTGTGGCTGATCTAGGTATACCAGAACCTGATATAATCAACGAAGAAAACATATGTGAAATTTACTTCTATTGTATATTTAGTTACATATAATTACATTTAGATATGCATAATATCTTCTAAATACAAGTAATTGAAATGAACAGTTTGTATCTAATCTGTTTCAGATAGTTCATTCTGTATAGATTATTTTGAATTTAAGGATCACGTATTTTCTTTTCCAAACACCAGTCAAGCGATAAGTTTAATGATAAAATCTCAATTTCATAGATGATGAATGACTTACAATGACCAAATCTTATGATAACCTACATTTTTAAGGGTTTATAATTATTTTCATTTTTTAAAATCAGATATATTGTATTAGTTTTATAGAGAAAACTATACTCTCTGATCTGACCAATTCGTTCATTGATTTTGTATCAGATTACAGGAGACTTTGAGCCGGTCATTCGATTTCAGTGAGTGATAATCATGCTAACTTACTGTTTACACTAGTTCAGGACAATAATGTGAATGTTAGTATATACAGTTTCGAAAGACTATCCAGACTAGTGTTTACATTAGTAATTATCTCAACGATACAGACAATAGTGAATGTATTTAATATGGCTGTTGGGACTAGTCTTTCAAAACATACTGGTTTATTTATTCAGTGGGAATAATTTATGCTTTCACAGTTAACTAGTCACTGAGTAATAGCTACCTTTATACTGTAAATCCAATCATACTGACGATGGCCACATGTTGGTCGTAAGGCTACGATTTAATATTGAGGTTCATTTATCTGATGTTACATGATTGCAAGAATATAAGAATTGACTGTCTCATCGTTCAACTTGACTGTTGAGGGTACTGATTATGCTACAGAGACTTTAAATTACGTTTTTAAAATGCAAATAACTTATCAAAATTGGCATGGTGAAATTGAAAATAAATTACTGTATCTAAATACCGGACCTATTATGTAACCTAAATATCTTCGAAAGCCATACAAAAAAACGACAACATGGTATTTTCAAGGAGTTGAGACGTGATTGTAATCATTAATTTATGTTTTACTATCCAAATAATAATGGAAAACATTCTATAGAGATGCAAGAGTGAGGCTATATCGATCAACATTGCAGAAAGAAATGCACTGTACAGAAATTGTCCTCAATAATTTAACTACTTTTTTTAGAAATACAAAACTCTGTGTGTTAAGCCAAATCTTGATTCTATGATTTTATTTAGTAAGAAAGTTAGGTAATTCTAAAGAAGCAGGACAGTCAAGTCCTGAATGAAATAATCGTACCTTTGAAGGCCATGAAACCAGATGGCTCAAGACTGAAAACATCAGGTGCCACTAATTCTCCACAAGAATACAGGTATATCTTGTTAATGAGTATCATATACTTCAAAACCTAGATCAACCAGGGTTTCTTATCAATTTCCCTTATCCAATAAATACATATCTTTATCTGTGAAGATTTACATATTCGACTGTACAAAGAATGGTATGCATATTTTATTGACATAAACAATTAAAGTAACACGGCTGTGATAACGATTAGCTTGTCCAATGGACTACATCATATATAAATACTTATTAAATGTAATGTACTTATTCTATAGCGATAACTGCTAAGTTTGGATAATAATTTGTACATTAAAATGAATCAGTATGGCTTTCATTTAGCAAGTTTTTTACATTAAAAATAAATTGTATTATCTAGTCAAATAAGTTAGTGCTGGTGAGCGACCTATGCTCCTCCACGAGGAGTAACAGGCGTAAGTAAGTAAGTAAGTTAAATAAGTCTGATTCATTTTCGTTAGTTGTGACCGTACAGAATAAAAATCCAAAAAGATGGTGAGTCGTTATGTGAATTTAGTTAACACTATTACAATGTGATATTAGTTTTTTTAAATATACTTCCAGGTATACTTTTATCAAATATAAATACTATTAAATGAGCTATTTTAATACACCAGTATGGGGCTGAGAAGATGGTTAAGTTTTTGATTGAGATCATGAATCGATTAGTGTCAGACTGCCATGGAAAACTTGGAAGCACTGGATGGCCGTTTCGTCTTAGTATGAGGCTCCTCAGCAGTTCGTGTCCACGACCGCACACGCGGGATTTGAACTTAGGATCTTTGGTCTTTATCAAAGATAAGATAACTGAAGACTAAGTTAAAACTAAATTAGCATAGTCCTTTTATGGTAAAATCTCTGTTAATCTGAACTGATTGTTTAAACGGAATTCCAACACGTTCGTGTAAATTTTTAATGATAATCCCGAAAATTGCTAATTAATGTTTCTTTTTGAAAATAGATGATCTGTCTATTGGTTCAAATGACTTGAGTAACTACAACACTAGTAATTTTCTCTGTTTTGAGAGTACTTTTATAAGGTTCTTATGAACGATAAATAAAGCATTTATTCAATAACTTCTGGTTCCAAGTTATTGTCCAGCTCCTTTTAGTCCGAAGGGAAATTTATTCATATTAAATAAATCTTTACAAGCCCTACACGATAAAATAACACTCATTTATCTACTAATCACAGACTTAGAAACAGATTCTTGACATTTGAGTCAAATATCTCAACTGCTTAAATACAACTATCTCAACCTCTAGACATTTACCTATTGATGGACTACAATATGCGTAACTATATATATCAAAGTTGGAAATGCCAACTTTTAAGTTCCTATTTAGTGATCTAGAGGAAATGTGCTTATCACATCAGCTGAAGTGCCATAAGTAAGATCCTTGATAGAGTCGTAAGTGATCACCACCAACATATTCTAAACATCATCGATATAACAGTCTACAGTTTCTGATGGATTTTTACTCATTATCATTCTGTAGTAAACCTATCCTCAAAACAAAACAATTACTAACATTAATTTCTATTTATTCTTAATCAAACAGTTTACATTCTTGCTCTACTTCATACCATTTATACTCACAACAACAACAAACTATTCTAAGAAAATATCTACTACTACAGAGTATAAACTTGTATATATTTATATACATATATATATATATATATATATATATATATATATATATATATATATATATATGGAGTATACTTAAGTAATAAAAAGTAACCATAAATGTAACATTTTAAAATTTTCATCGGGTAAAACATTGTTGGAAACTGTCAGCAATGTAGCTAAATCATCTTTTTATGTATATTAATAAAGTAAAGTATTATATTTAAATATTTTTCATTAATTTTTAGTAAATACATTAAAGATAAATAAAAAAATTATAAAATATACATAGATCATATATGATATATTAATTGTTTATCTAACATCAAACATTCTATTCTATAGTATGAATAGATAAGTTGATTGTATACAGTACATAAATTAAGCCAATATTAATTGATTATTAATATAAATGAATAAACTTCAACAGTTGAGATCATGAGTCAGTTGAAGCTAGACCACCATGGAAAACTTGGAAGCACTGGACGGCCCGCGAGGCGTGGTCGTTGACGCGCACTGTTGAGTAGTCTCACAATAGGATGAAATAGCCGTCCAGTACTTCCAGGTTTTCCATGGTGGTCTAGCTTCAATCGACTCATGATCTCAACTGTTGAAATTACTACAATCTCCACAAAACCCCTTCTGATGGTGGATGTGTCACTCAATTTAGTGGATTAGTTGAAGTTAGACATTAACGCCGTTGGATGCTGGCTCAGTGGTCTAGTTAATTAAGCGTTCGCTCGCGAGACTGATAGCTCCTGTGTTCAAATCTCGTGAGGCGGAATCGTAGATGCGCACTGTTGAAGAGTCCCATACTAGGACGAAACGGCCATCCACTGCTTCCAGGTTTCCCATGGTGATCTAGCTTCAATTGGCTCATGATCTCACCTGTTGGAATTTCTACAATCTCCACAAAACCCCTTCTGATATAAATGAATAAAGGTAGATATGAATAATGTAGAAAGAATACTAAAGTAATTAAGAAATATTAAGTTAGGGAAATAACTAAGTTTGGTCAAGCAGAGAAATACATATATATATTCTGTAAAATTTTTCATAGAATTTATTGAATTAGAGAAGATAAATGATTGAGAATAATTTGGAAATTTTTGCATACTTACTAAATGATCTATAATTTATTTCAGCAGCTTGATCAGAATACACACTGCCTATCATATCCATTTGTGTATTAATTTTATTATCATCCGAATGAAAATCACTATCGGATTTTGATATACTCGTTGTTGAAATATTACTAGTAATAGAGTCAATTAGATATGGTTGCTTAGTCTAAATATAAAAAAAAACCAAGAAATAATAAAATGTTAACAGTTACAAAAGGGGAAAAAAGTCATTTTACTGTAAACTGGAAAATTTATTATTTGAAGTTTATTTTCATAACAGAAGTTAATTTGACTAATTGTTATCCTTATTAAATATGTGAAGCGTAAATCACATTTTAAAAATCATTTATTGTTTAGATTTAAGTAAATGTTATACATCTTGCTATATATATATATATATATATATATATATATATATATATATATATATATATATATGAAGTTAGATATTAACAGCGTTGGATACCGTGCTGCTCAGTGGTCTCAAGATTAGGCATTCACACGCGAGACCGGTAGGTCTTGGGTTCGAATCTCACGAGGCGGGATCGTGTATGAGCACTGCTGAGGAGTCCCATACTAGAACAAAACGGCCGTCCAGTACTTCCAAGTTTCCCATGGTGGTCTAGCTTTAATTGACTCATGAATTCAACTACTAAGTTACTGTAATATCCACAAAACCTCTTTCTGAATATATATTTATGTTATTTAAGCGTACCCATAAAGAAGAAAGAAATGAGAAAGACTTGTTTAAATTTAAGGCTTAATAATCAACCTTTAATCAATTATTAGTGAAATTAATTAGACCGGTTACAGTAGCCAGAAATTCATTAAATAATTAAACAACTTAGATTTATTTAAAACTATACGAGTAAAATTCTTAAATCAACCTTTTATCATGATTCAATTGAAGCTAGACCACCATGAAAAACCCGGAAGCACTGTTGGATGCCAGCCCAGTGATCTGGTGGTTAAGCGCTGATAGGTCCTGGGTTCGAATCCCACGGAACGTGGTCGTGGATGTGCACTGCTGAGAAGTCTCTCAATAGGACGAGACGACCGTTCAGTGCTTCGGGGTTTTCCATGGTGGTGTAGCTTCAATTGAATCATGCCCTCAACTATTGAAATCACTACAATCTCCACAAAACCCCTTCTGATACTTTTATTTTTCATAAATTTTCTTCTTAAGTAGATTTAATCTAAGTCATCTCAAGTAAAAAACGATTTAGTTTTCACTTTTTTTTAATCGAAACGTTCAGCTTTAGCCTATCTTACGATTTATCATTAACATGTCTAAATACAGTTTATTATAGATTATACAAGATTAGAATGAATGAATAGAAGTAGTTCTCAAGATCTTTCTCTTTTGTTCAGTATATATATTTTTAAATACCTACACATTGAATAAAGTATTATACAGATCATTGTACGTTTTCACAGTTTAAAATAGATGTGCCTAAAGTTGTCTCTTTTCTGTATGTGTGTGTCTGTATGAACAGTTAACTTTGAATAAAATCTAATTTTCTATGATTATTCATATAAAACATTCTAAAAACACACTATTTTTTTTCTTTGGGTTTCATTTTCAGAGTTCTGTATCATTCATGTTTGAAATGAAAAATTTCACTTATAGTATTGATATGATGGGAAATTACATCCCTTTACTCATTATGATTTTTGGTCAAGATTACTCCTGTTTTCAATTCACTGTGTTATAATTACTCAGTATAGTATTTATCAGTCTAGGATTGTAGAGATTAATAAGTTTTTGATTGAGATCATGAACCGATTGATGTTAGATCACCATTGAAAACCTGGAATCAATGAACGACCGTTTCGTCCTATTGTGAAATTTCTCAACATTACACACCCACGACTTCGTTCGTGAGATTTGAACCCAGAGCCTTCGATCTGGCTAGCGAACGCTTAACCGTTAGACCAGTGAGCCAGCCGGCATCCAACGGTGTTAATGTCTAACTTCAAACAATCCCGAAATTGAGCAACTATCTGCCATTGTACTGAGGTGGATGCGCTCTGCTGAGTAGTCCCACAATAGGACGGAACAGCCATTCAGTGCTTCCAGGTTTTCAATCGTGATCTGAAATCAAACGGTTCATGATTTGAATCAAAAAAGTATGGTATTTGTTTTGTTTTCCAGTCTGCTATTTTATTTGGTATAATATTAATTCATTTGAGTGTGATGTTTATTCAAGATACAATATTCCTGCATCAAACAGACATGAACTTGACTCAGCATGACATGTAGCATATAATTTGTTATAACTCAAAGTATTTTTCATATATATGATTTTATCCTAATTAATAATCAAAATGGATGTACAAATCAATATATAAATGAGTGTATTTTCGACTAGGGTGATCGTCATCGTGTATTGAGGTTAATAAATCTGTATTTGTACCAGACTTGATGCTTTAACTTTCTCATCGTTGGAGTTGTAATGGTTCCTCGATTTACAAATATAAACTATAAGTTAATTAATTTAATTAAAGCTAGACCATCATAGAAAACCTTGCAAGCACTGGGTTCGAATCCTGCTGGCGGGATCTTGAATGCGCACTGCCGATGAGTCCCATACTAGGACGAAACGACCGTACAGCGCTTCCAGTTTTTTAATAGTGGTCTAGCTCAGATTGACCCATAAATTCAACTGTTAAAAAAATTCACTAATCATTCAAAATGATAAAACTTACTGTAACTCCAAAATGTCGGATTAAACATTTGCTAATCGGCATATAATTAGTTAAAGCTGTCAAACATTTCGTTATGAGTAAATGATTCTTAGACATTTCAGTTTGATGACTTGATAAATTATTTTCATTAACTTGTTTTATAATCTCTTCAGTATTTGATGTACTTTTCAAATCTTTGTTATTTGTATTATTTTCTCGTTTATTTGTTAGATCTAGTGATGTTGGTCTTTTTGGAGAAGAGCTATTTTTAATTTCAAATAAAAAAATAGGTAAATAAAAGTTATTAAATATCTAATAAGTTTATATTCAAATTTCTTGGTCTGACGATGAATCCAAAGTGTAGAAATCCTCACTTATAATACTTCTTATTATGGTAGTGTCTATAATGTCTCAATCTAAGATTACATCTTGTTATTAAGCTAACAGCGAGCTTATTTTACTGAATTCTTATCTCCCAATGTAAAAATCATTATTCATTGTCTAAGTAGTTCCAGTTTCACAATGATATTGAATAATACTTCAAAGTGTGTTTTCCGTGATATTTTATATGCAAATGTTGTATTCAAAGTTTATTACGTCAGTAAATCATCCCACTAGATTCGTGATTTCAAAATTAGAGTGTGTGAACATGTACCTAAATGGTTGTAGAAACAAATAGAATCAAATGACCCAATAAGAGTAGAGGATAAACATCCATCTTTCTCTATAATCAAACACATAACTGAAACAGGTCATAAGATTCATCTTAACACTGCTTTTGTGGTGTTGTACAACAGTGTAAAAAGGAGTATACTTAGGTTTATTGAAGCCTTAGCCATACGAAAGTTCAAATCCTCTTTTTGTATTCAAAAACAGTTTGTTCTCACCTTAAACATAACCTGGTAATATTAGCTTATTATACAGAGTGATGAGGTTTCAAATTATTTGCACATTATTTTCTTTATTATCCTTGTCTCTTCTTATATTCGATTTATAGTCTAGTTGACCTTTTATTTCCGTGCATAGACGTTCTTAACAAGTATATAAGTGATCGGATTGTTCGAAATGTATTGCGCTAATATATCACCACATAGTTCTGATAATCTTCATCTTCTTATTACACTATCGAAATTTAAGCAAAGGTAGATAGTGGCTAGCAGTGGAATCCAGGACGCGCGGTTCGTCCTATTTGGGGCTCGTCAACTGAACGTGCCTGCACCTCAGAGATGATGTCAACTTCAGGACTTGAACCCAGTAACGTTCCCTTCAAACGCCATGGCGTTATCCACTTAGCTACTGAGTCCTGATAGCCACCTACTTGTGCAATGGGGTGAAGTTTAAATTCGCTTGATGTTATTTTACTTGTATCTTCCTAGTGTTATTTATGATTGCAATTGATCAGTCTCATGTTGGCATATGTGCATCCTGTGCGGATTGCCTCGATATAGCCAAATAAGTATTATTACTTAAATTATTAAACTTACCACTTATTATTTTTAGATAAGTTTACAATTTCTAAAATGAATGATATTTGTTTTATCTGACTAACTGTTTAATGTTTTCAACTAAACCCTCATTTGATTGTATAAACATTTAGTCTAAATTATGGCATATTTTCCTTTTTATTTTGAATTTTTTTATTAACTACTTCTATGAATTCGATATTCATCTTGTTGTGTTATTGAAGTATGGCAACTTGAACCGATACATATATGTACCTGGTCCTGTGTTGTAGTTGATTAACTAACTGACTGGCTGTTCTGCATTAATCAATATTCCATTTGTATAAAATACAGTTGGTTCCTTGTTTGTTTGCTTCTTTCATGTTGAATTTTGTTACTAAGTTACTAAATTAAAATATTATTGGAGACTTTTTGACATGTTTCTAACTTTATGATGTTTTCCTTTCTTCCTTATTTTTATAATGAAAGAAACAAATTAAACTTAACATCTAATAATTGTTATCTATAATGCTCTTTACATGTAAATCACACGTAACATTAAAATAAAATCAGTTTTGACAGATTTATACTATCAAGTACCTTGATAAGTGTTGTTTTGTTCAACATTCAGTCAATATGAAAGGTTTTTTTACTGTATTATAGTAAACAATATGTAAATGAAGTAATACCGTCTTTCTGGTATTCATAGACATTTATTTTTTGTGAATGAGTGAAATGTTTTGATACAAAAATGTTGGCCATTCTTAACAAACACTAATATTACGTATGTGAATTTAAATAAATCCAGAGTTTATCTGATTATTAAACTTAGACCATTTTAATAGTTGAAATCATGAGTAGATTGAAGCTAGACCATCATGGAAAATCTAGTAGTACTGGATGGCCGTTTCTTCCCGTTGTGGGACTCCCCAGAAGTGCAGATCCATGGTCCCACCTCGCAGGATTCGAACACAGGACCTATCAGTCTCGCGCACGAGCGCTTAACCATTAGATCATTGAGCCAGCATCCAATGGTGGTAATGTCTAACTTCAAATTGAGCGACACATTCACCATTGTCTTCAGTGAGATGCAATCTGACAACAGATTCGGTTAAACTCCACTAGTAATTGTTTCTTACTAGAACCCCAGGATATAACTCTTGGAAACCGTCACTAGTGAGCATATGTTGATTAATATCAGAAAAGGTTTTGTGGATACTATAATAATTTTAATGGTTGAGATCATGAGTTAACTAAAGCTAGACCACCATGGAAAACCTGGAATCAGTGGACGGCTGTTTCATCCTGTTGTGGGATTCCTCAGCAGCGCGTACCCACGATCTTGCCTTGCGAGATTCGGACTCAGACTATTTATTAACTTACTTAGTTAATAAAGAGGTTAACAAAAGTTGTTTTTCTCAATTTCGCGGTTAACATCACAGAATGAATTCAGATAGATCACCACTGAAAATCAGAGGGCAGTATTTAACTGATTCGTTCCACTGAAAGACTCCTCAACAATGTGCATCTGTGATCGCACCATCAGAACTTGAACACAATAACCTTTTCGTTGTGTACGACTACTTAATCACTAAATATTGGCTTGACGGCCTACAGGTTATCCCTTCATCTTGAAAGTGAAATTCCTTATTTCAGTAATCTGTAACGGAGTCGTGGATTCTTACTGTTTAAAAGTATTATGCTAGAATGAAACAGCTGTCCAATGCTTCTTGGTCTACAATAGTGATCTAAACAGGATCATATTCTTAGGTTAACTATGAAACTGATTTTATATTGTTTTTATGCTTAAACAGGCACTCAAATGTCCCATACTATGGTTATTTATTCCGTAAGTTTGCAACTTCAATGGATACTTCAGTTTCAAAAAATTGTAGTTAGTTTTAATATTCCTATTTTAAGTCGTATTCTATTCAAAAATTATTTATTCTGATACTCATAACTGAAATTAGAAAAATATTCATTCAGTTACGTATGTGGATATTTCTAACAGCTACAACAGAAAAGAAGTATTGATTAGAATGAAATCATAATATTATTTTGTTCTAAACTTCATAGATTTACCTACGTTGACAAATAACATCTCTAGTTAGATGGTGGTTGGAGGTAGTCGACAGGAAACCCTGGACCCGGGTTTCGTGCTACTTGGCACTCGTCCTGCAATCATGAGGGAACTGGTGCTCCCTGGCGGATTCGATCTCGTGTCACCCAGCTTCACAGTCAGAGACGTTACCACTGAATTATCCGAACCGCGACCGACCTCCTGTAGGACTGAGATGTAATCACAATTGATTGATCACTGGGTAGTGATCAATATCATGCGTGGCCACATTGCAACATGGTCGATAGCATTCGATTTGCACTAGTAAGGACTAGACACGCATGACAGTGATCACCACCCAGTGATCAATCAATTGTGATAACATCTCTAGTTCTTTCTAGTTCTCATTTGTTATCTAGCTGTGGTTAGTCAGTAATATAAGCTACAAACACTAACAATCTTTTCTACATTATTTTCACTGTATGAAATATTTTTAAGCAAATGAAAAATTTAAATGGTATGACTATAATGACAAAAACAACACAACAACTTACGACTTATTAGTAGGGGATAATGAAGATTTTTCTAAACAATTCAAGCTATCTGGTACTTTTGCTTTAATTGTATCAGAACGATTATAACAATTTGAGATTAATTTCTGTTTAGTTCCTAAAATTTCACGAAGTTTCAACAAGTGTCTAGTTTTCTCCACCTAATATATTAAAAACAAACATAATTACTCTACTAATGTGATTATTGTGAACTAATAATTCATTGAAGTCATTTATTAATCTACTATAATCATTGTATAAGCAGTTCTATTGTGGTGTGGGCTACTTATATCCACATAAGTAGTATATAACGATGGTCAGACATAGAATGTATTTCAGTTGGAAGATCGAGAGGAAAAGAACGGGAACGGAGAGCAATTGGTATGAAAATTAACTATTCACTGTATGTTTCTCAGATATTAGTAAGGTATTCTGTAATTTTGTGCTCAGATACATTCGATTGCCCTTACTCGTGTCCTTGTTCACTACAATATCATTACAGAATTATGGAATACTGAATACACTAAGAACGGTTTGCAAATAACAATTGACAATTTTGGATTTTTGGTAGCTACATTATCCCAAAAATTTCATTTTGTTTCATTTCATTTAATGAATAAATAAACAATTTTTCTGAAAAACTACAAACGTCTGACTGGGAAAAAACAGTCTGAACTTATTTTCATACAGTTCTAATGTCAACAAACCGAAGTTCTTCATGAATCGCCTCCCCCTAATTCTCATTCTGTTATGTCTTTACATCACGATTAATATGTATGTAGGTATGTATGTCTGACAGAACACTTTAACAGCTAACCGCTAACACAGGAAAATGACAGTTTCAGAAAACTTAATATTCAAGCAGAATAAATTGACATCGTACAACTCAGTACATCTAGTAATAAAAATAATATCTTTGAGAGAATAGAAAATAAAGTAACAACAACCAATAGGAAAACAAATTGTAAAGGTTATGCAAAAGATTGAATTGGAAAGTACTTGCGGTTATCGTTACCAGTTAAACTTCAATATTATTAATAAAAATTGAATAATTCTGTAATCATCTCAGCAAATTCATTGCCTAATTAGGTTAGCTTCTGTTGGGACATTAGATTGTTTAACAGGTCTATCAATTTCTTCCCTCTTTTTTCTTGCTTGATTAAATTATAATTATCATTTGAATTTCATAATGGTTGAGCAAGTTGATGCTTATCCTGACTCAGTAATCTCCTAGATTACTCAACTTCCAGGTGGAGGTACATTTATTTAAGTGGTATAATAGAATGGAACAATACATCCATTATCCAAAATATAAGTACCAACTATCAATGTGTTCTATATCTTTTACTGTATTTTTACAGAGAGATGTGTATAGAATTTCCAACTTACCAATGAAATGCGATGAAAACGTTCCAATTCCCATTGATGTTCAATAATCAAAGAATCTCCTCTTGGTCTCCAACCTTTTATATTTTCCTCACCTCTAACATATGTCAGACTAGTGTCCATGACTGATTTATTATAAATATTTTGATCTAATAAATAAAAAAATTGTAATTCGACATACAGATGTACAAATGTGCAAACGAAATGGCATACACTAAAAACAATGCAGCAATACAGCAATTTGGAAGACTCTCCCTGTCTCCTACATTGTATGAGCATTCCATGTACCTAAATAAATGGTTGCTCTGGTTGTCAGTAAAGGCATCAGCCTTGTGGTTTCCGAAGGAACTCGGTTTTCATCATGAGACGTCATAACTCTTCTAAATGAAGACCTACTGACTCCCAGGGCAGAGTTTAAGTGATCTGAATATTTTTTTCTGGTTGGCGTTTTTTAGTGAGTTAGTTTTCCACGGGATAATATATAAATCATTTATTTAATAAATAGCTATATACATTATACTTCATTTGTCATTAATTGAGTTCATAATGAAGTTAATTATGTAAAAACTGTGGAAAAGTTTGAATAGACTATGTACTTTGAGTATATCCAGTCTGGATTTCCATAATTGATAATAGTTATTTTAATTAAACATAATCTAAACATTTCAAAATGAAAACACTAACGGGACTAAACATAAAACAGCTTTCATTATTTATTAAATACCTTGTGCATTATTTTAGAAATAGTTACATTTTTCTCATTTTAGAATACAACTATGATAAATGTGTTTGTAAATAGTAATAGAACCCAGAATGCGAGTTTCTTCCCTTCCAAGACTCGTCAACTAAATGTATGTGTATGTCAGTTTAGATGTTCCCAAAGGGACTAGAATCCAATGCGTTTTGCTTCAGATGATCAATGCGTTATTCACTGAGCAGGTGAATTCACATATCCATATGTTCTTGAAACAAGTAAGGGAAATGATTATCCTCATAGGATGCCTATTCTTTAAGAAAGACTGACCACAATTCGGTCAAGATTAACAACAACGGGATAATTCATTTTCCTTTCTGATGACGATACGATTATAATCAGTAAAAATGTTGAAAAAATACGCAAAGCCTTGTTTGACAAATTATCGTAACCGTGGGAAGAATATGTGTGTATTCCACTAAGAAAACTATGAAAATTATACAAAGATTTTAATTGCAATTATGAGGCTCTATTCACGTAACATATTCACTGTTTCTTTAACAATAAAATTCTAGCCCTATTTTTATTAAATATAACTTTCTAGACAAAGATGGATAGTGCCTAGCAGTGGGATTCAGGACGCACGTTTCGTCTTATTTGGGACTCCTTAGCTCGATGTACCTACATCTCAGAGTTGATATCTACTTCGGGACTCGAACTCAGTACCGATCGTTTCAAACGCCATCGCGTTATCCACTTAGCTACTGAGTCCTGATAGCCACCTGCTTGAGCAATGGGGTGAATTTTAGATTCACTTGATGTTGTTTTACTTGTATTTTCCTATTGTTCCCATAGGTTCAAGTCCCGGAGTGAACATCGACTTTGGAATGCAGGTACATCCAGCTGATAAGTTCCAAATAGGACGAAACGTGCGTTCTGCATCCCATTACTAGTCACTTTCCATCTTTGTTTAAGAAGCTTATGACTTAAGGCTATATCGAGTCAATCCGTACAGGCTGCACATATGCCAACAACAGACTTATCAATTGCAGTCCTAAATAACAATAGGAAGATACAAATAAAACAATACCAAATGAATTTAATATAACTTTTGTTTTGAGAAATAAATGAGAAATTTATTTAATATTATAAATACACTAAAAGACATAATTATATGATCTACTGTAATATAAATAAGGATTTACAATGATTGAAATATTATTACTTAAATAAACTTAGTGTCCATGCTTTTGTTAATGAACAAAATGGTAGTGAATGAATGTATACAGAGTGAGACTTAAATTTATGAATGACCTATGAGTGACATTAAAGTGACCATGAGAATGTACACTTACTTCGTAGGGTCAAATGAAAGTTATAAACCTATGTGAAGAATAAGGATGACGATTTACAGTTGATGGTTATGAAGGTTATGAATTAGATTTAAAAAATTTATGATCAAACTGACATTAACTAAAATCTCAAAACGCTCTTTAACCAAATGTATGAATGAATGAATGAATTACGCGTCAACATCTAAGACTTTTTATCTTATATCTTATTGATTCGTCCATAGATTATAGTTTCAACGTATATTTTCAACAATTTTCAGACTGAGAATATCAATGTGGATATAAATTAGTAAACTGTTCAATTGTTTACATTAAATTTTACATGAGAAATCTAATTTACTAGGTTACTTTAGGAAATTTACAAACTATTAGTTTACCTATATAAAGAGACGAAATCAAAAACGTTATATTTAGCTACCTATAGTATTTTGTACAAAATGTTATGGTTCCTTCTATTGTATCAAGTTTTTATAGACTGAATGATGTTATAGTTTACTTTAAGCTGTTTAATAAGTAGTTAGTGAAATGTTAGAAAAAAAATGTCTATATTAGCTATGTCTAAGGATTAAGTACAATTAACTATAGAATATTATCCATAATAATGATATGAATTGTTAGAAATGTATGAAGTAATTTAATTTCTTTTCTAAAAACTGAAGTCAACTTAAATACTACTTTGATTATACAAGAAGTACTTCATCTGATTTCATCCTAAAAATACACTATATATAATCTAAGATTTTATTGACACTTTTATTAATTAAGGAATATGATTACTTCAATAGGTTTAAAAGTCATTTTCATCAGTAAATATTATACTAGAAACTCCATGAAATGAATACTTCTAAGATCATAACTGTTAAACTTGATTCTTTTATAACGATATACTACAATAATTGAAATCATGAGTCAATTGAAGCTACACCACCATGGAAGACCTGGAATCACTGGACGATCATTTTGTCCTAGTATGAGACTCCTCAACAGTGCGCATCCACGATCCCGCTACCTGTGAGGTTCGAAAAAAGGACATGTCGGTCTCAGGCGCGAGCACTTAACCATTAGACCATTGAGCCGGCCGATATTCAATGACACTAATGTCTACCTTCAACCAATCCATGAAATTGTGCCACCGTACACCATTGTCTTCAGTGAGCTGATATCTCACAACAGATCTGATACATTAACTTATTTTTTAATTGGATTAATTGTTTAACATTACAGATGACGCTTATTAACATTCATTTTAGCATAATGTAAGTGTAAGTATTGTGAAATTTGTCAATAATTCAAGAATATAATTCATTTATCATATAGACAATTTTTTTAATTTCTCTGTTAACCGATAATGAACGTTAATATGTAATGAAATTGTAATTGCGTTTTCATGTTTATAGACTTTCTAAATAATGATCTATTGAAAGAAGACAAATGTACAATTCATTGTAGAAGATTTGTAGCTCAGGTGGGTGATTTTCATAGAGTTTTGTTCTCTGAGCTGGATGGTTTGGTCGTGAAGCTTTCATCGTTCTTCTGGATGATATTATCAGTACAATTCAGTCTTTATCATAAGATGCTGTATTGAATAGATATATGTTTGTATTTGTTGTTAGATATAAGTGTACTATAGACATTAAATGAATATTAGATAATCTATTTCATGTTGTAATACTCCTTGAAAATATGGTTAGTTTGTATTTTTAAACCAGATGTTTATAGATTGTTCTGGAATTGTCTGTGCCTGGATTACACATGTTAAATATTTTTCTTATCAATGCTTTAACAATTATGTTATTTATATGACTGATAGATGGAATTTAAAGTGTTTGATTATGTCATTTATTTTAATTAAGTTTCGTCTAGGTATATTATCATAGAATATGGGTTTGTTAAGAATTATATCAGTTTATCAATAATATAATTATTCATTTTGATGTAAATTCATTAACCTTATTGTTTCCAGTTTTACCAACTAGAGCCTAATATTGAACAGATATGTATATGTAGGATCAAATCCACACTAAAGTTGTATGATAAGGTCATTAAGTCTGTTAAGTTATTTATGTTCGATATAACTTATGATGAATATATAAAACTTTCGACTATTTTGATGAGATTGATGATCAAAACAGATTCCTAATGAAAGCCTCGTCAATTGATGTGTGGTAGTTTTTATAACACTAACCTCAATTGTGAATGATAAATAAAACTTTTAGGCTTATTTATTAGATCATAATTAGTATACCGACAATCCGATTCCCAGGTTTTCAGTGGTATTCTAGCTTAGATTGATTTGTGATTTTAACTGTGAAAATGCTACAATCTCCAAAAATCCTCCATAATGACTAGCTTCAAAATGTAACTCTTGCAGCTTTAGTGAGGAGCCGTGATTAGTGGGTTCCAATCTGTATCGGGTATGAGACAATTGTCCGCAACAGGCAATCAATAAAGGGTCACGCAAGATCATGGGTTGACTGAATTTAGACATCAGAGTTGTCCGATGCCGACTCATTTATCTAGGGGTTGGGCGTTCGCACGCGAAACATATGGTCTTGGGTTCGAGTCCCGAATATGGGGCCGTGGATAACACTGCTGAGAACTATCACACTAGGACGAAATAATCATCTACTTGTCCTAGGTTTACAATAGTTATGTAGCTTAAATTGACTCGCGATCACAAGTGTGAAAACCAATTTCTGTTCTTAATACGAACGAGATACATTTTATGCAGCATTAAACAATATTATGCTAAATTCATATAATTTGAAGGTATTTCTTATCGTGAACTGATATTCAATGGATAATGATGGAAAACTAAGGAGCATTTGGGATTTCTTCCTAGGTTTGAACCATTATTTAGTGTCCTTATAAGATACGATATGAGATAGAGATCGAATCCTTCAATTGTTGTAGTAAGCAAGATATCGCAACACAGATGAAAACCAGTTATCACGATCTTAATTCCTAATTAGAGCTGGAGTATTGTAATCCGAAGTTCATCTTAAGACGATTTAACTCAACTATAATCTTCTATATTGAACATTTTTAAGATGACCTCAGTCATATAAGTCAGATGTTGCGTATTAACTTGAAGATAAAAACTTGAAATGATCGTCTTATGACGCTACTCAATCGAATATAAAATATATGATTCACTGGATTCAAAATGAAGAATCAAAGGGCGGTCTGCTTGAGCATCTGGGCTACCTGTTCCTGCCATCTAAATATTTCAACAAGTTATCTGTTTTGTTTGTTTTAATATATCATTATGTTTATTAATCGCATAACCTATTCTGCTGCGTTTCTGAAATGTGTACAACCTTTCGTTGTCAAAGTTACAAAAAACTCAATAAGAGACAATGTGGTTGCTGACAATATACAACGAAAAGAATGCACATTATTCAGATGTTCATTTACTGAACTGCTAACATCTAACTGGCGATCACTCGATATTTATCGCCAGGACCGACCAAGAGGAAAGAAACGGAAACTTGTTGAAATACTTTGCGCTGAGAATTCTATATTGTACCAGAAATATAATATTGAATAAAGCTGATGATAATAAAAAAATAATAATAATAAAAATGTTAATGCGCTTGCCACGAGAAGCTTTATCTCATTTTGGATTGTTTGTACGTGCATCATGAAACAGTCAATTAGCTCTCCGACATTCTTCAGTCAGACTCTATTAGAAGTGGAGGAGAATTTTAGCTCAAGTAGTTTATTTTGATGGACTCCCCTCCTCCAAGTTAAAGTAATTAATTGAGGAGCTTTCATTGTTCTTCTGAATAACGTCATCAGCACAAAAATCAGGGAAAAGTGAGGTATTCCAATTTCCCCACATATATTCAACAGCTTGTCCTATCGACCTTGATCCTGATTGGTTATTATTGGCCTTTAGCCTGTCATCGTTTCACCCTTTGACCTGATTCTTGATCCATGGTTTTTCTGATCTATTTCGATATATTTATTGATTGCTAATTCACTTGAGGACCAAGCTAAAAAGTTTCTGGTGTTCTTAGTATCAATAAGCCCTGCGAATAAAACTTCACGAAAACCTTATTGGTAATGGAAATCTCTCTCAGTAACTGACGATTATTGTTCTTAAAAATATTATTTCTTCCATATTTACAGTCAATTGGGAAACTTATAATTTGAAATAAATTGGCAGCAGGTGATATCAAAAATATCAAAGAATAGATGTCGCTTATATGTAACAAGAAACGTTGAGGAAGAAATCACCTCCGTATACATCGGTCACTATAATGGTGATGGTCATCAAAATTTAAACACCTTTTATTTGAACAATATAAGTTCATTAAATATTTAAATCATCACCCGAATTCCTAATAGGTTCGAATTAATCATGACTAAACATAATTGGCAGATCAAATATGCATCAATCTGTTGGCTAGCAGTAAACTCAGTATGTACTTATCATCTCCAGTGTGTTTGAGTGTCTTCTATTATCATTCATTAGAAGGACAAAATGTTTTCATGAATTAAGTAACTACGTATACACTTCTTGGAACTGTTCGTTGAATGACTAAGGTTAGCTTTATTATTTTGAAATAAGGAGAATGTTTGAATACATGTGAGATATCAATTAAATATACAGAATAGTGGTAATAATTTCTTGTCAGAACCAAAACATCTCTAACAGATTTTAGTGATGCACTTAACACAATACGTAGAAAGTATGACCATCATTGAATTCGTCAAATTCAGGGATTACGTAAGTTTAAAACTTTAGTATTTAACTATATGAGATGTATCATTAATTTCCTCAACGTGAACAAATATGATCTTTTTTCACTTACTTTTTGATGCAGTGTGTCCAAGCTGTAAATCATATACAGACGTGACATGATTTGCTTCCAAGCTTTTGGAAAATGCACTCCAAATCGACCATAAAGACCTAAGTATAGCACGAGTAGGATTTGGTATGAGACGTGGACTGAAGTATAGTATAAAGAATGTTCAGATCGAAAAAAACAAATATACCCAGTAAACATTAGTAAATAATGTATAATATAATTATATACATTGATTTACTGAAGAAAATTAGAATCCAATACTAGTTTAAGTGTCTTTCTCGTACCAATCTTTCACTATTAGTCCAAGCGAAATAAATAGACATAAATATTGTCCAACAGCCATCTATCATGTGAGAGATCAATAGATTTTAAGCCTGTGCATCTTTCCTTAACTATTTAATACAAACTACAAGTATAGAAATACATTTACAATCATATGCAGACAATATATGTACATTATTGTACAACATTTATAGTAAATGAATTTCATTAGATAGTACAGTTGATAGTACAATGTAAGCTATTTTTAACATTACAAAACAGCTTGATTCAAAATGTTATTTTGAAAAGAGCAAGAACATTTTCCAAAAAGTCTCAGAACAAGGGAAACAAAGACTCTAAACAGTGCAATCACCAAACATCTCCTTGATATAGGACATCAGGTAGATACCTTGCAATCCTTTAAGGTGATTAGTAAGCAGCCGAACTCCAGTCTTCTGTAGTTTGCTGAAGCTGTTGCCATCAGGTGTCAAAAACCTGACCTATGTGTTCAAAAGGAGACGGTTATTAATATTTCCTTGCCTTGGTGAAAAATACTCTTTCGCTGCATCTTTAAAAATTTTTTTTCTTTCTCTTTAAACTCTTTCTTGCATTCATTACATCATTGAATTTATTTCAACTACCTTCCAAATAAATAATCTTTCAACTGTGCTCTACTCACTATATTCTTATCAATTTTTATTCGTTATGTGATCACTTGTTTCTAGCCGCTTAAACATTTGTCACAATCAATGTTGTAGAATGTTCTTTCACATAAGGTAAATATTTACAATATTCAGTCTATTAAATTTATTTACACCATTGCTATACCATACTAATATGTCTTCAATATAACTTTCAACCAGACGCTTTCATATAAGTAATTTAAACGCATTATATAATTGTGATTTTAAATATCACAGGTTGTAAGCAGCTGACGAGAACCTACGAAATAAAATGGATTCATGCTATTCTGCTAGAATCTTTGTTCTAGCTCTTTTCAAAATGATAAAGGGAACTATGTATACAAAGTGTTATTAAGAAAATAAACAATGTTCTAAATTTAATAATCTCCTTTATTTATTCACTTATATTTATTTTGACGAAGTGCTTTACACTAAGTCACGAAACGTCAGAAATACAAGTTTTCTACTCATTAGGATATAACGAAAAATATAATTTTTTATCAACATAAATATATTCCAGTTGAAGAAGGTTATTTTAGAATCCGATTATTAACTTTCCCAAGCTTTGACAGTAATAACTAATTGATGTTAGTATTGGTGAATAAAACTATTCAAAATATGCATAAATATAACCATTAAGAATTGATTTGATAATATCTAATTGATCGAAGATTAAATAGATATATAACTTTATTAGTTGAATACATGAATCGATCTAAGCTAGACCACCATTGAAAACCTGGAAGCATTGGACGACTGTTTCGTCCTATTATGGGGCCCCTCAGTGGTGCGCATCTATGATCCCGCCCAACGAGATCCCAACCCAGAAACTTTGTTTAAACTCTAGACCACGTAACCGGCATCCAACGATGTTAATGTCTAACTTCAGTCGATCCATGCCGTTGCGCGACCCTTCGTGTATTTCGATAATGATATTAGAAGACGAAGATTATCAGAACTATGTGATACATTAGCGCAATACATTTCGAACAATCTGGTCACACATATACTTGTTAAGAGCATTTATATATAAAAATAATAAAAGGTCAACTAGACAGGAAACGGGGTATTGCCTGTCCCTATCCGACATGGGTTGGACTACACAGGTCACGGCTTCTCACTAAAACTCCAGGAAGGCCATCTTGGAGCCAGTCCCATACTAGGATTAAACGGCTCTTCAGTGCTTCCAGGTTTTCCATGTTGGTCTAGCTTCGATTGACTCATGACTTCAACTATCAATATTATCACAATCTCTACAAACCTCTATTCAAATATATAGCTAACAATACCAATGAATAGAAATTCTAAATTACTGATATTTCGCGACCTAGTGTAAGTAACTTTATCTAGGAGTAAGTAGAGTTTCAGCGTTAGTATATTATATCACATTAAACCCTTTTTGACTTAATATAACAATCGTAAAATTAGACTTATATTCGTATTCTCATCATTTGATCCGACGCATGCTATTAATTAAATCATTTTGTATTTAGTCACAATTCATTGAAAATTCAAGCTTTTTACTCATAGAAATGATTACAAAATTTGTTAGAAATAATATTCAACATAGTTTGTACAAGATGGTAATTTATGCGATCTAAAAGTCAATATCAAAAATGGATCTTGATCTTATTCTGTCTTACAATAACTCAGTAGCTCATGTTATGTAATATTTTACTTGGATTATAACATAAACTATGGACAACTATTTTTTTCTTAAGAATGATGTTATTCTTAACCAATGTGTAATATTCAAAGAAAATATATGAACTGAAATAGTGCCGTTACCTTGGTGTCATAAATTTAGATTCTCTGGGCAATACAATCATAGCGATATCTTTTGTCATACAAACCGGTCGACGGCAACCATCTACTTTCAAATAGGATGACACTGTCATGTAGACACGTTGTCCGTATGGTGTAACGTGATTTAATAAATTTGAGGCATGAAGTGATGAATCCCATGCGGCTTCAAATCGAAACGATATACTGTAAAGGTAAGTAAAAAATGATTCATTCAGTGCTCAATTCATAGAAAATTATCTTCAGGTTTCAAATAGACTATACGAGTTAGTGATATTAACAGCTTTATGAAATGAATGCTTGTAACTACTTTTCTATCATAATGTGAGCTGCCCAGATCAACCCTACTTAATTTAAGACTTTTTCAGATCTAGAAATCGTCAGTAATCTAATTACTCAAATTGAACGCATATGGTTTAATTAACTATCCAAGCAAAAATTCATTCAGTGACCTGAATTTCTATTTCAGGCAAAACTTAAGCAGTCGTAACAACAAATATAAAAGTGGGATTTTTTTAATTTACCGATCACTGCTTGTTTCATGTATTTGTTGAGCGGGCAATAACGAAAGTGATAAGATATGCGTATGCTCATCTGAATCTAACCATTCAGGATTTTCACGTACTCGACCAACGACTACTTCATGTATTCCTTGAAAAAGACATGTATGTGAACAATTCAGTTGATTGTCTATTCTATCAGATTTTATTGGATCAAGAAATTCATGTACCAAAGTTATTGCTAGACGTCTTTGAATTCCTTGATGAATAAGAAACACTCCTTGACATGGGGTTTCGTCTAGTCGATCAACTGGGACAGGTGCGTACCTGAAGACAAAACGAGAAAATAAACGTTAACAGGTTTACAAATATCTGAATACTTTACTAGCTGAATCACTTGTGCATTAATCATATAATTTATATTAAGTGTTACTGAAGAACTGTTGGTCAGGCAATTTTAGGTATTTTGAGATATTAATTTATGGATCGAGTTATTTTTGTTAACTTCTGGTTAACTACTTATACTGATCAGTAATATCGATTACAAACATTTGGAAATAATTTAACTGAACTTATGAAGTATGAACAATGAATGACTGTTGTGAACCATTTTATCTTTGTAATAATTTAGTGAGAATGTAGTTCGATAAAATCCAACTAAAACAAACTTTGTATAAAATTGCATGACCCTGTTGTAATCACAAATACCAGAATAACAATAAATTCAATAAAGATGATGTTAGTAGAAAATAAAGATCTTTGAATCTGATTCAATATTCTTATGAATTTTTTTGAAACATTTGTTTTTTAAAGGTATGTTCAAAGGTAAATGAATACTACAATTGATTGGTCACTGGGTGGTGATCAATGTCATGTATTTCAAGTCTTTCTTAGTGCAGATCGAATGCTATTGATCAAGTTGCAACAGGAATACCCCAACCACCATCTTATTTCACCCTAGTGCACCCAATGTCGAGTCACCTAGACTAGTAGCCACATTGCAATTTGGTCGACAAGATTCTATCTGCACTAAGAAAGACCTGATATACATGACATTGATCACCACTCAGTGATCAATCAATTGTAAATATATCGCAGTCCTATAACAGATCAGTCACGGCCCGGATAGCTTAGTGGTAGCGTCTCTGAATATGAAGCTGGGTGACACAGGATCGAATCCGTCAGGGAGTATCAGTTCCCTCAAGGTTTTAGGCACATCATGCTGACTAGTGCCAAGTAGCACGAGACCTAGGTCCAGGGTTTTATGGTTGACTACTTACAACCACCATCTTAAATGGATACTATATATCTTCGTTACTAAATGCTACCAAAATGGATTAATAATCGTAAAAGATAAAACTTAAATTTTCTTTCAGCTTATTTTCACTATATTATAAATAAACTATTTTTGAAACAATCCATTTTCATAACATTTTCCCAACAATTCATTATGAAAAATAGAAATACAATTCCTCTAAACACAGATATCATTCATATCAGATATTAATCTCCTGTCATCTACATTGATATGACAATTTATTCGTAATTTATTGAATAAAATGGGAAAGAAAAATGATATGCTGAATGGTGTTTCATATAATTCAAATTCAAAAGTAAGACGATGTTTAGGGATTAACCTGATTACTAACAATTTAATCGTAATGTAAAGGTACTGATTTTAAAATCTTCTTCTTGGATAAAGTACATTATTTTGAATTACATTTGTTTATTCATTATTTCTATAGTTGTTGTAAAAGTCGTGACTTATGGAGATTACGAATAAAATATTTATGGCAATGAATGTTATTCATGTGAGACTGAGATAATCACAAGTAACAATAACAGTTATCGGCTTTCAACTCATTGGATTGAAAAATGTGAAAATGGAATCGTGAATGTATTCTGTTGAGAGCTCCTGTACTGGAATAGAAATGGTATCCATTTCTATCTTATTTTTAAGTTGACATTAGTCCGATATGTAATTTATCTTCAAGTTATTTTTCGCTATGCGATTTCATAGAAAAAGAATGATTTAAAGAATGGTCACCAACTGTTCACATGATCTTAACGGAAATGTACTAGCACCGCAAATATTAAAGTTTTAGTTATAATTTAGTAGTTGAGATTATGAGTTAATTAAAGCTAGACCACTATAGAAAACCTGGAAGCACTGGACAGCTGTTTCATCCTATTGTAGGACTCCTCAACAGTGCTCATCCACGATCCCACCCCGCGGGATCTCGCGCGAAACCGACAAGTCCTGGTTTCGAATCGTTATGTCCTGATAAGAAGAATGAATGGTAATTTTGGGGATCCATTTATGGACCAATACTATCAGTATATTTTTATCGTGTAATTGTTATGTAATTAAACTGTTCATATTCATGTCCCTCTTGTTATAAGTTTTATTTTAACCTATGAACTATTATTATACGATTTACCACTCTTGAACTATTCCCTGTCTGTTAATCACTACCTCCCTCATTCACAGCCACATTTGGCTAATTCTTGTACAAATGATGTTTTCATATTTTATGGTACGTTGTGGTCTCTCTGGTTGGTATATAAACCCCGTATGTTTGAAATAAATGATTCATATTGCAGAGGCTGAGACTGGTGTTTTGGACTTAACTGGCTGAGCTAGGCAGGATGTTGGACCAATCAAGACACTAGACTGCTCGCACGGGTTTCATGCGTCACTGGTCCGATCGACAAGTTGCGGTATCGTTGCATTATACATTAACATGGCATATAGGTCACCGAGATATGACACGAATCCCGTGGGGCGGGATCGTGAATGCGCACTGCTGAGGAGTTCCACACCAAGACGAAACCTCCGTCCAGTGCCTTCAAGTTTTCCATGGTGGTCTAGCTTTAGTTGACTCATGAATTCAACTAATGCATTACTACAATATCCACAAGAACCCCTTCCTAATTTTAGTTATAAGTTGAAAACTATAAAAATGCAACTTAATTTCGAAAAATGGTCGAATGTAATGTCATGATAAACCCCTTATAGTTGTTTGAATAATAAGATATTTAATTGATACCTCACATACAGGCAATACAATTTAATCTATTTGTTACTAGCTCTATTGTACTATAATACATTTCATAGTAAACAAAAACACTTTATGAGAATATAAATCACTTTATCAAATGAATTACGTTATCAGTTTAATATGATTAGAGAGGATAACAATATTGGGCTAGTATAATATTATTCTATAATTAACTCTTTCAATTCAACTGATTTCAATTAAGAAAACTTAAACTTACTCTCCATTACGATTTAGTTCTAATATTTCAAACCATACAAGTATGTCATAACGTTGTACTATTTCAGAACTGTAAATTAGAAACGAAAAAGAAAAGATTCATAAAGAAGTATTCTGTTTTTTTGAATGATCTATATTAGTTTATAAGAATAAACGAGTAATTTGAGCTTGAATGTAACTAACATGAAAAGATATATCACCAAATTCCATAATCTATTGCAAATCGCCACCAAATTTGTTGTCATCTTAACTTTAGTTTCCATGTAGATACTTAAATGTATATTTAACCCTTGAAAATCAATCAAAAATTCTGAAAAAATTTTTATTATTACAAAATAAGGAAATCGTCTATTCAGAATAAATAACATTGTCAATTAAATAATGATTACATAGAAACTATAGAAAATAATATTGTTTAGTTTATGTATTTTATGATATAAGTAAACGGAATACACCCATTAAGACATTAAATAAAAAAGATTAGTTCAGCGTAGAGTCCGCTTGTCGGCGAATTTATTTTCAAAACTGTATCATCGCAAATATATATATATATATATATATATATATATATATATATACTTATTTTACAGGATGATAATAATTATAATAATATCGATAATAAACTTCTGTTACTATGGTGACAGTGCAGTGAAATAAACAAAGGTATTAAAAAAAATAAGAACTTTCGTCTAAATTTGATCGAATAAATTCACTTGGTGCTGTTTTACTTGTATCTTCCCATTGTTATTTAGGACTGCAATTGATCCGTCTCATGTGGGCATTTGTGCATCCTGTGTGGACTGACTCAATATAACCTCAAGTCACAAGCTTTTTTAAGCAAAGATGGATAGTGGGTAGTAGTGGGATACAGGACGCGCGTTTCGTCCTATTTGGAATTCGTCAGCTGGATGATCGAGTAGTTTCACAGTGTTTGGGTGCTGAGTAATGTGAGACATTAAATATATTTTTCCTCTTCAACGTTATTGAAAAAGTTTTTTAGAAAACAAGGAAAATTTAAAAACCGTTTGATTTTTAATAACTTAATTATTCATCAAATGATAAATATGGAAGTTATCGTTGGGAAAGGATGTTTCAGCATGATAAGATAAAATGTTGAAATTGAAATTAAATATATATATATATATATGTTTGCGATGATACAGTTTTTAAAATGCATTTGCCAACAAGCGGACTCGTCGCTGAACTAATTTTTCTTATTTAATGTCAATATGATATAATATATTATTGAAAAGAATTGGTATATTTTCTTTCAACCCCTTAATGATAAATATGAAATTATCAATTCTGTTTCATAGGAAATGAATGTAATCATCATTGGAAGATAAGAAGTTTTTATATTTTGTTCGTATTCTTACATTAACTAATTTGTTTGAATATGCTTTAATTCAAGAAAAGTTTAATCATATTTTCTATTGTAGATATTTACTAACAAGTAACTATGTTGTTTTCAATTAAAACTACATATTAAACAAAAGATATTCATGATGTGTTCCAATTATCGCCTCATTTATGTATTATAATAAACATTTGATATATTTTATTATATATTTAAACACATAAATACTGGTACAAAGAGGTACCAAATAGATATGCCCCATATAAATCATTCGATTTATATGAGGGATAGGATACTGCCTGGGTAACCAAACAGAAGCAAATGGTTTTCTTAGGTGGTCATTCCTCGAGCTTTTTACGTAAAGGTCTAATCCACAAGGGAGTGGAGTAACGTTAGGAGATTCAATCCAAAAAAAATAGGTCCATACGCCTTTTGGTTCCATAGGATCTTGGGGATCATGTGCACCATTCGTTTGGAATCAGGGTTTTACAACTCCCCTATGTGGATCCTCCGTATCCACCAACCAGGTTAATGCTCCGGATATTCGCTTTTCGTCCCCTCAATTTCCTATACAACACTCCAACCGCGAAAAGGCAGTCATTAGGACTTCCTTGGCAGTGGTTGTATGAACGTGTCCATGAAAGAGCATTAGGAGAAGGAGGGCTGACTCTCCCCACTCTCGGCCGTACCAAGGCATTTGGGTGCTATTAGGAATGATTTCAGTTAAAATCACTGAGAATTAAATCAACCATGTACTTAATAAGTTTATTCAAAAATCTATGATTAAACGTTACATTTAATAGAATTTTAGTAAGCAAATCATATTTAATCATTAATAGAACCAAACGATTCTTTTTAGAAAATTCAGTGTAACTAAAATTAAGTTCAAGAAATAACTCAGCCAGGAGTAGTCTTTGGACGATCTGAAGCCGTAATAACAAGGAAGGTTATGGTGAAGCTTTCATCCACTTTCTTATAAAATATCCCCCTGCGGAATAAGTAGACAGGGAAAGCTCAATAAATTCTTATCTAAGAAGAGAAATTCTCTATGTTGGACAGTTATAATGCTGTATGATTAATGTAGAAAGTCTTTAGAAGCTACAAGGCAGACCCCCCTGTAGATGGTCAGGGCAAAAGCAGGATAGGGATGTTGAATGTCGTGGAAATATGGAAGGCACGGGGAATCTTTCAAACATCTACAGAAGCGAGAGAACACAATCTGCCTCTCCATGGAATAAGTGGTACTCATTAGACACAATCACGACAAACAAGAGTAGAAAATGGAGAGACGTTATTGTGTTTTGGTCATGAATAAGAAAATTCCTTAAATCCAGAAGGAGTTGCACTGGTGCTATCCAGAGAAGAACAAAAGGTAATTATAAGACGGAAACTCATGACTTCATTATCATCACAACATCACTTAAAATCAATTACCGAGGATGGGGACCCAGATCAACGATCTGGGTTTCATAAGGATAGATCATGTACCATCCAAACGAAAGTTGTCACTGTACATATGCTTTTATGATTATGAGAAAACTCTGGATAACATGGTTGGGAAAACCTTGTAGAATCTTCAAGAATGTGAACGAAATCGGAGCTATGGCAGTACTTTCTGACAGCCAATCTGATTGTAAACAAATGTCTTAGTCGTCAATGACAGATGAAATCCTATAATATATCCATATAAAAAGCATTTCAAATGTTCTCGGAAAATGCTTGGGAAAACAGCACACCCAAACACAATAGATGAAGTCCCAGGCATAAAACATCAGCTACTCCAGAAAACAACAAAGAAGAATGATCATTCATGTGGGGAGTTTTGCAAGGAAGCGGAACGTATTATCTTCATGTCTTTAACAGTAATTTATGACAAAGAAATATTGAGCTCACCTTTTAAATGTCTCTGAATTGGACAAACGTAATGGAGGTACAGGGGCTGAACTCGGGAGGGTTGGAGGCACACAATGTCGGTAACACCTTTCATGAAATATAGTTAGCAATTACATTACGTTTAAGTATTAACAGTTACTAGTTTTATGAACAAAGCAAGTAAATACAGATATATATAGAGTTCTTATCTTAATGACCGTAAATATATTTGTGCATAACTCTAAAAAGATCTTCACCAATTTTAGTTTTTCTTAGCATTAAGAGAAATAAATTAGGAGGTTGTAATCGCCCAATAATAGAAGGGTGAACTGCATCAACCCGACGCGTAAAGGATTTGAAAAAAATACTATGAACTCAATGAAGAACTTTCTAAAGCTTATGATATTTCTTAAGTTTACCTAGCAACTACCTCATATTTAAACTTTGATTTTTGTTGCAAAGTTTGAATCATAGATCTGTTAAGCGGTGAATGAAAATAAGGGCATAACAGTACGTTAAACATCTAAACTGCAAACATAATTTATAAAAAAATTTCAAGGTATATTCATTTTTTATTGACAAATACAGAAGGTCTAAACAGTGACTCTTTTCGTAAAGATTTGTAATTTTCCATTTCTGATTTCGGAACTGTGATTAATCAGGTTGTTGCCGCACAAGTATCCTGGATTCCACAGTTTGTTACATTATAATTGTATTGAAATGAAGCTTTTATTTGTCCATGTAGATATTTATGAGCAAATACATTAACTTAACATCGTAATTAATTATTTTATTAGAATCAAGGAAATTTACTATTTCTTAAAACAACCGTTCACTACACGAACATCAATCTGAAATTTATAGGTATGAAAATACAAATTGATGAAGGATTGTGCAAGATCATGGGTCGATTGAAGTTATACGTTAACACCGTTGGATGCCGGTTCAGTGGTCTAGAGGTTAAACATTCATGAGCGAAACTGAAGGTCCTGTGTTGGAGTCTCGCGTGCGGGATCGTATATGAGAACTGCTGAGTAGCCCTGTACTAGGACGAAATAGTCATCCAATGCTTCCAGGTTTTCATTGTTGGCCTAGCTTAGATCGTCTTGTGAAACTAACTGTAGAAATACAAATTTAATTAAAGTATGGAGTTAAAAAATAACTGTAGGAACCAAAAATTCCAAAGCATTGTTGCAGAAATGTTTTTGTAAATATAAATTATCCAATTCAGGTCACAAAAACATTTGTGTATTCGTCGGTTGCTCAGTCATGTTCCGATGTTGAGATTTTTTGTATGAACACCAGTCATTTCATGTGAAAAATGTTCAAAGTGTGGTGTATAATCCATCTGTCCGCCACTGTTATGTATAGATCAGGTGATTAAGTTATGGCCATTTCAATAAATGTTCAGATTGAAAAGTAACTAAAGGTTTGTGTTGTTGCGTTAAGCAAACAACGGGTCAGAGATATTCAGACATAATAATTAATTAAACAATTGAATGTATGTTTTTATCAACAACAATTCACTAGTAGTGGACTACTTTCTTACTGTATTGCGTTATCCACTAGTAACTGTTATTATGATATATTATCAATTATGCTCTAGTAGCCTGAACATAGTAGAAATATTCTTCTATTGTATTCTTTGTAAAGATGACAACCTGGGTGTTTGAAGTCAGTTCTTCTTTTTCTAACATTTTTGTATAGAAGCTATAAAATTCAGAGACGATTTTATAAAAATATTGACACATTGTCAACTAATTTTAATTATCAGTATAGGGCTATGGAGACTGTTGAGTTTAAATTGATATAATGAATGAACCAATATTAGACTACCATTGAAAGCCTAGAAGCACTGGACGATTATTTAATCCTAGTATGGGACACCTCAGCAGTATGCATCTACGATCCCGCATGCAGGACTCGAACCCAGAACCTTCGGTCGCACGCGCGAACACTTTCAGATTTTTAGTGGTGGTCTAACATTCTTCCACTCATAATATCAATCTAAACTAACTTTAAATTATATTAATTATCAAAGATAAATGTTTGATTTTATTAGGTCAGCTAACTTCACTATATCCATCATGCGAAATACTTACTTTAAAACATTTTGAGTACTTGGTATTTGAGGATCTTCTGAGGTTTTTTCGACAAAATGTCCATAAACATCAAATTCCAGTGGATAGTTAAGAATATAATCGAGAAATCCAACGGTATTTATCACCTTGAACTGTTAAATTTAAAAATTAAAATGAAACATGAACATAATATATTTAATAATTTTTATCCATTTGAAACAATACAAATGTTTTCTTTATTAAAAACATATATCAAAAGGGGTTTTGTGGATATTATAGTGATTTCAATGGTTGAAATCATGAGTCAGTGGAAGCTAGACCACCATGGAAAACCTAGAAGTAATGGACGGCCGTTTCGTCCTATCGTGAAACTCCGCAGGAGTGCGCAACCACGATCCCGCCTCGTGAGATTCGAACACAGAGCCTATCAGTCTTCGCGCGTGAGCGCTTAACCACTAGACCGCTGAGCCGACCGGCGTCCAACGGTGTTAATGTCTAACTTCAACTAATGCACGAAACTGAGCTCGAGCGAGAGACTGATGGGCCCTGGATTCGAATCTCGCGAGGCGGGATCATGGATGCGTATCAGCAATTCATGTCCAATAACAACATTTTTCGACCAGTTGTAAATGACGTAATATGTGTTTAATTTATGAATTCCAAGATAATTGTCTCTAGTTTATCATAGGAAACCCTTTAACGTACTGTACTTTTTGTTTAGCTTCTTAAACAATGAGATGACAGAGATGATCTGAAAAATGTGATGTACTTGCACCATACATTTCGAACAATCTGGTCACACATACTTGCCAGGGCATTTTATATGAAAATTAATAAAGGTCAATTTAATGAAAATCCAAAGAAAAATTAACAAAAGGGGAGAGAAACAATTTTATGTCGTATAAAAAGAATAAGAAATTGTAGCGTTATCCTAGGTCATAGAATGACTTAAGGATTACCAAGGTAAATTCAAGGTTACGACAAACAATTTTTGTACACATAAGGGGGGTTTAAATTTACGAATAGCCAAGACTTCAATAAACTTGAGAGTTCGTCCTTGACAATTTCTATACAACGGTCTAAAAGCTGTATTAATATCAATTTTGTGCCCCGTTTCAGTTATATGTTTCGCTATCGATGAACATGGTTTTCTACCTCTCACGTTGATCGGATCATTTGACACACATTGATTTTGAAGCCAACTAGGCACATGTTCAATGACTCCTACCTATGTATATGTGTCACACAAACAAGTAAATTAGACTTTCATTTGATTGACCTTTATTGATTTTTACGTAAAATGCCCTGACAGGTATGTATGACCAGATTGTTCGAAATGTATAGCGCAAATACATCACATTTTTTTAGATCGACTCCGTCTTCTCACTGTTCTATCGAAACTATGGAATAAAATTTTTTTTAAAAAGTCGATGAAGAAGGCAGTGCTATAGTCATTTACTAATAAAATTGGATGAAAACTGTACTGTTATACACAGTTTAAGAGTATAACCAAACTATCTTCGTCTAAACTCCACTTTTCCGACAAACTTTAAGTTGTTAGTTATACATATAGACCTAATGGTGAATTAAATTCTATGGAACTTGAAAATGTGGTTGTTAGGTAAGCGGAATGAAGTAATCAGTCAGTAAGTTGATTAAAAAAAAACAAATAAATACTTCCGTACAAAAAAAGAAGCAATGAGAGGGGAGTATCTTACTGAAATTGCGTTTTTGTTCATAATTAGTGTTAATAATTGAAACTCTAAGTACTGTGATAAACAAATTATTCACTATCATTCGATTGCTACGTAGATAGATATCTTGGTGGATATTTTAAAATAATGTTCATGACTTCCATTATTGCAATATACCATAAGTATAATTTCTTAAATTGACAAGTTTCTTATATCCTGTCAACGCCTCTTTTGAAAATTTCGAATAATTCACAACGTTCTGTGTAAAAATAGTAATATTATACGCTACATGTAAGATTATTTTAATATCTACTAAGTTATTTGATTAAAGTATAATAACTGACAATCAGTTTTATCCTGATGATATCCCTCTATGACTATACATTCACCTATTTATTATGAGTGTAAGCTTATCTTTAGATTTTAGTGATGAGTTAATCATCTTATTATTGAATCAACAATATATCATTTGGATTTTTATTAGTTTATTCCAAATGTTATCATTATTCATCCTCATCTGATCCATAAATTTGTGGTAATAATCTGAAGACCTTGAACGAGCCTCATCTCTAATATTCTTTCCCCCTACAGGTAACAAACAACATATACACTAAATATACAAAACAGAGATAGCATAGAGGAGCTATGGCAAGATCTTGTATATATTCTTTCATTATAGATTTTAAGTTATATGTGAACTATTTACTTAATGCTCAAGTAGTATATGACTAACAATGTAACCTACTAAAATCATCACGTAATATTATATAATCAGTTTCCTTATTATGAAGTTAGTTTTATGTATAAATTGTTTTGTTGTAAAAGTGAGTACTTTACTGTTACATTTTGTAATTGCATAATATTAACACCATCTATTTCCATATTATATTGTACAGTATCCGTTGAAAAAACTTCATTATGTTGATGTTGAAATCTGATGACGAGAAAAAGAAAGGACAAAAATGAGAAAGTGTCTTGTATACATTTTCATAAATAAAATCTGTAATATCTATAGTGAAATAAAGAAATGGAAACGACACTTATTTTGTTAGAAAGAATAGAATATTCGGGGAAAGTGGAACATTTGATACGTAATTATAAAACAGTTAATTCATTTGTGTCGTCCCACTGATGTTTAGGACTACAACTGATGATCAGTCTATTATTGATATATGTGAATTTCGTGTAGATTGCCTCGATATTACCTTATATCACAAGTATTATAAGTAGAGATGGATATCCGGACTCAGTAGCTAGGTGAATAACACGATAGCGTTTGAAGGTAACAATACTGAGTTTGAGTCTCAGAGTGAACATCAACTCTGAGATGCACCTTCACACAAATTAGGAAGAAGCGTACGTCTTTGATTTCACTGCTAGCCACTATCTATCTCTGCTTATTAAACAATTAGTTTAGGGTATTGTCATGTTATCTTATTTACAAACTTTTATCTAATGTATTAGTTGTCGATATATGTTTACCACCTCTAGATTATCATTAATTAGTTATGGACCAATTGCTTAGTTTGTGTAACTTCTGGCTATAATTTCTTATTTGTGATTCTATGAGGTAACACATTTTATGCATTTAATCTTGAGTATCTGAATTGGATGTATTTCAATCTTATCGGCTGCGGACTACCTATGGAATGGAAGGAAAATCTATTCTGAACCATTAAGAACTTTGTCATTGACGTACTTTTAGCGATAACACTCTCCTCATCTAAATATACAGGGGTTGAACTTCTACCAGGAGGTTCACTTGTTGACTTAGAATATGCTGATGACATAGTTTTATTTGGTGAAGACGCTGACAAAATGCAGAGTCTTCTGACAACTCTAAGCAACAATACAAGCATGTTCGGGATGCGATTCTCTCCCTCGAAATGCAAAATGTTACTTCAGGATTGGGTTACATCGACACCCGAACTAATGATAGGGAGTGAAGTAGTTGAGTGTGTGGACCGCTTCACTTATCTTGGAAGTCTCATCAGCCCTTGTGGTTTAGTGTGTGATGAAATCTCAGCACGGATACAGAAGGCTCGACTAGCTTTTGCCAACTTGCGTCATTTATGGCGTAGGCGAGATATCCGTCTATCAACCAAAGAACGTGTTTACTGCGCAGCAGTTCGTTTCGTCCTACTTTATGGCAGTGAAACATGGCCGGTAAGAGTGGAGGATATTCGTAGGTTATTAGTATTTGATCATAGGTGTCTTCGAAATATTGCTCGTATATCCTGGGACTATCGAGTAAGTAACACAGTTGTTAGGAAACGGGTACTAGGTAAGGATGGCAAATCAATTGATGAAGTAGTGAAACTTCATCAGTTGAGATGGCTGGGACACATGTTACGTATGCCCAACGACCGACTGCCTCGACGTGCTATGTTCAGTGGTATAGGAGTAGGTTGGAAGAAAGCTAGGGGCGGCCAAACCAAAACATGGCACAAGTCCATGAAGTCACTGACAAGTGAACTGAGTCATGTTGGTAGGTGTAGACTACCTGATTGAGGACCGCGAGATGACAGCAACCGATGGTTAGAGACCCTGAATGACATGGCTCAAAATCGTTTGCAATGGCGCAGGTGCATCCACTCTCTGTGTTCTCCCAAATTCTAATCTTCTGAATTCTTCACTTCCCTTTTTTCCTCTTTCCAAATTTCTTTCACTGGATTATACTCTTTAAATAACATCTCCAAACCCTAATCTTCCCGATTACTGCTTATACTCTTATTACCTCTACCACTACGGGATTTGAATCGACAAGTGCATCTCTGTGCTAATGTGGTGTGGCAACTCGAACTGATGTACGTACGTACGAAGTTCTACGTTGTTACTGACTGACTGACTGACTGAAGAATACAGGATTTTGAGTCCATTGTCCAGGGTTAGTATTGTTTGTTATATCATATCATTGATCAAAGTAAGGTCTATTAGTCTAATATGCATGGATTGTTTCTCGTGATTCAGTTAATGGACATAGAATATTAACAGTCACAACTTATTTTACATTCTAATATTTAGATTTCCAGACAAATGATAGCAATCTCTAACATCGTTTGATTTATTTATGATACTTGTAATAGAAAAATAGGTTTCAGGAAAGTTATGCGATTTCTATTTACTAGCTGTATAGGACGTTATGTAAATTGTTATTTTCTGGTTTCTAGATTGTCTGGATTTACTTCCGGGATTCATCCATCGTTATCAGTATTTTATGGGTGAGGATAATTATATAAGCTGGACTCCACTATTTAGACGTAAATTAATATTTTTATACATAGTAGCTAAATATATATTTAGTTAGATGGTCGCATTTACAAAAGTGCAATAAGATCACATAAACATGAACTTAAGGATAACATGTAAGATCAATAACTCAGCTTTATAAATGAAGTAGGTTAGATTTAATGACAGAAATCGTATTCATTGTCTTACAATCTAAATGCAGTAAGCACTAATCCAGTTAGGTGAAACAGTGGCATAAAGAATCTCTAAGCACAGATAGACAAGTGTAGGCAGACAATGTTCCGTTGATTTTGAGGTGGGCGTCCGAAATCGTTTCATGATCTCAGTTCTCTGTTAAGAACTATATGGTAGAGTAATTATCTCCTAAAATTATAAAATAAAACCATGATAGTTCTCTTTTCTGAAAAGCAACCATGTTGCCTGTATTGTTATAAATATTTACTCCCACTAAATTTAGTAAAATGTGTTAACTACACAACGCACATGTACTTTTATACACGTACACTTGGTAAACACTGTAATATGGTGTAACGACATACCAACTACTTGTATCTCACCTATTGTATAGGTTTCATCAATGTATTACATCATTTGTCATTTGAGTTATCATTGCATTCTGTTGGTGTATATTCGTACATTCGTAATGTGTTTAAGTCTTTAAATTCATGACTTAGTGCTGATGGTTATATGTGTTTTAGATTCATTTTTTCATAAGACAAGTAAGTGATAAATGAGTCTCTGTCTAAGCTTGATGTAAAGTCGATATAGGTAATCGACGATTAGATTATAGAAAAAAAAACTTGGGAGAAACGTATGATGATAAGGTTAATTTACACAAGACAATGACATCATTATAGTTAAATATGCTACTAGTAACAATATTACTAACCTATACTGACAAAAAATATCAGTAAAAGATGAATTGAATTTCTTTGCATTTAAAATATTAATACGAAATTTGAATATTTCACCAAGCTTTAAGAAATTAGGTAAATCATTTTCTGAGAATTGTAAAGAATCCATTATCCATTCTTCACTAGATTTCTGATGGTCGGCTTCGCATATTAAAAGAAAAACAATATATTAGCGAGGGGGTAAACAACATATATAATACTTCCAGTTATTAAAATGATATAAAAAGTCCTCATTTTAAAGGTTATATGGGTGTATTTATGGAAGAAAACTAAATGATTACGAATTAGTATGAGTTTGTATTCAGATAACACATGATCATTATATATTTAACATGATTTCCCTTATGGTTGCCTTATATCATGAATTGAATAAATTTGGAAATCTCGATCGTTGGATACTAGCTCAGTCAATTGAAGGGAATGTACTCACAAACGGACTTGGACAGTCTAGGTATAAAATTGTCATGATACGTATCTAACTTTACAAACTACACCTTAATGCAGTAGTGAATGGAACTCATTACTCCAACTAAATTTTTACTGTCCCCTCACTGACTCTTGATATAGCCACTAGACTACTAAAGAAGCAAATAAAAAAACGAGGGTTCATTCCTCTTTTGAATTAATAAAGAAAGGCAGAGAAATATTTGGATATTTATACATTTTTTATAGTGTACTTGACAACCAGGCATTCAAAGCAACCCTCAGTACAAAATTTGACTTTATTACTATCATTACTATTCAGTTTATTTACTGTTGATGATAAAAACTGTAATGAAACATACTCTCAACCTTCAATACGTTCATATTCTTTTGAAGTCATAAATTGAAACCAGAAATAAAAATCTCATTTAAATATATTTATATATACGATTTGGCACATTGGTTGGTTCATATCAACTGAAGTAAACTCTTCATAGAACAGTTAACGATTTGAATGAAATCCAATTGGTAAATTTTGTTAACCGAGAAACTAATCAATAATTCAGTGATGTTTTTGTTTTGTTTTAAAAATATTAGAACAGTTTCTACTCAAGTAAATTACTCCCATAGATAATATAATATGGGTTTCACAGATAACTAACCTGGAACTCAGACGGAGTATGATTTTGTTCAAAATAACTTACCTTGCATATATATATGTGATGTACGAACTAATGTTATGTTTCAAGTAATTTAGTTCACTCCCTCTTTGGGATTATGATATTTTAAGTAAAATTATATCAGTAAACAGTTTTACTTTATCCTGATATATAGCCTGAACTAGTGAATAACGTTAAAACTATGATGGGAGATTTGTAGAGACATTTTACATTTAAACAAAATTTCTATGAACAGATTTTAGCTTGACAATTGGTGGAAACCATCTAAATATTAATTGTCTACTCATTCTTCATTAGCTTCTAGAATAATTTCCGAAATATTACAATTTGATAGAGTTGAAAAGTTTGAATCATCGGTTGGGATTCAACTATCTAAATATAAAACTGTAACAGCGACGCTCAACGTAATTTAGTTACATATTCGACAGTGTCATGGTTACATATTCCTCACAAACCTCATACTATATCATGCCAATTATCCAGTGGATCCTGTTTTTCAATAGTTATCTAGATGAGACCAGTCCATAATATAAATTCTTTCTTAACGTTAAATAATTTCACTAGTTGAGGTCATGAGTCAATTGAAGCTAGACCTCCATAGAAAGCCTGGAAACAGTGGATGGCCATTTTATCCTATTGTGGGACTCCTCAGCAGTTTATTAATTTGTTTATCATTTGATGTGACCTAGTTACAATTTCAATAATGTTCGTTCAATCGAATAAAAATGTCAACTAACTGATTTCCTAAATAAATTATACACATATTTATTAAAAAGTAATTCACTCAACTTACTCAATGTTGATTCATGAGAAAACTGACAACGACGTCTACATCTCAATTCATTCTCTTTATCATAATCACTGAATTGTTTATTCAAACTTTCCTTCTGATCAAATAAACAATTATCTTTTGGTATACCAACAAGTTTTCCATTGATATCATAATTATTTGTTTTAAAACTCTTTTCAGGTGACAATGAAGATCGCTGTTTAAAGGAAATCATTCAATAAAACACTATAGTTAACCAATCAAATCTACTATTCTGTCGATTATTGGAAATACTTTTAAAAATAAGTATTTAGTAACGTTATATTTACCTGAGTGAAATATGTTTCAAAGAGATATTCATATCATATCAGATCATCTGTAAAATCATTTTCATCAGTGTGTTGTTAACGAGTTAACCTCAGTTGATTTAATGAGACAAAAAAATTAAACTATAAATTAAACAAGAAGGAACTAAATTAACAAAATTAGTAAGCATTTAGCGGGTAATACAGTCCATTTCATCAGGCTTGCATGATATATTTGTTCCTCTGTAGCCATTTTAAATGATCTACTACAATTCGAAAGTTTATGTAATAAAACTTACTAATGTTTATACCTAATATAGTAGGGTTTCATGGAGGGTGGTGAAAGCTACAATCATGGTGGGAGACTAAACAACTAATGAATCTGACTTCTAAGTATTATCAAAGATATTTCAAACAGTGGAAATGGAGATAGAACACAACTATAACCGCGAATCAGAAGTATTTTAAAGGAATACAATTGAAAAAAAGAACTTTAAGTTTTGTAAAACACTGTTTTTATGACTTCAATTTATGTAGATATTAAAGGAGTCGAATAGATATTTTAATATATACTTGCCCATTTAATATATTGTAAGTTATCAAATACAATTTCCAATTCATCACATTCATTTGTTTTTACATTAACTTCAGATTGACAATTAGCTTGATCGTTTGTCATTTTATTTTCAGATCGGTTTAAATTAAGAATAGGTTGAACCTCAATAGTTAAAATGCCAGTTATTGAGCTATGTTCATTTAACAAAGTGACTTGACTGGTCATTGGAATCCCATAGTATAAATTCTTTAAGTATAACAGACCTCTAGAAAAGAAAAAAAGGGATTACAAAGGGAAAACAAACATTATCACTGAAGGGTATTCATTAAACAATTTACTTGTAACTCATTGAAAGCTATCAATCATGTACATTTTTTACAGTTATCTAAGTTTTAAACTATACTACTTATATTAGTAAGTTGTTATTGATAGTAAAGCCAGAACAAATATTGATGCAGAATAATATGAATTCATTATATTTCGTGGTTTCTCGTCAGCTGCTTACAACCAAATAGTATGGAACAATTGACATAAGTGAATGTAAAGAATTGGAATGACAAAAGTTAACAATGATAACTATATATACATATATGTGCAAGAATAGGTCAGAGATTACTAAGTGTTAGAATCAAGGTAGTGGAGTTCAGAGACATAAGATAATTTTAGAGGTAATAAAGGATTCATGGGATTACAAACCGATAAGATGAGTTATGCAATAATTGAATAAAATCTGATAAGTTCACATAATTTAAGAGAATCAAGTAAGCGGAAATGTTTGAGTGAACGGCTAGGTTTTCATTTAAGTGTAGTTAATATTTGTAATTTTTCTTATTATGTGTACAATTTCTCAGACTATTAATCCACATCAATCATGGAATACGTTTTACCAATGAATCGGAAATGTATTTAATAAATATCAATTAATCAATTAAAGGTACTTCAAATTTTATTATATCACTATCATCTCAATCAAAAATTATTAACTCACAGGGAGATTGAGTTGACTATGAATAACTTCGACAATTGTATCGCGTGACGATAGTAAATTTTTCTATGAGATAGATAGTATTATGGAAATAATTAAGCCCGTCGGTCGATGCTCATATTCACCAATTGGTTTATACCCTATGAACAGTTGTCTTGATAAGGCTAATCACTTAAATGATTTCGATTCACGGTATCTTACATATTTCTTTCACTAAGTATGTAAGTAGGTGACTCCACAGCAATGCGCATCCACGATCCCACCTCGCGAGATTCGAACCCAGGACATATCGGCCTCGTGCACGAACGCTTAACCTGTAGACCACTGAGCCGGCCGGCATTCAACGGTGTTAATGTCTAACTTCAATCAATCCACGAAATTGAGTCACCGTTCACCATTATTCAGAATAAAATTAGGTAGTTAGGCGTAATACAATCTTATCTTCTCAACATATACTTTTTTCTCCTTTCTAGCTTCATCATACATAAATATCAAATTTAATTGATACAAAGGGATCTAAATATTTCAAATCAATCTTCAGAATGACAAATATATCATTTCTTCACTATCTAATAATTCTATGAGGTTTAAGTTCAAACCTCATTAGTGACTTACACAACATTTTTAACCTATACGTCCTTGGTGAAGAAATAGGCTAAGTAACTACCAAGATCCATAACTGTGATAAACAAATTTGATGTATAAAGTAATGTTTTATTTAGAAGTTAAAAGATGTGGACTGTATTGGGTCAAATAATGTTTACTATAGGGCTATACTACTAAAAAGTAGCATAAATTGGAATACAAGAAATAATATACACTAGTATTTCTCCTAGATGCTGAACAAATAAACTTAGTTTTGTTTAACTCGTATAACACAACAATTTGACTGATAAGTAGAAGCCCAAACAAGAGAAAGTCTAAAAAGTCAAAAAACAGAAATACAACTGGATTAGCTTATCCATAAAAAAGTAAACATTATATCTTAATAATTGAGTTCATGAGTCAATTGAAGCTAGACCACCATGGAAAACCGATGGGTTCAGGATTCGAATCTCACGGGGCGAGATCGTGTATGAGCACTGCTGAGGAGTTCCATACTAGGACGAAACGGCCATCCAGTGCTTACAGGTTTTTCATGTTGGTCTAGCTTCAATTGACTCATGAATTCAACAAGCAAATTACTACATTTTTTAAAAGTACTTAAGAATTTGAGGAGATTAAAACAAAGTTTTTCACTACTTACCTGCCAATTTTATGATACCAAGGAAACTCATTTCGAAATGGATCCTTTTTAATGTCATTAAATGGCATTTCATTATCACTGCAATTATACAATTTCTCATTCAGTGTATTATATTCAGTAGTTTTCAGTATTGGAGAAAATGCTGTCTCTGCTTCATAATAATCATGCATTGCTTGAAGACGACGTCTAAAATGTGTTAAATACATTCTAGAAACCCTTTTAGTCAAAAAACCTTCAATCAATTAGTTTGAATACACTCATGAATTGACGACAAAAACCTTACCAGTAATTTGATAATATGGCAAATCATGTTCAATGTATATTTTTCTGATGAGTATCACTTTCAATATGTAAAGTAAATCATGCAAGCCAAAGAAAACTAAATTAAGTAGAAGATGAATAGTTTATTTCCTGACTTATTTTCTAAATACTACTTCAAACACTTCAGTGGTTAGCTGCCTTATTCAAATGTGGTGAAAAGGATAAGTAACTTAGTATTGACTTCAGAGTTTAACGTTACACATCAGTTGTATCAATGTGCGAAATAAGTAGATTTAAGTAACTTTTAGAAAGCTGAGGCGTTGTATGAATACAGAACATGATTCACATTACTATGATACTTGGAAAGAAAGTGTTTCTATGTATGAAATAGTTCAGTGTTTCTGTTGATCCTGTGAACGGTTAATTAATCAACTGTAACTTGACTTATTTTAAGTCATTTTGGCTAACTGAAACCAGTTGATCTTTCAAAATCCACAACTGATGATTCAACGAAGACAAGGGCATCAAAATCCAATAATTAAAATACTTAGCATGATGAAAATTATGTTGATTAATATGCAAATTTATAGGTGGAGATAATACTTTTGGATAAACTAATATATAAATGAGTTATCATACAGATTAAGAAGCTGTCAATGTGAGATTATGAATATTGTTAAATTTCATTGAAATCACAAACAGATCTAAGTTAAACCAACATTGAAAACCTGAATGGACTTGACGGTTAGTTCACCGCATTATGGGACTACACGATCCCACTACCGAAAACTGAACCCAGGACCTTCGATCTCGCGTGCGAACGCTTAACCTCTGGGATCCAGTGGTGTGCATGTAATATTTTGGGAGAAACTGGTTTGTTAAGGGTTTGAGATTTCCAATCATTTTCACGTACTATATTGCCAGTCTGACTGTTGACTTATTTCGCAAATTTACTTATGTATAACAATCAAGGCTTTAACTCTTATCAGTCCTGCAGCCTCTTTTAATCTGGTAATCAATCAAAAGTTGATGACAGGAGACAGATCAATTCTTTATTACGTGCAATTTAATTATGACTCAAAACTCACTCAACAATATACTGAACATGCCAAACCAAGCACAGCACTAATTAAAGAATCACACTTTAAACACAATCAAGCAATAAGTAGTAGATGGTGAAGCAAACAGGTTGACTAATCGCTTACAAGAAGAGTAATATAGAAGTGCAATGACGCAGTTACTTACTAGTCATACGAAACAGATTCAAATAGTAGCAGTTCGAAAAGTAGCGCTGAAAGTTACAACCTTCTCAATATTCGTTGGATTGTACCAGTAAAAGTCTAACTTCAATCAAGCCACGATATTGTGTGACCATCTTTCAGTGTCTCCGGTAGGTACCTTCCTCACACCCGACACGGCTTCTTACTTAGACTCAGGAACTTCCAGAGCCATTCACTAGTGAACAATTTAGTAATCTCCCACAACCCCATAATGAGAATTATCATGTGCTTTTAGCTTAAGATAATGTACTGTAACTAATTATGGAGGATAAGATTTCATCATACATTTGTGTTCTTGAACTTTCCCCCATATATAACTGTTATGTCCTGATAAGAATAATGAATGGTAATTTCTGGGATCCATTTATGGACCAATACTATCAGTATATTTTTATCGTGTAATTGTTAAATAACTAAACTGTTTATATTCACATCCCTCTTATTATGAGCTTTATTTTGGCTTATGAACCATTATTATACGATTTATCATTCTTGAGTTATGGCCTGTCTATTAATTACTATCTCCCTCATTCACAACCACATTTGGCTAATTCTTGTACAAATGATGTTTTCATATTTTATGGTACGTTGTTGTCTGCCTGGTTGGTATGTAAACCCAGTATGTTTGAAATAAATGATTCATATTGCTGAGGCTGTGATAAGTGTTTTGGACTTAACTGGCTATGCTAGACAGGAAGCGAGACCAATAAGTACTCTAGGCTGCTCGCACGGGTTTTATGCGTCACTGGTTCGATCGATATTTCTCTGCTCTCTAATCGGCGGTCACAAGTTATAACATTAACATTAAATACATGATATTTTTATGCTTCTAATTCGGTCGAATAATTCGCTTACTTTAAATATATCCCTATTTACAGCTGTTCAGAACTTCATGTTCACCTTACCGTAAATAAGAATGATTTTGATTCATAGGTGTGCACAATGTACCTAGAGGTATAATTAAAAATTCATCAATGGAACAGTCGTGGGCAAACAGTATACGAAACAATATTTAGAAATGGATCGTAGGACATAATGTGTGATACCAGCCAACCTCTAATAGATATAGTGGTCTATAACGTTATAAATCAACTATACTATCAGTTATCACAAACTAACTCCCATGAGAAATCAGATACCAAGTCAATTAAACACAACTGTTACACAACAATCAACCCATCAAATCTCACACGATAGTTTCCTTTTACTGAATTTTTAGTTGTTGTATTGTGTATAAAGGAAAGATAAACTTTTCACTTTATGCCATTACAATTATAGTCTTCCAAGTTTAACTATAAACTTACTGAAATGTATTCAAACTCCAATACTGTATTGCATTACTTAAAAGATCACGAATTTCTATAACTAAAATAGTTGGATTTTTTAGTTTATTTTTATAGATTCTTTCTAATGAATACCAATATGGATTAGATAATTGGTTTATTTCATTTTCTACTTCCGGTAAACTTTGTATGGATGAACATTCACTGCATTGATTTTCACATGAATCATAATTTGATTTATCCAAAGGATTTAATTCATTTGGAATAGGTGTATATGGTGTAGCAGTTAATAAAACAAATTGAAATTGAACCTAAAAAATTAGTGTAAACATTGTCAATATAATTAGAATAGAACAATCTAGTACAATCATTTGATTAAATTCGATCTTACTAAAGTTGCTATTATGATATTATGTAATTAGTAATAACTATTGAAGGGATAACCAAGGGAGTCATTACTGAAGGCTTTCACCCATGCTATTGATATATATATATATATATATATATATATATATATATATATATATATAAGTTGACTTAGCTAATAAAATGTATGATACGTCTTCTATGTTATTGGGAGATTGACGTAGTTAAATAAAAAGTAAAAACTCAGTAACTTCCTTAACATCAGGTTCACTTAATTCATAATATTCTGACTGAAAGCTATGATTATTTGGTTACAGCATCATAAGTAGACACTAGGTAGGATAATTCAAATGTCGCATTTTCAGTATGATGTAAACCATAGCCCTTGAATCCAGTGCAACACTATATATTATGATTTAGACTCATAGAAACTATGACATTTTGTTATCTGTTGTCTGACTTAGATGGAATGATAAGAGATTTTTTAAGCTAAAGCTGACAGAATAATCCAATTCCTAAGTTAACCTGAGGATAAATAGTCTAGTTGTAGTCTTGTATAGTTCCTAAATTATCATTATCTAACTAAATAAGTAATCAATTCAGATCACTAAAGCTCTGGGTAGCTTTAGGGTGCATAAAATTGTTTAATAGTGAACAGTTTATGCTTCGTAATTCTCGTTGTTGGTATGAAACTTTCCATTTCCATTTCAATACTTTGTTTTTCCCACAAGTTTCAATATACTTTAGGTATATTAAGAAGTTATGCATTTAGTAACTTAGTGAACATATCATTAAAAATTTTATACTCACCTTTTTATTTAGTTCTACACTTAGTGCATTTGCCTCTTTAAGATAGACAGCGTTTTCCCATAATTGATCCTACAATTTCAGTATTACCATAAAAAAATGATCAGTTGGAAGAATGAATTTATTAAAATATTTTGGGAAAACATAATATCATCATACTCTCGGACAAATCAATATTATAAGTCAGTATTTTGGTTAGTTTACGTATGTTTTCAACCCTGCCTGGAGCCTCTTTAGGGCTACTGTCGGTCCTAAGCCCGGCTAAATGAGGAGGGTTGGGTATGAGGTTAATGACCCTATCCCGTAAAAAACTAACTCGCTAATAAAATGCTAACGTATATTTTCAATAATGAAAGAAACAAATATAAATTGCGTTTTTACTTACGGAAAGCTACAAAAATATGATAGAGCATTAGTTTGCAAATGTTTACTATGCTGAACAATAAGTTTCATATTTACTTTCCTAGTGATTTCCTTGGAAATAATCATTCTATGGATTGTAAATACTGTCACTAATTTGAATAAAATACACAGGTGATGATTAGTACTGGTCTTTGATTTGAATTTGTACTAGAAAGTCTTGATTTATGAAACTAATCAATTTATTCACTGAATAGACGTAAACATTTCAATAGTTCTTTAGATGAGACTATAATCTATGAACGATCTTTGAGCGACGCTAAACTGACCTTGAACATTTCCACCTAATAACCAAGACCAAATGAAGGCCTATAAATCTGTATGAGGAATTATAATTATGATTTACAGTTGATAACTAACATAAGCTATAATGCCAAAACTATTTATCCGAATGAATGAGTGAATTTCGCGTCAAAATCCTAAACCTGTTATCTTATACGTAATTGGTTCGTCCATAAATTATAGTCTCGCTGTTCTTTATGTTAACTCTTTTACTTTGGTAAAATAGGTTTAGTCATTAATTTATTAGGTAAAATTGTATGTTTGTTTTCAAATAAGAAACTTATTACCGGAATTCTAAATGAATAGTTACGATGAGATTGTGTACATTTAATACATGATTAGAATAAAGATTTGAAAAAGATGACAGACGATAATGATAGGATATAATCTCTCTATATATACACCGTTACATTTATGTTTGCACAGTTGATTTATAAAGGAGAAGCCACAAATCTTTTTGCGTAAGTTTTAAATAATCACATTTACAGAACTTCGATTAGTCTTAAATCTTGAAAAGGTCGGACAAAACTAATGAAATTCTTGTATGAACAAACTGTTGTTAGATTCATGTTACATATTTATAAGAATAAAATAAAAATTACTTTTGTTAAGTAGCTTATTATTTACTGTACGAAATAGTATGTATCTAATTGTATAATGTAAGTTTAAATGGAGTAAATAAAAGATCATGTATTAAGTTATTGAAGGCCATTGACAGGTAATGAACTCGTTACTAGTTTCAGTAAACACAATTTTCTCAATAGTGAAAGGGTAGATAAACGTTTTCTTTAGATAATGGTTGGAGGTAGTCGACAGGAAACCCAGTGGTAACGTCTCTGACTATGAAGCTGGGTGACGCGGGATCGAATCCGTCAGGGAGTACCAGTTCCCTCAATATTACAGGTACACAATGCTGACGAGTACCAAGTATCACGGTCCAGGGTTTCCTGTTGACTACCTCCAACCACCATCTAATCTTAACATAGTGCACGCAATGTCAAGTCACCTAGACTAGTGGCCATATTGCTACTTGATCGACAACATTCTATCCGCACTATTAAGGACTTGACAGACATGACATTGATCACCACCCAGTGATCAACCAATTGTGAAACGTTTTCTTTTTCAAACTATGATACTAATATTGATTAGATCGTGCATCATGTGAAGATGTAGATATTTGGTGAGTATATGACTATTATTAATTTAATAATTTCATTTCCATGATAATAATGATTTGCATCTATCTATTTCGATGATACCTAAGACAGAATAAAAATCGCCATAAATGTTCCACTTACAAGCTGGTATTTTTATAACTTAATAGTATTACTTAGTATAAGTTGGGGAAAAAAAATGAAATATGGTATCTTTAACCAAACATCAAACTATTCTTTCCCTTTCATACATCTTATAGATTCCTAATACTGGAAGAAAATTATGTAGATAATGAGATTTATTATTCAAACATCTTAGATTACAAATTTTAAGAAGAATTTTATACCAGGCAAATTATAACATTACGTCATAATATTAAAGAGTAAATTTACCCGTAGTGATGTAAATTGATGATTAGTCCATTTATTAAAAACCCATCGAGCTAATTCATATTCACGATCTCCCCATTTACAATCATCTAATTAAGAAAAAGGATATTTTAATTTTGAAATAATAAGATCTTTGATATAAATGATCTATGTGATCAAATGGTGTTTAGTTCAAAAATTAAAGTTAATAATAAACTTATATTGAGATTTGAGGAAGTTCAACGTAGGAAAATAGTTGACCAGACCAATAAAGCAACAGACTTCAATGAAATTTTTGCATAGTTAAATAATGTAGTATATAATTGGTAAATATTTTTAAATAATCGAGAAATAAGTTCAAGGGTAATAATTCCAATAGTTGAGATTATGCGTCAATTGAAGCTAGACCACCATGGAAAACTTGGAAGAATTGAATGGCCGTTTCGTCATAGTATGAGACTCATTAGCAGCGCGCATCCGCGATCTCGTCTCGCGATATTAGAACCCAGAATATGTCGGTCTCGGGAGCAAACGCTTAACCATCAGACCACTGAGCCGGTATCCAACGCTGTTAATGTCTAACTTCAACTCATCCATGAAGTTGAGTGACACATCCACCATCGTCTTCAGTGAGTTACTATCTCACAACAGACCCGGTTGAACTCCACTAGTCACTGCTTTTCACTAAAACTTCATAAAATACCTCTTGAAGCCAGTCATTAGTAAGTATGTTGATTAGTATCAGAAGGGGTTTTTGTGGATATTATAGTCATTTTAAGAATTCTACTTAAACAGCACATCCAATTGTAAATTATCTTTTAAAATAGAGACTACTAAATGCAATTAAGTAATACGACAGTTATTCCATAATTTTCATAAAGAGTTCTCTTTTCGGTAAACTCATTTTCGAAGCTGTATATATGTATACTTATCATCCTGTAAAATGAGTATACATATTTGCAATTGTACAATTTTTGTAGTTACCAGATTCGTTAATAGCATACGGTTAGGAAGGAGCAAAATAAATACCTCAGTAATTAGCTATAGTTGTTAGTTAAACAGTTTAATGTATTAATTTTGTTGATAACATACGTCTATTAAATTTTCAGTTTGTGGTTGTAGAGACTGATGAATTTTACTGAAATCATGAACCGTTCATTGTTAGAAAAGCATTGAAAACCTGGAAGCACTGAATGATTCATGCTTTCGATGAAATTCAACAATCTCTACAACCTCAAATTGAAAATTATCCTATGACCACTAGTGACTAGCTCCGAGAGGTAATTCTGAGAGTTCTAGTGAGAAGCCGTGAACAGTGGTGTATGACAGTTACCCATCGCGCAAGATCATGAATTTGTTGAATATAGATACCGCCTAAGTTGTCTGGGGTTAATGCGTGCCGAATATCCTGAATTTCAATCCCACTTACCTGACCGTGGATGCACCTGCTGACGAATCCTATACTATGACGAAAAGGCTGTCCAGTGATTTCAGATTTTCAATGATAGTCTAAGTTGATCGGTTAGTGATTTCAATGAAAATCTATTAAATTAATAGTTAATTAATATTAACTGTTGACAGTTAAGTGAATTTAGGTCGAATTATTGACCTGATATTTACAATGGGATATATTTCATTGTAAATGGTGATGTCATTTAGATCAGCCGTCAACCAGTACACCGAAATATTTCGATATTGTTCCACTGATCAAGTACTGAATAGCAGTTTATATTGCAATCCTAACAAATAGTCGAACAAGTAACAATGTCAGCATTTTATTCAAGTCATGGCATCTAATGTTAAAGCTGTTCCATCAAAATATAAAAAATTGTCAATGTGAAATCATAATGAAATATATTAATTTAGAAAGAACATATCATGACGTTCGTATTTGAAAAAGGTAAATAATGAAGGCCAATTACGTAAAAGAACGATGAACTATGAACATCTAGTCAGTACTTCGCTGTTATTTCTAACTTTTTAAGGATTCTTGACAATCAGGAAATACTAAACAGATTTAATCTCATTCCATGTATCAACAAATGTAGCAAAGCCTTTAATTGTGAGTGAACCATCACTATTTAATTTGTTCACATCACTAGTAAAAGGATGAGAAACTTTATATACGACCAACTTATTAAAACTCGAATTTATTTCATTAATCTAGTTCATTAAGTATTATTTGCCTTCAAACTTGTCAATCATAATCATCACATATAAAGTTTTATTATTACTAACTTTAAGGTAGACAAATTGTACAAGAAATCATTTATGATAAAGTCTTAAGTTGCCACTTAGCCGCAGAATACGCATTTCAGCATCGAAGATGATTACTTGTTCCTTTTAACAAAGTGTCAGTCCCATCAGATTTTTGGGGGAGAGAAAGCTAGGTAATCTCAGAAACATCTAAATACTGAGACGTTTGTCGAACAAATTCAAGTATCTGTCACAAATGATGATTTGTCAGAATATAACTAATAATATCTGATGAATGAACAATATTAGGATTAGATCAAATACCAAGACAATTATTGATAGGGATCATGGATCGATTAATGTTGAACCATCATTGAAAACCTGGAAGCACTAGACGGCCATCTCGTCCTAGTATGAGACTCCTCGGCAGTGCACATCCATGACAATAACATAATTGGTCTAGAGGTTAAATGTCTGCGCGGGGAACCAAAGGTCCTGGGTTGGGATCTCGCGTGCGGGATCGTGCATGAGCACAGCTGAGGAGTCCCGTACTATGACGAAACGGCCGTCCAGTGATTCCAGGTTTTCAGTGGTGGTCTAACATTGATCGATTCATGATCTCAATCAATAACTCAACAATCTTCACAACCTCGTACTGATAACCAAGACAGTCGATTGTTGGTAATTTCATAGAAAATAATCTCAATTATGTGGCTTACATATATTTTCATTATGTTCCGTTTCACCAACTATTTCTTCCTGGATCGTAGATTCTAACATTGAATGACGTTCAACTTGTTCTTGCAAACTTTGTATTCGACCTTCATACTCCTTATAAAGATAAAAAAATATTAAACCAGAATTATTTACTAGATAAATTGCTCACAGTTGATAAATTATATAAATGTAACTGTTAGTGAATAGTATCGTAAAGATCACTAATAAAAACCGAATTTTATGATAACTAACAAAAGTGAACGAGAACGCGAGTGGGGAAGACCAACTAGTTGTTTAACGCAAAATCACATATTGCGTTTGTAAAATATGAAAATCATACATTAAATACATCATTTTCATATCTTTTTTGTATTGTCCTTTACATACTCCATTATTCTTTTAATTCTGTTGTTATTTCTATTGCTCTCTTATTTCTTTCCTGTTCTCTTCATTTCTATCTTCTGTGGACAGGCATTCCACTTCCGTCTATTGTTACATATTACTTTTATCTGTCAACATAAGCAGTAAACATCACAATACGGTTGTTTCTTTCCCAAACGGTACTAAAGACAACATCATGTGATATCAATTTACACATTTGTAAAATCATTGAATTTGTATTGTACTGTAACAGGAATTCAATATTACCGGTTCGGATAACGAATGATTACTTGTGAAATATTTATGTCGAATATAATTATTTTTGTGAAGAGAAACTTATATGATACTATGCAATGATTTAAGATGATAAAAGTCAACTATTTAGAACACCTATGAACATTTAGAAAAATCAGTTCACCAAAACATTTACTCACATACTTCATAAGTTCTTAGTATGACCTGACGTCTAGTCTCATAAAATATTAGTTCACAGCGCACCACTTTGGAACTTTCTCTTTATAAAATTCTTCTATAAGACCAGAACATACATACTAATTGGTCACTATGTAGCATACAGTGGTACGACACCTTATCTCTAGTTATGATAGTATGTGGGATTAAATCGAGGGTACGAATCTCCAGAGTATCACATCGATCAAATTTGCACATATATTTAACTGGTAACTTCTAACCAGAACAAATCCTAGTTTCATTTTTTCCTAATGATCAACTGTGACCATCAAACATTTAACTAAAAGAATCGCAGTGCTCAGCCAGCAAAACGTTTGTTCACATTATTGTTTATGAGAGTATAAACAGTATCAAGAGCTATAGGATATGACAGCATACGGGAAATGGTGATGGAATGTTATATATTCTACTGTTCTAAGTGCTATCTTCAAAGGTATCTATTTTATTACAGTTGTTCACATGTTTATTTTTACATCTTTTAATCAGTAAAACATACTTTTCGCTGTTCAGCAAATAATCGATCAGATTGTTCTTTCTCACGACGATATTGTTCTTCTAATTGTATTAGACGATTTTCAACTTCTTTTCTTAAATCAACACCTTGTTTTTCTAATAATTCACTGATGGCATAATTCCAGTCAATTGGTTCTGTAACACTTGCTGAAATATTTTTCATAGAGATTGAACTTATGGGTTATCAACATTAAAATTAGGTTATCTTAAAGACAGTATTAAGAAAATAAACTTTGTTAATGAAAAGTGGTAATTAACAGCCATAGAAACGTTGGTACTTTAGTTATCTACCTAATCTGTGAATAACACTAGAAGATTTAAAAATTAAAGTTACGATAATAAAATTCATGTAACGTGTCATATTGAGCTGTGATCGACCAGTGAAAAAGGATAAATAGGCTTCTCCATGTCAACTACTATATAGTATATCTTTATACATAGAAGACTGATTTCCACTCTAGATACACTGGGTGTAAACTGACTGTGTCAAGTGATTTACTACTCAGCTTATAATTCGGTCCTGTATTCTGGTAATGAAACATGTATTTGGGTATAATGCGGTTCATTCAGCATCAGTGTATCGATCGAGTATCTAATCTATTGCAGTATAATCTCGAATTTCGTGCCACGATCAAATCTATTATTAAGTATTTTCCATGATAACAAAAGTCATATTAGTGATACAATAAGACTGAGATGATAAGTTGATGAACGTATAACAACATGAGACATTGAACTTATAATTATTGAGTACAGTTAAATGTACTGAAATCGAAAGCTTTTTTGGTCTCACAGCCATCTTTAAACTTCAGCTAACAAGTTGCAAATACGTTGTTATTAAAAAATCTAAGTCTTACCAACAGGTCCCAATGTGATTGGTGTATGAGTGATCTACGAAACTTGGATTTTCCAATTTATTTTCAAGTAGTATCTATTCATACTTACTTTTGTGCTCCATATTTTGTATGTGAGCAGTTCTATTTCACAGGAAAAAACCGATTCCCGTGACCTGTATTTTGCTTTTTAATGACAGTTGATTTTGAGGAGGAACTGAATCAAACTTTTACACTCTATAGCGTTCATCAGCAACATAAATTAAATCACTTCATCTTATTTACCGATCACTATACTGTTCATTAACTTAACAATCCAAAATTTACTCATCATCGCAAATCCTGAAATCTTTTCTCTCTAACAGATATAAATAAAAACGTTGGATACAATATCATTCATAGAATGGTATAAACTGAAGACCCATTAAATACAAGACGTAAACGATAGTTTTGTCGTTTATGTTTGAAACTCTTGAACTATATAGACTCATAAACAATATACAATCAAATTCAATAAAGATGAAATGATATACTCGTTGATGTACATTTCAGCTTTAGTCAACTTATAAATATTTCGACAGTTGAGATCATGATTCAATTGAAGCTAGACCACCATGGAAAATCTGGAAGCACTGGACGGCCGTTTCGTCCTATTGTGGGGCTCCTCAGCGGTACGCATCCACGACTAGAAGGATTTGTTCAAATGTAAGTCTTAATAATCAACATTTAACCACTTATTAGTGAAATCAATTAGACTGATTACAGTAGCCAGAAATTCATTAAATAATTAAACAACTTGGATTTCATTTAAAACTATACGAGTAAAATTCTTAAATCAACCTTTTATCATGAGCCAACTGAAGCTAGACCACCATGAAAAACCTGGAAGCACTGTTGGATGCCAGCTCAGTGTTCTGGTGGTTAAGGGCTGATAGGTCCTGGGTTCGAATTCCGCGAAGTGGGGTCTTGGATGCGCACTGCTGAGGAGTCCCACAATAGGACGAAACAGCCGTCCAGTGCTTCGAGGTGTTCCATGGTGATGTAGCTTCAATGGAATCATGATCTCAACTGTTGAAATTACTACAATATCCACAAAACCCCTTCTGATATTATAAATATTTCTTTGAAAAATTCTCCAATAACCCTAATATAATCGATCTCATTAGTTCTTGGTCCCTATTCGAACTTAGTAAATTTATCAGAAAACACTGCATTAACGAAGGAATATTTATAACTATTTATTCCTCAACCGTCGTTCAGTAAAAAATGAATTAAATCACTGAGAGCTATACGACAAGATTCATTGTTCAGACATACCATTTTATCTTCACTATTTTGGTACAAAATTTGAAAATAAATAATGCAAATCATTTGATTAATTTTTAATTAACTTAGACTCACCTGACATATCGACGGGAAGATTCTTTTTCTCGCGACCTGTGAACATTATTACAAAATAGATTTCATCAATGCTTATCTTACATCCTGATTTTCGGAAAGGAAAGTATAGACAACGACATATAATGGGTCAAAATTGACTGAAGTTAAAAGTGAATGGACGTCAATCCTGAGGTTTATAGTTATTGAGCGTGGGATGATAATTAAGATTTTGGGTCTGAATCATGGTATGCCTTCGGATATCATATAGCTGAGTATTCTCAAACTAGAATGAAATGTATGCATAATGCTTTGTGGTTTTCGATGATTGTTCATTCAAAGCTAGTCCAGGATATAAACTATATCTTAATAGAATAGTGTCTTTGCAAATATCTTGTTTTATTTACTTAACCATTTGAATGCCCTATTCTTTTGAAGTTGAACAAAAATGTTTGAGGAAGTATCCCGCCTTTCTATAATAATAGAGCAAACATCCAGAGACAAAAAACCATATGCAAACTAAACTAAAACTTTCATAAATTAGTCCCATGATAATTTGTCTTTTGCTGAGATGAACAGAATACGTTGAAACCTGATAAGCTAAGTAATTTTTCAAAAAATATTAATATAGATAGTTAAAATGATCCATTAGAAATGAAATGCTTAGTGAATCCCTTCTGACTGTTCTTACAAAGTCGAATATAACAAAATTTATTGAGTTTGGGATATGTCATAGTGCTGAGAAACTATGATTTAAAAACGTGATGGGCAGTTTCAGTATTCTTTAAAAGGTCTATAAAACAAACCAAATAATTGAGGGTTCCTCAAAGTGTTTGTAAGTTCAAAACAAGCTATTAAGTCTTAAACAGTTGAAAGGTAACTAGTTATTCAAATTTTTTTTCATTCGGTTGATCATAAGCACTTTTCTTCACATACTTATATGATGAAAATGAAAGAAATGAATCGAATGAGATAAAGATAATTTCCGTCATGAATTCTCCCTGAGTTTTGAAGATCTTTAGTTTCATTTTATTTTGGACATCTGAATACATAGTTGTTGATAATTTGTTGCTTATTTCACCCTGGTTTTGCTATAATTCTTCAACTGACATGAGCTCATATCGAAAAATATCGTAAAACTACACAATGGTTTCTACTTCAAATTCTGTTCATGTACTGTTTAGGTACCGACGTAATTCTGTAACATGGGAATGCACCAATAAATACTTGATTATAATTTATAATTGTTACAGTATGTAGGTAGGCAGACATTCGATGAATATTGTAGATAAACCGTTTATGACTCTGAATCAACTTAAGGAAAATTTATTTCCTGTAACTATCCTCATGGATTTGCTAAAAACTATCTAACTATAAACTTTTGAATGATGAATTGAATTTATCGTCAATTATTTACGACTGCACATGATTAACTGGCTGTATTATTTTCCATTCTACATAGATCTCTTAAATGAGAAGATGGATAGAAACAATGTAACGTCAGGTTGACAATTAATTTTAAAATAGAGTCGATAATTTTACATAGGTGACAACATCACACTGATGATTATGTCTCATTTCATTGAGTTTATCAAATAACTGTGTGTGCATACTCGATTTATACGGAGGAATAATCAAGCTAGATAAATGATGTTGAGAACATGTGTCAAATTGGGTACAGGTTCAATCCATATATCATATGTAAGAAAAACGAACGTGTTCCTCCATAACAAGTCATATGATTGACTTTAAGACAAGCTTTAACGATTTAAATAATATGTGGAATCTGTATTTATTGTTTTATGGTTTTCTTAATTCACAGTTGATTGCCTTAAGTAATTGATGTGATATTTGGTCGATAATCCTGTGACTCAATTACAATCTTATTGTTATCACTATGTAGTTCCGATTATCAAATGGTCTTGATTTTATGGCTGTGCACTGACAATGTTTATTTAATAGGTTTTATCACGAAAGGAAAGTACATTCAGTTTGCCTGCTGAGTCGTTCGCTCATGTATTCCTTTTTTAACCTTTTCCGAAGTTTTTACTGCAACCACATACTTTCAGGTTAAACGCACATCAAACAACGGCTAAACGTAATAAAACCAGGAAATGAACAGTCTTACAATATATACACAATATATCATAAGTTGCTACAAGGTGATTTTCAACTCTTTAAAGATCAACGTCATTCATATACTCGTTTCATCATTTTGTTGGAGTTTCGTCCTCTGAGCTGGATGGTTTGGTTGTGGAGCTTTCATCGTTCTTCTGAACGACATCATCAGCACAAACTTCGGGTAGAAGTGAAGTGTTCGGATTTCTCCACATGTGGTTCACAGCTTGTCCTGTACACCTCGATGTTGATTAGTTCTTATTGAACTTAAATGTGTCATTGTTTAGCTTTTTGTTTTGGTTGCGTCTCTCATCTGTTTGGTTTTTTTTCCTATGTTTGTGCATAATTTTTCTGATTGGTTGGTAAGTTGGATCAATTTCATTGTGTTTACGTATTGCTGATTTACCTAAGTGCCAAGCTTCTAAAAATTCTCTGGTGTTTTTGAAATTGCCTCTATCCAAAATCTCCACACTTTTCCAGTCGAATGTGTGTCCGCAGTTGTCCACATGCATTAATATAAGCGAGGACATGTCATGGCGTTGTAGTTCATGCAGGCGGAGATGAAGAGGGCGTCCACTCTGTCCGATGTAGTGTTTTTTGCAGTTGACACAATTTATTTTGCAGATGATGTTTGGTTTGTCTTCTTTTGTCATTTCATCCCATAGTTTGCATATGATTGATTGTAGGGATTTTTATACCGATAAACTAACAGTTAATCCGTAGGCAGATCAAAATTTAATCAATTTTATACTCCATCAATAATACAAGACTATTTCTTGTAGCCATGAACTTTATACTGTACGAAGTTCTATTAACTCTTATTACTTTATTCCACCTACCATTATTCCAAAAGTACTGAATAGTCTCGTACACTCTTTTTATTTCATTAGGATTTACCATTGGCGTAATTTATCTGCATTATGAACATGAACTACTTTTAAAATTACTTTCGGATCAAGCTAATATTTAAATCTCTAGAACAGTGTCATTAAGTAATGAGTGATGAAGAATACAGTCATATTTTAACCTTCATTATTCATTCGTATATACTCTGACTGAACGTAATATATGAAAACAAGAAGAAAAAGCTATGAAAATCTAAGAATTAAAGAATGTTATAATCAAATCTATGAGCATGGTTATATACAGATATATACATAGTCAGAAATATACTGGGGAAAAAACTCCAAAACAGACATTTTAGACATTTTTCAATGACTTTGAATAATTCAACTACACTAATTTTGCAGTCAAATAATGAAAATTTAAGTAGACTACATTTTACTTTGTTAAAGTTAAGCATCGATAGTGTGATGTGGGTTACTTATATCCTCACAAGCAGTATATAACGGTGGTCAGGCATAGGATGTGTTTTAGTAGAAGGTCGATGAGGAAAGAACGTGAGCGGAACGCAATTGGTATGAAAACGCATGAACAATGAAATCTGAGGCAATGGATATATATATATGTATATATATATATATATATATATATATATATATATATATATATATATATATATATATATATATTCAGTTAAACTATATTTGACATTACAAATACATTTACTTTTTATAAAATTCATTATATAATCATTCAGTATTCACAATGAATGTAGTGATTTAGTCAAATTATTATATGGAGATAGTGTATACAATTGAATAAAATAGACATGCTTAATCTTTTGAACTCTCTTACTATAAATGTAATCAGAATGATAGATATGATGACTCTTTGAAAAAAGGTTTCCTATATATGTAAAAGAAACGAAACAAATAAATTTTCTTTATTGAATGTATTGTTCTTGAAAAGTTGAAGTTTAGTTTTACTTCTCTCTTAAATTTCAATCATTTCACATAACTTACTTTGAAGTGGATGATTGAAACGAAACACATGGCTTTTGCCTAAAATTACACGAGCTCCTGTATGAAGTTGAATGCGTTTTGTAACTAGACTTCCATTTACATAACATTCAGCTTCATTAAGCTGCTCAAATTCAACCATACCTATAAACCAAAGGAAAGTTAATGATTACATTTTTTTTATCTCATAGAATAAAACTAAAGAAATGATAAACATTACTTCTACTTTTTAAAAAAATATGTTCACAACTATCGTTAATTCAATACTTATTCTTCGTATCGTTACTATCATACATTATTTACAATACTGCATGGACAGAATAATTTTAAGCTTATAAAAGAATATCTTCGAAACGGCCGTCCAGTACTTCCAGGTTTTCCATGGTGATCTAGCTTCAATAGACTCATGATCTCAGCAATTGTAATTGTCTCTGTTATCTTTATTCACAAATCTTTGTGTTATTATTATTATTATTATTATTGGTTAACCATCATTATTAATCTCCCCTATACATAATTCATTCACTTCGTATTTATCCCTCCTTATAACGTCTTACTCATTTTTCACACAAACATTTGACCGAATTGTAATTCCACTATTATTTCTCAGAATGGGTTTTGTGGAGATTTTAGAAATTTCACAGATTGAAATCATGAGTCTGTGAAATTTCTAAAATCTCCACAAAACCCATTCTGATAATAATCAACTGCTCACTAGTGACTGACTTCAGGAAAAACTCCCGAAGTTCTAGTGAGAAGCCGTTACCAGTGGAGTTCAACCAGGTCTGTTGTGAGATAGGAACTCACTGAAGACAATGGTGTACGGTGGCGCAACTTCGTGGATTGGTTGAAGTTGGACATTAACACCGTTGGACGCCGGTCGGCTCAGTGGTCTGGTGGTTAAGTGCTCGCGCGCGAAGCCAGCTGGTCCTGGGTTTGAGCCCCGCGTGTTGCGGGATCGTGGATGCTCACTGCTGAGGAGTTCCATACTAGGACGAAACGGCCGTCCAGTGCTTCCAGGTTTTCAATGGTGGTCTAGCTTCAACTGACTCATGATTTCAATCTGTGAAATTACTATTATTTCTCTCACCCTACCTGACCCATATTTATTCTGATCATGGATCTTAAATTTCACTTGACACATACACAGATTCAAGTTAACATTCTATATGAGTCATATTAACATTAACAATTTTATTGTATTTTGTTTAACATACTTTAAACGATGTACTTTGCTCTTAACCTAGCCATTTTTCGGATTATTTATTTGGATAATAGGTCCTGAATAGAATTTATTAAAAAGAATGTTCATCGTTCAAACAATTATCTTTAAATATGATGGGGGATCTTTAAACGACAGTTACTACTATTGAAAACCTAACAAGTGGCTTATTTAAAGCATTTCGCTATAAATTTGATGTATTGTATATTATATAAAAGCTGGCGAATGAGTTATTCATATGAATGATTCATGTTGATTATAACTTTAATATGTATATCATCCATAATTGTTTTCATTAAAATAGATATTTTTCCGTCAATATTATCATGTATTAGTCTATCCGATATGATTGTTAGAGAAGAATATGGTTGAAACTCTTAATTAACCATACGAAAATCACCGATAGGCAGTTGGCAGTGGATAGCTGTTTTATTTAAATTTAGAACTCGCTTAGTATTGTACATTCAGGACTTCAGAATGAATTAACTTCAGAACTTTTTCTGCTTTTTTTTATTTGGCAAATAAAATATCGCCCCATTAAGATTTTAACTGCAGATTACTGAGAAAATTGGCACAACAATTATAAGACATCATCAATGGTGAGTATTTCACTTATGATACAGCTGTACTCTACTAATCATAAAACTCATGAACTTATCTGCACAGAAGTTACAAACATGTTCTTGATTATTATTTAGTTAGATCATTTCTAAAATGTAGTTACATTTAGAGTTGAATTTTATGGTTGGATTACATCAGCTGAAGAACCTTTAGGTTTTAAGTAACTTTAATACAAACTATTTATTTAGATGAGACAATTTAAATCTTTGATAAACTATTTATTTGTAAATCTTTTAATTTTTATTCATTTGAATTGATTTACAATCTACTTACTTCCTTCAGTATAGAAAATACAATGTTCATTATGAATAAGTGGACCACTTAATCCAATATCAACTCTTGATTCAGATTCCAATCGGCCAACTCTGCAAAATAAAAGATAAACTATGATGATATGAAATATTTAAAATATATATATATATATATGAACCGAAAGTACTGGTTTTGGCAATTCTCCATTCTAATGGTTTTGAATAATACACTGGTTACTATGAGTTTATGGTATTTGAATAAATTCAATATAGAAAGTGATTTCGTGGATATTACTATAGTTTTTAGTAGTTAAGATCATGAGTCGATCGAAGCTAGATCACCATGAAGAACCTGGACGGCCGTTTTGTCCTAGTACAGAACTCCTCTGAAGTGCTCATTCACGATCCCACCTCGCGAGATTCCAACACAGGACATATCGGTCTCACACTCCAGCGCTTAACCACTAGACCACTGAGCCGACCGGCGTCCAACGGTGTTAATGTCCAACTTCAACCAATCCACGAAGCTGCGCCACCGTACACCAGTGTCTTCAGTGAGTTGATATTGTATAATTGACTAAGAAAACAAGATGCATCATTCATAGCACCTATTTTCAATTTAGTTCAATAGATAAATACACTAAACAAGTAGTTTATCTCCATTTATAAAACCTATTGAAATGATCAGAGTAATGAATGTTAATTGTAAAAGTTTTAAATGTAACATTTGATTCAGTATTTATTGTATTTTCTGTAAGATGTAACTGGTTCATAAGAATATTTGCTGAATAATTATCGAAATTTTCCATTAAAGAACTTACACAGTTTTTCCTTCTTTAAGATAGTAAATAAGACATTCTGACATGGCTGGATCTTCATTCAGATTCACTAAATGCGGAGTCTTTGAAAAGAAAAAGGAATAGAAATAAATAAAACAAAAATAAAGAACTGATGTTAGTAAATTTCGTGGTTTAATTTATTAGATAAGTAAATTAGAATGAAATGGATCAATATAGGATGGTAATTTTTGACTGTCTTAAATATACACCAACCAGTTTGAACTTCTGGTCAAAATACCAAAGAAAGGCGATCTCAGCAACTGTGATAACTACAGGGGCATCACTCTTCTCTTAATACCAGGAAAAGTGTTCAACAGGGTATTGTTAAACAGGATGAAGGACTCCGTAGACGCCCAACTTTGAGACCAACAGGCAGGATTCCGTAAGGATAGATCGTGTACATACCTAATCGCAACACTACAGATCATTGTGGAACAATCAATTGAATGGAATCCATCACTCTACATCAGCTTCATTGACTATGAAAAAGCATTTGATAGCGTAGACAGGAAAACATTATGGAAGCTTCTTCGACACTACGGCGTACCTGAGAAGTTAGTCAATATTATACGGGATTCCTATGATGGATTAAACTGCTAAATTGTGCATGGAGGACAGTTGACAAAATCGTTCGAGGATTGGAAAAGCAAGAGCAGCATATTGACAACTGAAGAACATCTGGAACTCTAAACAACTGTCACCCAACACCAGTGTCAGGACTTTCAATACAAATGTCAAGACAGTTCTACTGTATGGGGCGGAAACTTGGAGAACTACCAAAGCCATCATCCAGAAGATACAGGTGTTTATTAACAGTTGTCTACGCAAAATACTTCGGATCCGTTGGCCGGACACTATTAGCAACAACCTACTATGGGAGAGAACAAACCAGATCCCAATGGAGGAAGAAATCAGGAAGAAGCGCTAGAAGTGGATAGGACACACATTGAGGAAAGCACCCAATTGCATCACAAGACAAGCTCTCACATGGAATCCTCTTGGCCATAGGAAAAGAGGATAATCAAAGAACACATTACGCCGAGAAATGGAGATAGACTTGAGAAGAATGAAAAAAAAGTGGATGGAACTAGAAAAGAAGGCGCAGGACAGAGATGGTTGGAGAATGCTGGTTGGCGGCCTATGCTCTACTAGGAGTAACAGGCGTAAGTAAACTAAGAAAGTTTTGTTTTACTAATAAGGCTTTATATAAATGAAGTGCAAATCTTTTTTAGACTGATCATTTACATTTAGTGCAGAACAGGTCACAATCCCTAAGACTACTGTATTATACTAACAATAAGATATTTCCTCTGGTCTGAAAACTGAGTTTCTAGGTAATTAGCTTATTTTCTATGGAACTACAATGAAAAATCACCATAAATGACATGTTTTTGGGTTGAAAAAAATGTAAATTTTGGCTACATATTTCTATCCTTTTTTAAATTACTATTATTATTCATTTATATTAAGTAAGACAATTGATAACACAACTGCCACATGAATGGAACTGGAAACATTCCATACCATAGATTTAGTAGGTAAATTAAAAAGAAATAAGTGTTGTTCTAACTCCAAGACAAGTTTATGTGATAACATATTTTCATTGTGGGACGTATTTAATGTATTACATTCGAAATGGTCAATTTTACCACGTCAGACGATGTTAGATGATTTAACATACTTCCCAGTAATAGACTTGTTTAGCTCTGGTTACTGAAGTCTAGTTGCTAAATGCTGATAGAAATCAATACTTATTGGTGTTTTTGGAGCTAAAAAATGCATTAAATCGTATTAGGATGATTAAATGACGATTTCCAAGACGGTTTCGATTGACCTCAAGTGAGAAACCATAAAAGTCAAGAGTCATTGTACATCTCTTTTGTCCTACTTTCAGACATTTTACTGATACACAATCACAATTATGACAGGGCTTGGACCCAGGGTTTAAGTTCCTGCAGGAAACACTATATCTATAAACTATTGTATTAGGATCCAGTAGTCCAGATCTGTAAATTCAGTCAAATAAAAATCATACGAATTCATGAAAAAATTAATATTAATAAATATCATTAAAATAAGTGCTTAATTCACCAGAACAGTTTAAATATGCATACATTTTTTGGAGAAAATACACCTCTGACACCACCATCATGAATAGCTATTCCCATTTCCATTAATTCATTTTCTCTAAAAAACAAACAGCAAGAAAGAGGCGAAACTACCATGAAATGTATGCCAACTTGCTAGAATATAATAATTAAAGTTGTCATTGACTAGAATTAAGCTAAATATGGTTTAAATGAGACAAATTTTTCACTGAAACTGAATCGCGGTAACTAGTCATGAACAGATTACATACATTTCTATATCATAATGAATGTTAGATTAATATAAACACGTAATTTATATAATTCTAAACTACGATAAACGTATTCCCGATTTATGACATTAAAAAAAATCTGTTGGAAATGCTGAAATCTCTGTCTGATTTAGTTAAACGTTTCGTCTATCAGTCAATATTTATAATTATATGAGTAAAATTACCCACACACAGAATTGTAAACATTCAAATCATTCAAAACCTATAAATTAAACTATTTGATAAATGGATAGTATTATTTTAATTTGTAGTAATTTGAGTATACATCCATTAAATTGACATTTATAAAGCATTCCGATAAATGAGTTTGTATGATATTATGCGTATATACGCCTTCACATTTATTCCACTTATTTACATAAACAATGATTGTTTAAACCACTTGTATTTACGTTTGACTGACTGATTCAACCACTGATCGTTTTATTTTCAGGGTTAATATTAATTTATTCTTTTTTGTCTCTTCGCTTCTACTGATTAGTCGTATCACCTAAGTTGTATAATATAACTTATTTTAATTTAATCGTTGAATTCATTAGTCGATTGAACCTAGACCACCATGGAAAGCCTGGAAGTACTGGATGGCCGTTTTGTGCTAGTATGGGACTTTTCAGTCTTGCGCGTCCACGACCCCGCCTCATGAGATCCAAACCCAAAACTTTGGGTCTCGTGCGCAAACTCTAATCCTGTAGACCACTGAACCGGCATCTAACAGTGTTAATGTCTAATTCCAACCAACCCGCTAAATTGCTCCACCGTCCACCATTGTCTTCAGCTGACTCATGAATTCAACTATTAAATTACTATATTATCCACAAAACCCCTGTCTGATTATTCTAATTACTCTCGTTTAGAACTCTGAAGGCTACATACTTTTGGGAATTATCTTAACAACGATGATCTAGAGTATCTTTTTTTTCAAATGTAAAAATAACCGTGCATTACTGTTGTGATTAGTCAAAGAAACCATTTAATAATCTAATTTTTTAAAGGCTATAATATTGTATTTTTAAAAAAAGGAACATTCGTCTGTAAACCGTGTTAAGTTATAAATATAATTCATTCAATATTCAGGACTGTATTTGATCAGCGTGTTTTCAAATAGATACATCTTGAACGACTGTCTCTAATATTGGAGAGCAAATATCTACTTGATGAGTCAATTATAACAAGAAATATGAGTCATAAATTACATTGATAATCATAATCCAACATATACATAACTAAATTTACGATTTTAGACTATGACAAACTTTCCTTTTTGATAGAAACCGATTAGATAAAACTCTGAATATGAACCACGGGAAAATAAAAATCTTCTTTTTAATAATATAGTATCCATTATACAAGCTAGTGGTGGTCTAGATTCAAGAGATTAATGATCGACTCATTAATGTTCATACCTATAGATACTGAGTTACAGTCTCATTATGGACGGTAGGATAGCAATATTTTAAGTATATTTTATTAAACTTTACTCATGATCACACCTTTGTTCTCTGAGTTTTTCAGCTTTTCTAAGTTTCATCTCCATTGTTTCATTTAATTCAGCAATTAACTTTTCAGAAGCTTTTAATGCTTCTAAAGTTGTTTCATCTTCATATATAAATGTTTCTGTAGAATGTTGATTTGTTATAGGTGAAGTTCCAATGGTAATAGCTGAAAAATAGTGAATATATTGAATGAATTATTTGAATAATTAAAACATCGTTTCTGTTTATATTATTAATCTACATAAAACATGAGTGACTTGTAAAAATTGGTTAAAAAATAGTATGGGTTTTGTGACTTCAGGAAAAACTCCCGAAGTTCTAGTGAGAAGCCGTTACCAGTGGAGTTCAACCAGGTCTGTTGTGAGATAGGAACTCACTGAAGACAATGGTGTACGGTGGCGCAACTTCGTGGATTGGTTGAAGTTAGACATTAACACCGTTGGATGCCGGCTCAGTGGTCTAGTGGTTAAGTGCTCGCGCGCGAAGCCAGTAGGTTCTGGGTTCGAGCCCCGCGTGGTGCGGGATCGTGGATGCGCACTGCTGAGGAGTCCCATACTAGGACGAGACGGCCGTCCAGTGCTTCCAGGTTTTCAATGGTGGTCTAGCTTCAACTGACTAATGATTTCAATCTGTAAAAAATAGTAGTCGAATAATGATACCTAAGTAATTTGGACGTAAATGAATAGTAGTCAAATCATAGAAGATATAAGATAATCTCACTATAGTTTAATAACTTTCATTGATGAAGTGATTTCTTCATAGATATGACGAACTGTATAAATATAAGTGTACGAATTGTTCCAAGATACCTTTCATGAGTTAATAAATCTTGACAGTATTTATAGTATATGGTATTCAACATCTGAAGTCATCGAGATAGAATAAGTCTTTAAAAACTTTAAGGCAAAAGTGTATTTTCAAAATTTAGGTTTTTGTAATTTTATACCTTTTTCACTAATGTGTCAAATGAGCTCAAAGTTTAAGTTTAAAATTAGTATTTATGACTTCGAAGTCGAATAATCAGTTTTAAAAGCATTGAGAAGTAATCAGCTTGACAGTTATATATATTATCAGGCTAGTGAGTTAATACCGGTACATAGGTCTAAGATAAGACATTTCAAATCCAATTATTTCATTTATAGATCACATAACCTAGATGACTGACCTTTTCACAGAATCAAGAATTCGACAATATAATGTTAATTTATCTCTAATAAGGCAGTGAGTGTATCTTCTAGTGTTTCACTTATGTAAGAGTTAGATGCTTTGTTTGTTTTAATCTGAAGTACGATTTCACAATCACAAAAATTTCGATAAAAATTCTAAATAAAGTTTATAGGTTAACAATAGTTTATAGTATACTTTTGATAACATCGAATAAAATCTTACAGGTTTTCATTTGATCTTCCATCTTCAGAATTTGCTTTAAACGTGCTACTTCAGCTTTTAATTCTCTAATTAAAACTGCTGTTGGATCTTCATTGATAATTGCCTTGCATACAATACTTTTAGCACGATCTGCATAACGTAGAGTTGATAAAGTTTCATCAAAATTTACATCCGCTGGTGATAAGGCTGCAATCATTGTTGTATGTGAATTTCCACCTATTGTTAAATGTAAAGTGAAAAGTACAAAGTGACAATAATTACAACAGTTGAGATCATGAGTTACTTGAAGCTAGACCACCATGGAAAACCTTTAAGGACCGGACAACCGTTTCGTCTTAGTATGGGACTCCTCAGCGGTGCGCATCCACGATCCTGCTCCCCGCTAGATTCGAACCCAGGACCTGTCAGTCTCACGCGCGAGAGCTTAATCATTAGACCACTGAGCCGGCCGACATCCAACGGTGTTAATGTCTAACTCCAACTAATCCACGAAATTGAGCGACACATCCACTATTGTCATCAGTGAGTTACTATCGCACAACGGACGTGGTTGAACTCTAATGGTAATGGCTTCTCACTAGAACTTCAGGAAATGCTAGGACGAAACAGCCCTCCAGTTCTTCCAAGTTTTCCGTGATGGTCTAGCTTCAATTGACTCATGATCTCAACTGTTGAGATAACTACAATCTCCACAAAACCCCTTCTGATACTAATAATAATTACTTTAATAAATAAACATCTTTTATTTGATGAGCAGTTCTTTTGTTAATGGTTTTTATTACTGATAATCACAAAATGAGGATTTTATCAGTTTATTACTCCTTTCCAGAAACATTTTGTATTGGGCAAGAACATTTTAATCTGTTTGTCACTGTAATGAATTAACTCTTTGCATATTACACATTTTAAATGGTTAAATACAATAAATTATATCAAGGCATAATTCATTTATTTCTCTAATCATTTTCAACCAAAATACTGTATACACTTTACTTTTTATTTTGTAAAGGAGAGATGTTTTAATAGCATGTTATCATTTTATAGATCATATGTTTGTTCTTGTTCATCTAATGACTCAATCAAATGTACATGTAAATTAAGTTTTTTTTAACGTTTATTTCCGTTATGTAATATATATATATATATCACTTATTAAATCCTATTAATGGTTACTGTCAGGTTATGGAGGTGGTTACTTCACGCTATACATAATTCACACTGTGGTCCACCTAATCAGTGTGCCAAAAGAACCACCTTCGGTATCTCGTGATTTTCCTGCTTCGGTGTGAGCACCCAGACAGTATCACACCTCACACACAAATCTAGTGACTTGTGTGACCAATATGTAGTTGGTGCCCTTTTTGTACTAACATTCATGTCAGAAGGGTTTTGTGGATATTATAATAATTTTAATGGTTGAGATCATGAATAAATCAAAGCTAGATCACCATGAAAAACCTAGAAGCACTAGACGGCCGTTTTGTCCTAGTACAGAACTCCTCTGAAGTGCTCATTCACGATCTCACCTCGCGAGATTCCAACACAGGACATATTGATCTCACACGCGAACGTTTAACCACTAGACTACTGAGCCGACCGTGGGTTTGTGGATATTATAGTGATTTTAATAGTTGAGATCATGTGTGAAAAATCATCAAGTGCTTACGTGATGTAATAATTTTGGAAGCAATAAAAAGTTATAATCTATTGAACAAAAGATAATGACTGTCTACTTAATAAAGACGAAGAAGAAGAAAGTAATAATTAGCGCTTCTAGTTTGTAAAATTGGAACGAGTACTAAGACCATGGTAGAAGAATGGTTTGAATGTGACTCTTGTGTATACAGAGTTCGGGTTTAATTTTCATTGACCTTCACTTGAATAATTGTAACAATATTTGATTATTCTGTCCGGCTCCTCTATTTTACTATAGACCACTTCATGTAAAAACCCTTTAAATACCATTGTACAGCTTCAAAAAATGTGGAGAAACCTTTCTTTTTTGAAACGTCCTAATTCGTTTTGAGTGAACAGACAAGAACGTTAGTCAATTTATGGACAAATGTTTCACTTAGCAAACTGACCTGAGCTTTTTCAGCAACCATTTAAATTTCAACCGCTGAAATTACTCTAAATTTCATTTTACATTTAAATAGTCAGATTGAATCACATTCATGATACTAACTATTGGTTGCTTCGATTAATCTGAATGTCTAAGCAATTTTGAGATAATATAAAACAGAGCATAATATATACTATTCATTTAAACAACTGTATTTCTTTATTCATAAGCAAACGTATTGCTACTGGGCTCAAAGCAATATGAATGCTTTTAAGGTACAAACATTAACACGTCTCTCTAGTAAACATTTCGGCGAAATAAATACAAACATACTACATGATTGTAATTTTACAGTTTTGTCAAAATCACAAGTCTACAATTAAGAACAGTACATGTAATCATATCAACCAAGAGAAATATCATCTATGTAAACAATGACTTTTATAAATTATTGGAATAGAGGTTTGTGGAAATTGTAATAATTTTGGTAGTTGAATTCAAGCAGTGAGCTTCAAGATGGATTTTCTAGAGTTCTAATGAAAAACGATGATCGGTGGAGCCCAATCCGTGTCAGGTAGAAACAGGTATCTACCTCAGACAATGGATAAATGATTGCGCAAGATGGTGACTCGACTGAAGCTAGACATTTACGAGTGAGATAGAAGGTCCCGGGTTCGAATCTCACATTAGGGATCATGGATGCGCACTGCTGAGGAGCCCCACAATAGGACGGAACGACCGTCCAGTGCTTCAAGGTTTTCAATAGTAGTTTAGCTTAGACTGACTCATGGGTTCAACCTTTTTAAATAACTAAATAAAAAGTAAGTAAATAAAAGTTATATTTGATATTCGTTACTTTTATACTTACCAAGATTTTCTTTTAATAACCAAGTAAGTACAGAATCACGATATGGTATAAAATCAGTCTTCTTTCTTCGTTTTGAGCTCTAAACCAGAAATTAAAAAAAAGCAAAAAATTATGCCTTCATTTTTGTCTTATACACTTTATCAGACTAAAGAAATAAATCAACTTTTTCTTCACTAAAATAACTGGACCATAAAAACATTTCATAATGAAGATATTTCTGGTTAATTAGTACTAACTAGAAGTGACTACATATTACAGAGTCCCTATTGATCAGCTTCTCGATAACAATTTTTACCTTTTCCATCTTACATTCTATTTTACTAGTTATTTCGAAATCTAATTACTATTACAAAAATTTTCAGTTTGGGTGTTGTGGAGATTGTTAAGTTTTTGATTGAAGCTAGACCACCATGGAAAACCTGAAAGCACTGAACGGCCATTTCGTCCTAGTATGAGACTTCTCAACAGTGTACATCCAAGATCCAACATGCGTAATTTGAACCCAAAATCTTCGGCCTCGCGCGCGAACGCTTGACCTCTAGACCGTTGATCCGGCATCCAACGGTGTTAATGTCTAACTTCAACCATTGAAAATCGAAAATGTTAAATATCACATTAAACTCTCACTTAAAGTGTTAATAAAACTTCAGATGGTTTAAGTTTATTTCTTTTCCCAATTCAGATTTTGTTACAAAGGTACTTTAACGTTTTAACATGTTATTCATATCTGTTTTAAAAAATCATTAATGAAATGTAATGAACTATATTATTTACAGTTAAATTGACAAACCACATAATAGTAAAACGAACTACTTGATCTTGAAGCTAATATTAGCTTGCCATATTATTGGAACATGAAAGTTGAGTGTAAAAACATCTGCAACATTTTGATCCCAACTTGTAATGTTTCATATGTAAAGGCGTTTCACTAATATGTTCCTTTCTTCTTGATAAATATCAGATAATGATATTAAAAAAACCTTATGTTATTCAACATCTTTGAAAATATTGTTTTGGGATTTGACAATAGAATTATAGACTTCAGTCTTTAGTTTTGATAAATCTGTAAATTTTATCATTTATCACTACTCTATAAATCAAACTAGTCAAGGTATTGACTTTCATATTAGTAATATAATTTGGCTTGGAATCCATCGTTTCAATTCATCAATATGCTAATTGATTTCAAAAGTATGTGAACATTTTTGGTTAGGGCAATAGCTTGTATTTGATTCATCGGTTGAAATACAATTTACTTGTGTGTTTAAAGTTAATGATTAGAAAAATGGAAGTTCAAGTGAAATACGGTTATGTAAAAGTTCTTTATCTGATTAATACACTAAACAATATAGAAAATCTGAACAATACAGAGAGGGAATACAATCTAAAAACTAACCATATCAGCTAATCCAGCAATTACTTTTCCCAGTGTTGTAAGTGATTTATTTATATTTGCTCCTTCTTTTAAACGAATATCAGTTGTTCCTGTAGCATCTGATCTTTCACTTCCAGCCAAATCAACTAGACTTATTTTGCTGACCTCAAATCAATAAAATGATACGAAAAACAGTTTTTTGTTTAAAAGAAAAGTAAAACAAGATTACAATCATTAAGTAAAGAATTACTTCTGAACGGACATGTTATCGTTTTACATAAATAATAACAGATGACTTGTAAACAAGTACCATTCTCTTATCTAACGTAGTAGTTCATTGTATTCATTTACTCTTAGCTAAAATGAGTTGACCGCATACTATCAGCAACAGCCTTCTGTGGATAGGACATACATTACGGAAATCATCAAACTGAATCATGAGGCAAGCCCCAACTTGAAATCCTGAATGGAAGCGGAAAAGTGGAAAGCCAAAGAACACATTACGTCGGGAAATAGAAGCAGATATGAAAAGGATGAATAACAACTGGAAAGAGCTGGAAAGGATTGCCCAGGACAGGGTTGGATGGAGAATTCTGATGGGCTGCCTATGCTCCTCCACGAGAACTAATAGGCGTAAGTAAGTAAGTAAGTAAGCAAGTAATTAACATAAGAGCCATGAACACTGATGTTATAAACCTGAACTATATCAACACTAAATACTGTTTGTGATTTCGGTAACAGTTTGAACAAACATTTGAAAATTACACGTCTTTTCTTTTGACAAGCATGATGTCATTTCAGTAAGATGTATTTAAACCAAAAAACTAGGGTTTCCTAAATTATATGTAATCAAATGTGTAGCACTCATATCTTTTGGAATAATATACATAATTATTTACTTTTACCTAATAAATTCATGTAGTTTAAATCAGGAAGAAGCATTGGACACATACTGAGAAAAGCACCCAATCGCGTCACAAGGCAAACCCTCACTTGGAATCCTAAAGACCAAGGAAGAAGAGGAAGATCAACGAACACATTACGCCGAGAAATCGAAACGGACATCAAGAGAATGAATAAGAATTGAATAGAACTAGAAAAGACAGCCTAGGACAGAGTGGGTTGGAGAATGTTGTCGGCGACCTATGCTCTATTGGCAGTAACAGGCGTAAGTAAGTAAGTAAATCAGGCAGACAATTAAAATATTATAGACAGATAAAATTCTGAAGATTACGTAATGTTTTGTTTTTGTAATAAGAGATTTTAACAGAAACTGTAGGAAATTTTTGATTTCGTATTATAAGAGTGTAATTATAAAAACGCATCATACGTTGTTAACTGATTATAAATAGTGGTCACCCGTTAGATGTTAGCAATTCAGGAATCGACATCTGAATAATGTATATTCTTTTCGATGCATATTGTAAGCAACCATAATGTCTCTGATTGGGTTCTTTTGTAACTTGTACAGTGAAATGTCGTAAACCTTTCACAAACGCACCTGAATAGGTTACATATCACTTCCTACTTCTTTTCAAAGTTGTATACTTATTAAAATCTTAACTCATTTTAATTCAGAAGCATATAAATATTCAAACTCACTTTTTCGCTTGTTGTACCATACGATAAATCTTCAATTTTTTGCGTTACAACTATTGTGAAGACAGCATGTGATCTACTACTTGTTTCATTCATATTAGTAGCAGCAACGGTCCTGTGCGGGAAAATAGAAATTAAAGTAGTTTAAATAAACAGTAGATTTGTTCAACATAACACATAAAGGTTTGGATTTACTGACATCTAGCATAATTTTCTTGAATCTCTGGCAATGACCCTTTGAATGTAGCTAACCATTTACAAGGGGAGAGGTTAACCAAAAAATAATAAGAAATATTGATAACTATTCTAACTAAACATTTAAATCGGTTTCCCAAACTCTTCTTGTAATTTCAAACTAAATTTACACGACAACTTGGACACGAGAAAAGAGGCGCGAAATGTGGAAAGAAGGGTTTACTCAAAGGTTAGATTATGTACAGAAAATTGAGGGTATTTATAGAATTTTAGATGGCCTTAAGTTTCCGGAAGTTTCTGGAACCCTATTAATATAGTAGCTGGATAGGTAATCATTCAGTCAGAAGTGTGATACATAACTCTCCACTATCTGAAAGCATTTGAGAAATTTCTAAGCTATGCTGATTATATAAGATGTTTCTCAGCGTTTTCAGAGCCCCTTTGGGTTTTTTTCGAGAAATACTATGGATCACCCCCAAAAAATATATTAGAGAAGTATTATTAGAATTCTAGTAAACTACAACATTTTCTTACTTGGTTACTCTCTTAACCATTGATTTTGAGCACAATTATCTTTAATTCTTAGCGATATAACCTGATAACTGAAAGCTACATGTAATAATTACCCTAATACTGAAATGGATTGAACAGTAAAACCTCGAAAATTCATATAGAAAATAGTCACTGATTACCAGATGGTCAATAATAAAATGATATTTTAATTTAAAACTAGATTTAACTGGAACCAGAATAAATTTAACTGCTTGTGATGTCATGAATGCACACTACTGAAGAGTCCTATATTAGTAAAAAACGGCCGTTTAGTACTTCTAAGTTTTCAATGGTGGTCTAACTTAGATCGGCTCATTATTTCAAGGAAACATTAGCCCACATTTTAGTCACAGACACTGATTTGATGGTTGTCAAGTTTTTCTACTCTCGTGTCTTCTATCCGTGTTACATTTTATTAACTGATTATTACCGAAGTGTTGTGTGACACTTATCGTTCTATCAAACCCGTAATAGAACCCATTAGCATTAGGATATGCTCAACGTTCCCGTAATTACCGCTTACTGTAGGCGCATACAGAATCTTAATCGGAAAATACAATAGTGGTATAGATATCGGGTTCAGCGTTAGACCTACTTATCCAGGATTTCATATCTTACCAAATCCGGAACTAAGACAAAACGTCTGTAAATCAACCTCTGATTTTCATTGTTTTTCAATGCATATATAAATCATTAAGGATACAATTCAAATTAGATCAAATTCTCACACTCTCATCTTAATTTTAAATGATTATTATGATTAAACTATGAAGAAAACTAACATCTTAAGACCAGATGATTGTAACCAATGTTATTGATTTAACTTTATAGATAAGAATTTGGTGAGATTATAATTTATGGACGATCTTTGAGCGACACCAGACTAACTTTGAGAGTATCCATCTAATAACCAGGACCAAATAAGGGTTATAAACCTGTGCGAGGAATTAGAATTATACTTCACAGTTGATAATTAAGGTTCGAAATTAGATTTACGGTTTTCATAACCAACTGACATAAGCTATGATGTATCTATTTATTCTCATTCACAGTTCATGTTTCCAATGTGTTCTGTTGATAATGAACTTTAAAACATACAATTTTGACTTCATGAAATATGATTGGTGTTTCTAATGGTAGAAATTCTTATGGAGACTATAGAGACACTTATATATATTCATTATATAAAAAATATGTGTATTGTTATGGTTACTTAGTTTTATATTCTATTTAATTATTTTCATTTAAAATTAGGTAATTCATGGGTTTATTTATAAACTATAGTCTTTTTAACATTATTTATAAATCTAGTGAGCGTTCACTTTTCCAAGGAATTGAGATATGGAAAAATTGTATATGCTTCCTTTAATTATTTACGGCAGTAAACCGTTAGTATTTGACTTCTGACGTAATAGCGTACTGAACAAGAACACGAGTAAGAGCAATCAAATGTATTTGACACGAAATTACAGAGCATCTCAATAATATCTGAAAACCATATAGTAAATAGTTAATTTACAAAATATCAATCCATCGTCTCAAACTTGACCGTTCCTTTTGCAAACGTCAGTTCATTGTCTCAAATTTCATTGTTCATGTATTTTCATACCAATTGCGTTCCGTTCCCTTCCTTTCATCGATCTTCTACTGAAATATATTCTATGCCTGACCATCGTTATATACTACTTATGTGGATATAAGTAACCTATACCACAATAGCACATATCGATTTTTCACTTCTTACATTTGTATCAATGATTTCAGACTAAACTTAAAATGTATGTAATAGTACTGTGAAGTTTAATGTTTTCCTTCATTTAGAAGGCAATATCATTAGCTAAGAATGAAATTGATTAATCGAGGAGAATATTTTAAATCCTCTGTGGTACTTCACTACTAAACTATATAAAAATGTTTTTATAATAGAAGCTATATATATATATATACCGAGAGAGAATAAGGCTTCAAATTGCCGACTTCATTTTGTTAAGATTTCTTCGTCATTATTATTAATGACTATCGAAATTACTGATCGATTTCACCTGAAATTATTTCGTTTATTACTAATGATTTTGAAACATCGATTTTTCATGTTCAACAAATGCATAAAGGTATTTAATATTGAAATGATGTTATAAGTTAAAATTGTGAGAGTTGTGTTTTCAGTACTTCACTGTATGATGTCACAAAATGACGTTTCAGACAGTTACTTTCCTCGATGTACTTCTATTTTAACCAAATAAACACAATAATGGGAAGATACAAGTAAAACAACATCAAGTGAATTTAAACTTCACCCTATCGCACAAGCAGGTGGCTATCAGGACTCAGAAGCTAAGTGGATAACGCGATGGCGTTTGGAGCGAACGGTACTGGGTTCGAGACCTGAAGTGAACATCATCTCTGGGATGCAGGTACATCCAGCTGGCGAGTCCCAAATAGAATGAAACGCGCGTCCTGGATTCCACTACTATCCACTATCCATCTTTGCTTAAAAAGCTTGTGACTTAAGGCTATATCGAGGCATCTGGACAGGATGCACATATATCAACATGAGACTAATCAATTGTAGTCGTAATTAACTATGGGAAGATACAAGTAAAACAACACCAAGTGAATTCAAATAAACATTATTCATATATCAACATAAAGTCATCTGTTTGTTAGCTCTTTTACATGTTGTATTTATTACATTGTATTATAACTTTAAAGATGGTATATTTCAACAAAGGCGAATTCACTTCATCTTCACGATGTTTATTTGTTCTTAATTAACAAAACTGTAGATTTTATTGTCGACATTATGAACTAGTTAAATAGCCAGTGTTTTTACGACTGCCATATGATGTGGAAAACGAACGATCAGTGTTAAATTAACTGTCTGATGCGAAATTCTATTTAATTGTACAGTTATCTAGCCATACATACAAACGTTTTATACCAGAGCAGATAAGAACTTTTGTTATTTATTATTCTTACTTTATTCTAACTTAGGTCACAGATAAGAAGTATCTGGTAATTGTCTTGGTTCAGAAATGCAAAAAAACTTCTATAATATATTATTGTAAGACATAATATTTAGTTACAAACCTTGCTTTATTACCCACATCAATCAATTCATTAATTTCATCAAATGAGATAACAGCACATTTTGATAAATCTTCAACATATGGTCCAAGAATAGGATGCTCTCTTACACGTAAATTTCCTTTACTTTTTGGATCCAGTAAATCTCTTACACGTTCACAATAAATTTCCATATATGATACCTGAAATTTTAGATGTAATAAGAGATAAAGATAATACTCGGTGATAATCAATTTAAATCATTAAACAACTTTAATAAGTCAAGATAATGTAAGAACTGTGCTCAATCATACATACATGCATATGTACTTGATATATTTTCATCCCAATAAATATGCTCTTTTTTTTGACAAGATTTTAACAATTAACAAAATTTGGCAAAGTTACTTTTCTGTGGTTTCTATTGAAAAGTAATCAAATAATGAGACTGGGTTGTTTAGTTAGCTTGTTTGTTTTTTTCTTCTTATAGAAATTAGAATTTCTATTCGATGAAATTGGGTTTCACATTCATTAAGATAATTCATATACATAACAACAAATATACAACTGTATTTGTGACAAGAAATCTAGTTCTTCAGTCCCAAAGAAAAACCTTTATATATGTCTAGAATTTAAAGGTGATCGAACATCGGACGTAATCGGAAATTGTCTAACAGCGGCGATTAAAAGAACATTTAATGTGGCTAAACTGCGAATAACCATCACTAGTAGAAACGTATTTTCTGTATCCATAAAAGATAAGCTTCCGTGTCTGGTCGCCTCCATGTGCATCTACCAGTTCACCTACTCTTATGGAGCAAGGTACATCGGCCGCAGCCAGTGTTCGCTTTCAACTCGGATACAGGAACAGAGTGGGTCGAAGAATGTTGGTCGGCGACCTATGCTCTACTGGGAGTAACAGGCGTGAGTAAGTAAGTTCATTTTGATGTCGGGTGATGTTATCGACGGGCCCACCACTTTATTGGCCTGAACTCTGACTCCAATTGAATCGTACGTCACATGTTATTGAAATACACAAGTCGCCAATCCTCGTACATAACTGTCGACTTAGTCCGCAATAGTGAATAACGGAATTAAATAACTCAAATACGAGAATGGATTTTTGAGCGTGTTTATTTTGTACACTCATTGATTTGAACAGACAATCAAAGGGACGAAGAGAAGAGTGCGAAGTAGAATGACGTAGAGTGGAGAAGTCTTATGAGCCAACTCCATTTAACCAAGCGTTAATCAATATTTATAGTCACACAAAAATAAGTTACAGACATGTGATGAATAGGATAAGAAGTGCACACTCATACGCTCAGATATAAACAGTTAAGGTTGATAAGTAAATAATTAACAAGGTCAAAAGGGGGGGCTCAAGAAAAATGAATAATTAGTCTGTCTGGAAACTAGAATAAGCTACGTGGGCTTAACATAGTAACCGACACTACAAACTCAATGAATAACAAAATTTACTAACCTTTGTACAAATGCTCATTTAATAGAATGTTGTGTTTATTAACTAGAGGATACTAGTTTAAGATTCAATTTTATAAAATAAATAAAATGTCACAACCAACTCAATTAACAAAGTGTTCTTCATTGTATCTATGATATACTGAAACTGAACTATTTCAGATGTGAATAAATTTTACAGAACCTATAAGATTTATACAAATAAAAGTATTCTATTTCAATTATATCAATGAATAAGCTTCATATTCATATGGATATGTTACCAATACAAGAACTAAAGATGTTTAATGCAAATGATGACAAAAATCATTTTCAGCTATTACCACTTAACTACTAATTGAACTAAACCGGAAGTTAAATTCAATATCATTGAATAAAAAACAAAAAAACAATTACAAATTACAATTCTTTTTCAGTAACTATTTGTAATTTATTTGGCTTAGATTATTATTATTATTATTATATTGATGAGCTATCAATCTTAAGGTTTATTGGATGCTAGAGTACAGTATTATAAATTGATTAATTTAAAAGCTTAACACTATTCTTGTTTCCAAATTTTGTAATTAACCGAATTTTACTAAACCAATATCCAAGATTTCCGCTTATGCTAAACTTACATACTTACTCATAGGCAGCCCACCAACACTCTCCATCCAACCCTGTCATGGGCAATCGATTTCAGCTCTTTCCAGCTGTTATTCATCCTTTTCATATCTGCTTCTACTTCCCGACGTAATGTGTTCTTCGGCTTTCCCCTTTTTCGCTTCCCTTCAGGATTCCAAGTAAGGGTTTGCCTCGCGATACAGCGTCTATTCCTAATTTCCTCTTGATATGGAAGCTGGTTTGTTCTCTCCTACAGTAGGCGGTTGCTGACGGTATCCGACCAATGGACATTGAGTATCTTGCGTAGACAGCTATTTATAAATACTTCTACCTTCTTGATGATGGTTGTAGTAGTTCTCCAAGTCTCATCTCCGTATAGTAGAACTGTCTTGACGTTCGTATTGAAGATTCTCACTTTGATATTGGTTGACAATTGTTTCGAGTTCCATATGTTCTTCAATTGTAGGAATTCGGCCCTCGCTTTGCCAACCCTCTGCATCTGATCCTCCTTGTTCATCGATGATGCCTCCCAGGTATGTGAAGGATTCTACATCTTCCAGAGTTTCGCCATCATGTATGAGTAGATTGGTGTTCTCCGTGTTGTATTTGAGGACCTTGGTTTTCCCTTTGTGTATGTTGAGGCCTACTGATGCAGAGGCTGTTACTACACTGGCTGTCTTTATATGAATTTGTTCGTGTGTATGAGATAGGACGGCTAGGTCATCTGCAAAGTCCAAATCGTCTAATTGGTTCTGAGCTGTCCATTGTATGCCATGTTCCATCTGTGATGTCGAGGTCTTCATAATCCAGTCTACCACCAGAAGAAAGAGGAATGGGGAGAGTAGACAGTCTTGTCTGACTCCAGTCCCTACTTGGAATGTATCTGTCAGCTGTTCTCCATGCATGACTTTGCACTGTAGTCCGTTGTATGTGTTCCGGGTAATGTTGACAATATTCTCAGGAGCTCTATAGTGTCGAAGAAGTTTCCATAATGCTCTCCTATTTACACTGTCGAACGCCTTCTCCTTATTCTAACCAGTTAGGGAATATTGTTATTTGTAGAGGTAAGGAATTTTAGGAAAAAGTTATTAGTTTATATAACAGTAATTATGAAAAATATACCAAATGTTTACTTCAACCATATGTTGTATGATTTGACCAGAAGTTGTTCTGTTCAATTTTTTGAAAAGATCACGGCATAATTGTGGTATAATACCCTCTTGACCTTCAACACCTGGTTTACCCATCATAGTATAAGATTTTCCTGATCCTGTTTGACCATAAGCGAATATGCACACATTATATCCTTCAAGGGCATGGTTAAGAGCATCGTTACCAATATCATTGTAAACTTGTTTTTGATCTGCGTATAATGGATCCGATTTCTACAAGAGAATAATATATTCTTTGAATACATGCCTGTAAATAGTCAAGCGACAGCTTCCCAAATAACTAGGCAAACGAAATGTTAAATACATTTATTTGGATAAAGATTGAATTTCATCACAATCGAGTTACTAAACGTTCTGCTTGATTGTTGATTTTTTCATCCTGTACTTCTAAGTAAATCAAACTGTCAAAGCCTACCATCAATGTCGATCAGAATCTATTATACGACTAAAAATGTTGAATTACCTATGTGTTATTCAGACTGGTGAGATAGTGATCAGTACTGATTAAAACATTTAATAAGGTTTTATGAGCTGTTTTACATAATTGTGCGGTTAAAAAATGTATTCTGAAAGGGATTAAACGTTGTCATGATTTGTATGATTTGGTTTATTACCTTTTTGGTTTCATCATATTAATTAAATATCGCCCTTGTGACTAATTTTTTAACGAAGTGTATTACCAGTCTTTTACATGATATTAACATTAAATTTTGTGCAGATCTATTCTAAGAAAGAAAATCACTGAACCAAAACAATGTCAACTAGTTATGTTTTGTTTTAATAGCTAGTTTTGTTTAATAGTTAAGATCATGAGTCAATTGAAGCTAGACGACCATGGAAAACCTGAGAGCACTGGACGGTCATTTCGTCCTATTGTGGGACTCCTCAACAGTGCCTATAGATCTTTTTCAATACAAAAGGATGTAAATGATGTATAGAAAGTTAAATTATTTGATCTGTCTGAAAGTTCTGAAGGATAATAAACACGCATTGTGATTTATTCACTATCTGAGGTTCACATTAAAATGATAGGCATTTAATCAAAAGTTTATTATGAAGTTTCACAACGAACATTTACTAAATACTGTGTTTTGTTTTGTTAAAATAATGATGAATGTATTACCCAGTTACTACGCTACATATCCTAATTTCGCAAATGCACCCTTTAATGGGTTTTGTTTGAATTTTTATAGTTCAACAGTATCAAAAGTTATTATTTTTCGGTGTGCTTATTTATTTTCCTTTAAAAATAATAGGAATATCATTAAATAGAAAAGCATCAACAATTTGAACGATCCAAAAAACAAGAACATCTTTCTACAGTATCGGTTTAGGAATATTCGGTTTCTTTTTTCAAATTCTCCACAACAGTACCTTTTAATCTCCACGTATGATGTAGAAATTCTTATTAGGTTTTATAATATTATTGAATATTTTTTCAAGGAATATTACTGTAAGATGTATCATTGTTTTGTTAAGCCTATTAACTGTACATATGAACAATGTAATTTAAAAATAAAGCATACCCGTTCAGTTTATGGAAAACATAATAACCTAAATCGAAGCTAGCCGTAAAAAGTAATGCGGTAGTGGCCGCTAGTTACAAAATTGTTTGTAAGTTGCGGGAGCGAAACATGGCATAGATGTAGCAACAATCGTTAAATGGAGTGAAGAGTTTCAGTAAATCAAAAGCATGGCGTTGACATAACACTTGGAGACCAGATGAGAAGATGGTTCAGACTACAGAACACACTGAAAGTTACAAATGGGAGATTGAAGGCTATGTATATGTATTATGTGAATACTTAGTAAATCATAATAAACGCAGATTGCTCCTTTGTATTGTCAAGGTTTACAATATCAGTTCTTGGTTTGTACGATTTTGGAAACCAATCAATCATTAATCCGAATTGTCGTGAAACCTGAAGGTCCTGCAAATGATTCATAATGTCATGGTTAGTGTGTACTACTGAAAAGTCCCATACTAAAATGAAGAAGTCATCTGGTAATTCTCGGTTTTTAATTGTTGTTTTTATCCATGGTCATCCCTCGGCATAAACTATAAGATCCAACTATTTACTTTGAACTAATGAAAAAGAATAGAACCCTTCCATAACATAATACAGACACATTCATAACGCTCTAGATTAGATCGATATTTATATATTTGAGACAGTCTTTACTTCTCATTAGCTTTTTTCAGTAATTACATGTTAGATATATCATAGACACATAATGAAAGAGTTTCCATCTTTCTGTGTGTACTAGTCTAGTTTGAGGTGGGAATAATAAGGAAAATATGACTGTAGGAAGCTTAAAACATATTTTATTACACATAAATTGAACACTGACTACAACAGAACAGATATTTAAAAGAAAACGCATTGCACGACACCTATATCTACCACATTAAGTTTGTTTGTCCTGAATATCATTAAAGTACTACACTCTATACAAAAAAATATAATTCTTAATTAAGGGTTGAATTATTCGTAGTACACTCACATCTGTATGTGACCAGTAACTGTAGTCGAATTCAAATACTTTAGAAGGTTCTTTAGAGTTTGGTTTTCTAATACCTAAAACAAGAAAGTAAAGGTAAATTAACTCCAGACATTGAAACGATGAATGAATACCAAAAGACAACTAGTCATGAAATATAGTTTGGTAATGGAAATCATTATACAAGATATATGAATTTAACATTGTAGAAAAAAAACACTTATATGGAAAGGGGAACTAAGAATATAGTATAATATGAATGATCCCTAGTTCAAAGTTACTAAAAACCCACTCCTAACTAGTTAATACTTTTAGACAAAAGATAGCTATCATTATCGAATTATAACAATATAAAAAGGAACAGTGATGACAGTTTTTAGTGTTAAATTCCTAATAAATTACTACACCTTTGTCTAATGTTGATAAAGAAGTTTGATAGAATTCGATCGACCATAAAATTTTCCCGGAGAATAATAATAAAGAGAATTTAATGAAGAGAATATTCATCTCAACAAAATCATTTACTTAACCTATACATTTATTTTTACAGACTTGCATACTTATAAACCAACTATAAATATGAAGGACGAAACGGTCGGCCAGTGCTTCCAGGTGTTCCATGGTGGCCTAGCTTCAACTGATTCATGATCTCAACTGTTGAAATTAATTAAATGATTTCGTCCGAAACAGTACTTTTGCTGAATTCTGTCTATTTTCAATTCAATAGTTGAATTCATGGGTCGATTCAAGCTAGACCACCATAGAAAACCTAGGAGAACTGGACGGCCGTTTCGTCTTAGTACAGAACTCCTCAGCTGTGCGCATCCACGATCCTATCTCGCGAGATTACAACTCAGGACCTATCAGTCTCGCGCGCGAGCGCTTAACCATCAGACCACTGAGCCGGCTGGCATCTAACGATGTTAATGTCAAACTTCAACCAATTCATGAAATTGCGCCACCATCCTCCATTGTCATCAGTGAGTTACTATCTCACAGCTAACCTGGTCGAACTTCACTGGTCACTGCTTCTCACTAAAACTCCAGGAAATACCTCTTGAAGCCAGTCATTAGTGAGCATATGATGATTATAATCAGAGAGGAGTTTAGTGTATATTATAGTAATTTAATATTTGAGTTCATGAGTCAACTGAAATTAGACTGCCATGGATTAGTTGAAGTTAGACATTAACACCGATTCAGTGGTCTAGAGGTTAAGCGTTTGCGGGGGAGACTAATACGTTCTGGGTTCGAATCTCGCGAGACGGGATCGTCAATGCGCACTGCTGAGGAGTCCCACACTAGGACGAAACGGCCTTCCAGTGCTTCCAGGTTTTCTTTGGTGATCTAGCTTCATTTGTTTCGTGAATTCAACTATTAAATTACTATAATATCCACAAAACCCCTCTCCGGTTATTTTTAATTCACTGACATTGTGGGTTACTTTTATATCTGTCAGATGATAAATTAAGTTTTCTTTTTAAACAGTAGCTTATTAGAAAAAAGCATTTCATTTTAATTATTATAAAGATACTTCCAGTTCGACTAATCGAATAAATAAATTATTGCTGACAGTGAATTTAAAATAAATGTTTTATCTCTATAAATTTTAGTTCTGATGTTCACACTGGAACTCAAAGCCAGTCCTTTCTTCTTCAATGCCCAATTTATTACATACTTAACTACTGGGTTCAAATAGCTAGCTACTTATGTGACAAACATAATATTCATATCATTATTAGAAATTGACGAATTATCCCGATGCTATTATTTCTGGCTGGATTTTGACTGATCTTTGTTCCCATATGTGCACCCTCATTGGCATCACCTCGACGTAGCCGTTGGATGCCGTCTCAGTGGTCTAGTGGTTAAGTGCTCGAGTGCGAAACCAGTAGGTCCTGGCTTCGAATCCCGTGGGGTGCGGGATCGTGGATGAGCACTGCTGAGGAGTTCCATACTAAGACGAAACGGCCGTCCAGTGCTTTCAGGTTTTCCATGGTGGTCTAGCTTCAATTGACTCATGATTTCAACCTGTGAAATTTGACATAAGATTAATGAGAAAATTAATATGTCGAGGTAATTCACACACACAAATACTGATCACATTGCACTCAGAAAAATCAAAAATAGGATCATTAGAACAATTTATCATCATGTTCTAAATACTCTGCAATGTTGATGATTATGTAAGCCCACATACCTTATTCTAGCTTTCGGACAGGCCGATCTATTCATTCTACTTGAGTCACATTTTGACCATGTCAATTGCTCGCTTATTAATCTTGACTGTTTTTATGTAAGCATATGTGTGTACACTTCTTATCCTACTCACCAAATATCTGTAATTTATTTTTGTGTGACTATAAATATTTATTAACGCTTGGTTAAATGGAGTCGGTTCACATGCATTCTCCACTGCGCGTTGTTTCGTTACGTCTCTCTGATTATCTGTTCCAATCAACGACTATACAAAATATATGTTTTGGAAAATCCATTCTGGTATTTATTTAATTTCGTTATTCACTAGGGTGTTCTAAGTCGATAATTATATACGAGGATTGATGATATGTATGCCTCAATAGCAAACAGAAACGATCTTATTAGAGTCGTATCCAGGGCCACTAAAACTCTCAGTTTGTTGGTTTAATTATTTTGTCTTCATTTTTCAACTCATTATATGATCAAAACACATAACATTTCTAGGAATCATTATTAACTTGTTTTGTTGTAATATATGGTAATTCCAAAGCGAAATTTATTTGACTAGTGTTATGAATACTTTGATGCAATGCATTTGAAATACTTGGAACGTACAAATTGGCTATTAATTGTTATGTATGTATATATATAACGAAGTCAAATAAGAAAACTAAAGCATACATTTAGATCATAGTAAAGAAAGAAACATTGATAAGGTAAGTTTGATATAATGACAAACTATTTCTGAACAAACTGATAGTTCTCGCTTCTTCAGATACCATAAGATTTTAAAAATAGGTATTTATGAGCAATAAAAATATTAATCAAGGACCCGCTCAAATGTTTATTTTTATATTTAGCTTTGTCTATCTATCTACCTGAAAGGTTTATACATATTAGTCTATGGTTTCACTGAGTTAGTACTTTCATTTCAGTATTATAAATTGTTAATATAAAAACCAATTAGGTTGAGAGATTTATGATCATGAGCTAACTACACAACCATTAAACTTAAAAGCAAGTTTAAACTATTACTTTCATGTACTTGAATCAATAATGCATACCCAGAACCAACTATAAGAGGACTTTCAGGTCAAATGATTAGAAAGTTACGTTTAGACCACTGAATTGGCATTCAGTAATCTACATCTCAATCTCAGTTACTAGGGCATATTTAATGGGCGTCACCCATTGCCATCAGTAATGATTGATTCATTCTTGATATTCATGTTCAGCTCAAATCAGTGTATGAATAAATCTATCTTTAAAATAGATAACTTGTAACACGATGGCTACAACGAGGTAATCCGTATGATAATACACATATGGCAACAAAAATTAATGAAATTTTTTTATCCTAAATAACAATAATAGGGCAACTCAAACCTACATCATTAATGATACAAATCTATATTCAGGTTTAGATCCATTTGTTAAAAAGTTTGTATATTCTTTTTCAGTAGTTTTAAAAGTAACTAAATGAAGATCCAAATCACTAAAACCAAGGAATTTCATAACCTTTAAACCGATGTATTCTATCCACCAACTATTAAATATTGAAAACTGTAGCCTAATTGTTTATGCAAACAGCTGATATATGGTAAATATAAAGAAACTGTGATATCACTCCTGATATAAATTCTTTTTAGTAATTAAACTGATAAATCTTCTTAAATTCTGAATATAACATTTCTGTCATATAATGATCACACTTACTTGTAGATTGGCCCGACATCGATATGACACATTCACTGTTCATTAGAATCTCTCTCCTATTAAATGGTCTTACACGGACAGCAACTTTGACAGAAGACATTGTATTTTTTTGTTATGGAGGTTCTTTATTATGGAAAAAACAGTAAAATAAAAATGGTGTGGTTCAAAGACAATAAGAAATGTTAAAGTGTAAGGTATAAGGAATAAATCTAGGAACATTCCATGTCATTTGTTTGTTACAAAATATCTGCATAGGGATATGGGCTTCATTTAAAGTTTTACTGCTTAATGCTTAAAGATAATGTCGGTCAACAAGTCAAACCAGTAAAAAATAAAAACGATTCATTCTAGTTTGAAACATGCCACTGTAACATACTACATATGCAAGATCAAACTCATAAACCTCCGATCTCCCAATAATTCAAGCAATATTGAGGCGGAATTCAATAGGTTATGTCTGTAATCGTATTGTAATTTTAATAACTAGTTAAGTGAAATTTACGTAAAACATTGAAACAGAAACGTCGTCAGGTAGAGGATTATTTAGATCTAATAATCTATCAACAGAATCGAATGTATCTTACTTAGCACTATAATGCTACTCAATTTAAGGATAAAAGTCTAGATCTAATGTTAAATATGTTACAGTAGAGTAAATATATGTTCAAATTTTTCAAATTAGAAACTGACTGGGAAACGAAAATAGCTCTCGGTGTAAAATGTAATTCAAAAGATGTTGATAACAATTTGACAGCTTGCAGATATTATTCAACGTTTGTGAACTCTAAAATGACCAGCTATTCTATAGACCATCATTAAAATATAAATGTATATTAGCTTGATTACTTTTAGTGAATCCTTACCTTGTCTACGATTAAAAAAAATGTATTAGGTAATATTAATCACAACTCCTCATGTGGCTCTTCTAGGGATACTACTAGTCCCAAGCCCGGGTAAAGGAAGAGAGTGGGGCATGGGGTCAGCATCTCCATCCCGTAAAACACAACCTACCTAAAAAAACGCTAATAATGTTTAGCACAAGTTAATCGTATATTTACAGACCTAGATTACATTCAAAAGAGCAGTTACAACAAAGGCTAAGGTTGTAAATCTAATCAACTAATGAGACAATCAATTAGATAACCATATGCTTAAATATATCACAAACTATCTACACTCAAAAGCACTATGTGACAAATTTTGAATTATTGTTTCTGTTGCATTGTAGTCATTATGAGACTTGAACGTTTTGAATTTGACTTATTATGAAGAAACGAGTAATAATCTATTGAATATCAAACCTGAAACAAAATATTTATTTAGAGTTTCCTTGACTTCACTAATTCCTGTCAGATTACTTAGAAATGTATCAGTAATTGATGCTGTAATCCTTGGGTCGAAAAGTATTGTTTTGACGATAATCAAATGCACTATTTATTTTAGGTATTATTGTTTAATCAATTTCTTTGTCGGTAAGATTCAACTGAAAAACAGTAAGTTATGTATGTATATAATATAACTTAAGCTAAGGTAATTCGTTCAATATTCTGAAGTTTCGTTGCCAATCTTGTACATTTAAAAAAATTAGTCTCTTAGCTAAGTAAAAACTTTATTTCTTAAATGATCACTTCGAATTACATAGAAATAATAGCAGGACTACAATTAATAGATGAACCAACCACAGTTAAAATAGAGGATCTTGAATTTTGGCTCGAAGTTCATCCATTCATTCGGAACTTTTGAAACTATCTTACAGAGAATTGTCATTTATATTTTTATCATATAATTCTTAGATAATCTGATTATTGTATTTCTCTATTGAATACATTGTAAGCTGCCACTAGATTTATCGACTATTGTTATATACATTATTATTCTTTAATTAGTGCCATTTAAATGCTCACCTTGTCCTCCATTCTTTGGCACTTTTGGTTGGATGTATGTAAGCACGATTCTAATTTGCCTGCGTTGTAGTCTGACAATTTAAGCATATAAACCCGTAAGTGAATGGAGTAACGACGTATATAGAAACTATCTTCTGCTTCCCCGCTCGTCAAGCTAAAGAGTGGCTAGCAGAAGGGTGTACATTCTGGAGAGCTAAGATTATCTTACCAATGCTCAGGGTTCATCATGTCAGTCAGTGTATATCATTCGTCAAATGACGTAGTTAGTTTGTGGACGATATAGTATATTAGTACTTAAAAAGTAATAGTCCTGACTTTGATTTATGCATTTCACGTGATGTCGATTAAGGAATTGTCAGTTAACCAGTATCACATCAATTAGTTTTATTTATGCACAACATAACCTTGAGTTCTACTTTTTTGGTTTCCTTTTCCGTTTATTGAAACTATGATGTTGTTAGACGAAAAGTTATTTACTATCCTGAAAGTTTTTTTTAATATAAAATGTAACATTCATTGAAATACTCCATCAACTATTGATATGTCAACAATCTCTTCTTTAAAAGGAGATTTTTTTAAAGATGTACATCAACCCATCACTTGAGTATTGATTATAAATTAAATGATCACTGATGTATGTATTAAAATCGCTAGTTTATTATCAAGTAGTATGATCATATATATATACATCCGTGAGAACATAATGCGTATATCTATGTCGATTAATATTAATTGGATACGCTACTCGGAAATACAGACTTACAGACAATGTACACATTTCCCACCTTATATGTACATTGATAAATTTTTACACATAACTCATAGACTATACATAAGAAAACATCAATTAAAAATATCAGTTCAAAGAACGTTTTTTCACGATCCTATTGATTAAATTTGAAAACAGGAAGCATTGCGAATTCCCACACCTTGAGTCAGTGAAAACGTAAACTTGCCTTCTGTATTCTGACTTACCAAAAATAAAGAACAAAAGACTGAATGGTAGAAAATAAAACTTTATGAAATATTTTTGGATCCCAAATTTCTTTGATATTTAATTCCACAAAACGATTTAGATCACAAATACATGAATAAAATAATTCATAGGTGATTTTCATTACAAAATGATATTAGTTGAAGAATTATTGAAAATTAAGGACTACTGAACCTTGTAAAGACAACTGAGTAAAGAATGTAACAGTAATTGAGCGATAAATCAGGATTTAGTCGTATCAAAAATTAAGTGTGATAAAAAATGTCAGCAATTAGATTTCGACTTCATGACTTGATGTTATCATGTTGGTGGAACGACATAAAAAGCCCAGTCTTGACCCTGTGTGGAGTACTTAGTGTAGACTTTTGGTGAACTTCGTACTGGAAACTTGGTTTTGACAATGTAATTGTGTGAGAATTGTAGAATGTACTGATGTATCACAGTAAACGTTCGCATCCTTCATGGTGATTACCATTAAATAGAATAAATGCAGAAACATCATCATGATTGATATATTTCGGTATAGTTTTATTCGTTTAAGAAACCAGAAGTAAATACATTGGGAATTATCTATCAAATACGCTGTATGAAGATGGTCAGAAACATTTACAGTTGAAGATGAATGTCAGATAAACACTCTAGGAATATAGTTTTATATGCTTTTTTAAATGGTTAGAAATGAGATATCTCTTAAAGAAAGAATGTATTACAATATTGCATAGTTTGTTCAAATGATTCTCTATTTTAAACAAACAGTTAATTTAAAATAGAGTGATGGTTATTATCGATTCAATACTTTATTTCTTTTCATTTGTTCTCCAAACGTTACTTGTTAATCTTTCAAATCAATAATCAGTGGTAATATGCAATATGATTATTCTTAATCTTGTTACTAAGGCTAACCTTTATATATATTCTGTATATCTATTCACTGAATTAAAGTCTGCTTTAATGAGACTATAGAATGATACATTTTTATGTTTGGGATCAAGTTATGATCAAAAATCAGTATAATTCATTTTGTCCTATTTGATGAGATGCAATGAAATTGTCATAATTTACAGTATAAGCATTATTTCTATTATTTATTAAAAGGATTTAATGAGTTTATTTGTGAAAGATGAAAACTTTTACTAATGATCATTTCACTGTACATTAGAGACTATTAGGTACTATCTAACATCAATTAGATTTTCATTCTTCTTCAACTTTCTTGACTATGAGAAAGCATTTGATAGTGTAAATAGGGAAAACTTATGGAAGCATAATCGACAGCATGCTGTACCTGAGAAAATTGTCAACATCATACGGAATTCATACAACGGACTACACTACAAAGTCGTGCATGGAAGACAGCTGACAGGTGCGCTCAATGTGATGGCCGTAGTCAGACAAGACTGCTTACTCTCCTCCTTTCTCTTTCCTCTGCTGGCTTACTGGATTATAAAGACCACATCTGAAGGGATGCATGGAATGCAATGGACAGCTTGGATGCAACTAGGCGATTTGGAATTCACAGATGGCCTAGCTCTTCTATCCCATGCACGTCAACAAATGCAGGTCAGGATAGCCAGTGTAGCAGCAGCCTTTGATTCAGTAGGCCTCAATAAATAAAGATATTTAAATACAACATGGAGAGCACCAAACCAATCACACTTGGTGGCGAAACTTTGGAAGAGGTGGAGAGTTTGAAGTACCTGTACAGCATCATCGATGAACGTGGAGAATCTGATGCAGACGTAAATCCACATTCCTACAGTTGAGGAACATATGGAACTCAAAACACCTGTCAGCCTACACCAAAGAGAATCTTCAATACGAACGTCAATATAGTTCTATTGGATGGAGCTGAAAAGTGAACTACTACAACCATCATCAAGAAGGTACAAGTATTCATAAACAGTTGTCTACGCAAGGTACTGAATGTTCGTTGGTCGTATACCATCAGCAACAGCCTACTGTAGGAGAGAACAAACTAGCTTCTATCTGAAGAGAAAATTAGGAATAGACGCTGAGAGTAGATAGGACATGAAAAGGATGAATAACAACTGGAAACAACTGGAAAGAATTGTCCAGGACGAAGTTGGAGAGGTAGTAAACGTAAGTAAGTAGGTAAGTGAATTCTAACTAGCCTCTGATCAAATAAATTTCCGTAAAATTTCTTTCTAATTACTGTATAATTGATAGCAGTAAAACATACTG